AATAGGCTCCGAATGATGCAGTCAGTTGTCAAGTATTTATCAAACGTAAACTAATGTCATATCATGTAGATCAAGGGTCGGCAACTGGCGGACCGCGGAAGGTAAAATACTGGACCGCCAAAAATTTTTTGAAAGTATAAATTACTCAAATAAATTATTTTAAAAATGTTTTTTTACGTTTGAGTGACAACCTTATCATTTTTTCTAGTATTATACAATTGTGTGAGTGTTTTGAGTTCTTAATGGTTAGTAAGCAGATTAAATTTGATTTCAAATGAAAATTTGAAAGAAATATAAATTTTTTTCTGGACCTCGTTAAAAATTTTTAAAAGTATCCGGACCCCACCTAAAATTACTTGCCGACCCCTGATGTAGATGGTGCAAATCGATACATTCGAAAGCATCTCTTCACTTGCCAAATAATCTCCAAAGCCATGTAAACGGAACAGTTGCAAAATGTACGCAGCATCTGCTGTAACGACTACATCAGTAATATACATTTTCACTCTCTTCACATTTGTAAAAAAACCATGTATATTTGAAGAATCTTTGACGAGGACCGCATCACTTTAAGCAGGCTTAAAGTGAATATACGTATTGTAAATATCCCTTAAGCTTTAAGCTCGATATTACGACAGCATATTATCGAGTAGTTTATATCGGTTGTGAAGACAGTTACACCTTCAACATGTGATTGATAACACGATCAGAATATTTAAATAATTTAAAAACTATACGGACGACTTGCATAAAAATGTATGTACAGTGTGGCATGAAAGAAGGAATAAAAATTCCGAGAAAAATTCCGGGAAAAATTCCATGCATTGTGAATACTGAATATACTATCTAAAATAATTTGTTACGAAAAATGCTTCAGTCCCAGGCACATCTTTATGATTTATTGATTGGAAAGATACTGATTACCTATATAGGTACTTAACATAAATATAAACAAACAATCAACTAAATACATGTTTTTTTATAAAAATATGTATGGTAATTTTGTTACATTAAACAGGTCGATTTTAAACGAAAAGCTATTCTTGCAAAATCATCATAAAATTAAAAGATTTTGAATAAAGGGCGTGAAAATCTTTTAGTACACATAAAATTACACAAAATTTTAGTTAATTCATACAGACCTAATAAGCGATGGACTTATTTAGTGGTCATTAGTTGTTAGTAACTCACAAATAAGTAACTATCAGTACCATTATAAAAAATATCAATTTTTTTGAAAAGAAAGTTTATTTTTTCTAGAGTAGATTGAAAAAAAAACTTGAAATTCATTCATTTTTCTGCTTATGATTTTTTAAATTTCTCATATCATCGCTTAACTTCTAGCCTCCCTAACTCTGTTAATTTTAATAGTATAAGAATAGTCAATAAATCATTTTTATGTAAAATTTTATGCTATGCAACTTTTATAACTTTTTTTTCTTACTCTTACCCCTTTTTAATTATCTTGAAAAATCTGTTTTATTTATTTTTTTTAATTACTGTCATTGTTATTATACAGGGTGTCTCATAATTAGTGTCCAATAATTTACCACTAAATGGGCCCACAGAAGATTTTTTTTTTTTTAATATTTCCGAAATGGGTTGAAGAAAAATTATGAATTTTGACACCATGAACCCTCATTAAGTCGAAATAGATCATGAAATTTTTCAAAAAATTTAATCAGTGGCGTCTCTATTGGGGGGGTGTCGTCGGCTGAAATTTGCCCCAATTTTCTTGCTTGCCGAAATTTTCAAATTCAGATGCCAACATATAATAGACCCTCATTTCCTCAACAAAAAAGGTACTCTATTTCTTTCTATAAAATGCTCCATTTCCAAGAAAAATTAATTAATGAATGGGTTTAAAAAAGCACACTTTGGAAAGTGTTATAACATATTTAAACCGATTTTTCTCGAAAACGGATTACTTTTTCGTATAAAACAACATTACCATTTTTAATAGAAAACTCGGATCTATCAAATTTTACTGTTTAAATTTGAAAATAGCAACATATAAAAAATTTGGGGCAAATTTTACTCGAGTACTGAGGCAACATTTCTAGCGTGACCTTACCGTCGACATGGCCATAGCCCTAAAACCAGGAATTAATTCATACTATGACTATGCTTCTCAGTTGAAGTCTGTATAACATAAACGATTCTTAGAAAAACGGTGTAATTACGATAAAGCTCCATTTCTTTGAAACATGCCTTCTTTCTAATAGGTACCTTTATCACAAATAGGTGAACCATATTTATAAATTTTGATGTTCTATGACACAATCGGATGACTCATACAATGTAATTCTACGTGTCGATTACAGTACTTAGTTCGAAATATTTATTATCATCTACTGTTTCCTATCTCAAATTACACAAACAATCTATATTTATTCACCATTTATTGATTTTCGTTGCTTCTATGATACAGAAGTTTCATTAAATCATACATAAAAATATCTTTCAAGTGAGGAACGCCCCTATAATTACGGAATTCAACAAATCACTAAATCACTAAATCAGATCTCATAGGGGTATAAACAAACATAATACATATATGAATATATTAGCTACCCAGCCAACAGGAAATTGTAATGTCTTAAATGACGTTTTTTAAGTTTGTCTTTAAGATTAATTCTGTACAAAAAATCGCTTTCCACTTGAAACAATAACATCTTAAAGAAATAGATAATTGTCATATGAGCGATGTGTAAAAACCAAAGTGTGTTAAGATAAATATCCACCTAAATCACATTTCCAAGATTATTAAATATGTACAAATATAGGTATATAAGAGGAAGAAACCGCTGTAATTTAGTGTACAAGCTTGATTGATATTTGAGTATTAAAACAATTATTTCAGTCACATGTAAGAGGACGCATGCACTATAACCTCAACGTCGGAAACAGTTGGGAAACTTTTGTGGGAATACTTTGTAGAACCTAGCTATGACTAGAAATTCTTAGAAATATCTTAGTTGTCAAACCAATTCTTACGAAAGTCAAAGTAAACTTAGGCCGGTTTTTTGGCCTGCTGATAAATTTATTTGTCAGTTAAATCTATATCTGTCTCATAAAGAACATATGCATAAGAAACTCACTTAATTGACAAATAAACATTCACTGACAGTTGAAAAAAAACAGCCCTTATTTTAATACTCTTATTATAGGTATGTAAGTTATATTTATATCATGAAACTAAAAAAAAATACGAAAAATTTAAAAATGAATAATTAGTATAAACAATCTATAACCTCATCCACAACATAGCAGTAAGTAGTAAGTAGGGGTTAACGTTTCAATGAGTGGGAAAATCTGAAAAACTTCAGTACATACTTGTAATTTCTAAAGCAAAACGATTACACGAAATTGTTTACATGAATGAGAGCACGAACATTAATAAAAAATGTTAATATGGTACTGGGTATCGCAGATATTGCATATTCATGAACACAAAAATGAATCAACTACCAAGAATAATTCGTTAATAATAAACAGGTTTTTCCAATAACTTTCATTTTTAGCACATTCATATTTATCAATCACAAAGGGTTCACTGATAAGAGCTTATTTACTTAATGATAAACTAGGAAACATGGCATGTACACCTTAAACAGCAAACATTTCGTTAAACATTAATTCAAGCAGGTTTTCAATCCATCATTAAAAATAGGAAAATATATTCCCATTTCAATATAAAAATTCCATTCATTTAACTACTTTTATGATTCTGCTTCCTCTTTTGTTTTCATTTATTAAGTTTCGGCTCTCTTCTAAACTTTATTTCAGGTTGCGCCTATAAGGTATTAAAAAAAAAAAATGCGTTTGCTTAAAAATTAATCACTATCTAAGCTAAGTAATTTTTTGTTGCATAAAGGTGGACGAAGTAATCAAAGTATATCTTTGAAGGGATGTTCCTACAATGTAATCCTCAATGTAATCAATAATCATGGATTTGCGTCCTAACATTTTTTTATACGCATAAACCAGGATTTCTAATTTCTACAGACAATGGTGTGCTTACAGCACAACTATTTTAATTAACAAACAATTAGGTTCTTGAGACCTAAATAGCAACTCCTTTGATAATTCATCCTTTGTTTTCATCCTCACATTTTAGTCTATTAATTAAGGATATATGAATGCATCAAAAAATTAAAAGGACAATTACCCAAACAAATGATCATAAATTTATTTGAAAAACATACGAATTTTATATGCACTATTTAATTAGAAATTTAAGAAATATTTTTTTTAAGGAACCGTTGATAGGAAATCATTTTTCATTTCTTTTGAAATCTACCTAACTGATAAAGTTGATTTTCATGTTTCCAAACATTCTGAATAAGTAATACGTATAACCTCAGGTTAAACCTAACATTAGCACTGGAGGGTATAAAAACGGGAATAGAATGTGCTATATAAAGTGGGTTTTTATATTAATCTCAGGACGAAATGACACCCTCAACTAAATTACATAGGGAATGTACAAAATTATATGCCTGGGATGATTCATCTAATTAGAAGTAAATTACATCGGTAATAACAATACAGCCATTGTAATGCAAGTAAAACCTTTATCAAATTGTATCAGTTACTTTCATATAGGACATGCCTACAACAATGTACTGAAACACGTCTTGTAGTTTAAAAAATAGCAAAAGTCCTTGGAATTTAATGGTAATAATTTCTGTATTAAATTGGGCGTTAGTTAGCTAGTTTATTAAAGAAAATACATACTGTCTCATTTAACAGGGATGAGTAAGCTAGTTTCGCAAATATCATTCCAGGAACGTGAGTAATCAACATTACTTAAACAGAAAAGAAACTTATTTCCTTCTTGCTAAAACTGCTTTGTGACAAAAATCATTACAGGTACGCAACAAGTGGAAGCAACAGATTAGAAACAATAGGGCACAACACCATAACACGTGATAGGTACAGATACTAGGCATAAGTAGAGTAACTGTATTTTACCTGTAGAATTAGTAGCCACTTACCTCTATTATACATAGGAGTAACTTGAGTCTGTATTAATGTAAAACACATACATAAATATAAGATATAGCTCCAACGTTCCATTTTACTTATCACTTTTATATTACACCGCCCAATTTACAAAAAAATAACGTTTGAAATGCAGGCTGCAGCAACATTACAATAAATGTTTTCGTTGTATCAATGTTTACATCTTTAACCTGGATTTTAAAGATATTGTCGTTTTCGTTGATACACGTGGCTGTGCAAATTTAACATATCACAGTTGATTTTGATTCAGTTAGTATTTACGTACAAGACACTTTAATTTACATTAAATATAACTTAAACTACACCTAACAAACACCGAAGGCACAAAGAACTCACGCCATACGCACAGTCCGAGAGTATAATGACTCACAATTTTCCTCGATGATGCTTAGTACAGTTGCCAACTTTATTTTCAACCAATTGAACTTTTCGTAAATCTTTCAAACAATAATTATGCTGCCTTTACACAAAATACTAGTGTATTTTATTGAATAAAATAGTTAAAACTGCCCAATAACAGTTTATTTTCCAATAAAATATCCCGTCCACAGTTTAAACTATTTCAGACCGTTAAAAATCGCCTAACCAACACGGCAAAGGAGTGGCACTGCGCAACGTACAGGTAACTGTTTAGAGTGGCGGCAATACAAATTTATGAATCAATGAATGACTCATTTCATAAAATCTCAGAAATGACGAACTGATTTTGTTCTTCCTCCTTCTTCCATTATAATACCTTTACATTTAATATAACTTCAAACTTCGTCAGTAGGTTTTGATTCACGGTACCTGTAGCATAACAATATATATTTTACGTAGATACGACGATTGCCTACTTCGATATAAATTAATAAAACTTTTCAAGTCATATTCAGTTAGTTTATTATTTTGTGAAATCTTAACAATTTTTCATTTCATAATTTACGTATCTCTTACGTATATCTTTAAAATTACAATAGTATTTATAGAACCTATCGCAATCTAACTAGTATAAGTTGTCTTAAAAATCAGTACTTTACTACCTAGTAAAACTATATAAGTATGGGGAAAAAAAAGATATTTAAAATATGCTTCAGAATTGATACCATGATGACTAATTCTACATGCATTCCGTCAAAACAGTGGCGAAGCAATATTTTTTAAATTATAACATAACCTTCACAATTTTCCATACGTCTTTTTCATTCTATTATACCTATTTTTCTATGAAATGTAAATAACCAATTATGCTTTTAATTATGTTTAATATTATTTTTGTCGCAGATAGTACTTTGGTATCAGAAATATTTGTATTGTATATGTACAATTATTATTGTTTCCATACCACGTTTTGCTTACAACCCTACTACCAACGTCACTGTATCTTATAATAATTAATAAACAGGCATTGCATCAAGTCAATATAAATATCATATTGGTTGGTATTAATCTGTGTAGGAGAGATATACTAATAACTGTTCTTATTGATGATATCGAATACTTTCCAATGCAATAACTTTCCAGTCAACTTAACAGAATCTTTGTCTCCTTCTACCACCTTTGTTCGTTCAATCACGATACCAGTCAATTGGTGTCCTACTTTTTGTCTTGTGAACCTTTGAATTACAATACAACTAACCTGAGAAAAATAAAATACAATACACATTTTGTTCTCAATATGCACATTTTAAGTAATCTTGAATATGGATTTAGATGATTAAAATTATTTAGTTCGACTTTATCGCACGATTTATTTCTAACTAGATAAAAGTTTTTTATATATGGGATAAATAAAAAATTGAAAAGCTTTAATTTGTTCGTTTTTTTTTTGTTTTAATTAAATCTGAAAACTGAATACGATTACAAAATCTATCAATGGATCTACATTTCTTCTTCTTCTTCTTACCTGTGCTTGCGAAGTTACTCCGCCTTGTGAAGTTGTGGACTATACACCACAGCTTAATAATTAAACACTGCTCTATTACTGACAACCTTGCTAAGAGTAGTTTCATATTTATATATTTAATAAATTCCAGAAAAAGAAAAGATACAATATCTTTTTGGTCTGAATGGCCGTCTGACCAGCTGGCCCCTCAAGGCCCATCCCAAACAAAAATCGTACCTACGCCCATGGTGTCCATGTAGAGAAATTTTGACGAAGAAATTTCGAACGAAATATACAAAATAATAAATAAAAACAGAAGTAGCTGATCTTAATATCTCAAAGAATTATACTTACATATATTTACAAAATATATATTTTTTCATAACCAACTGAAAGATTCGATGTTTTTTTTATTTTTTAGCAAAATTAATTTCTCTTGATGCTGATATCTATTTAAATTTTAATTTGATACCTAAATTCCAATTTTCACAATTCATAACTTTCAAAAGAAATCAAAATTTTGTGAAGAATAAAAAACATCTTTGTTACCTATCAGTTGATGAAAAAAAATTTTTGCAAATACAGGCGGTCACAAATTAATAAAGCAATCCACAAATTATAGATTCGTTGTGTGAAAATAATTCGACATTACGTATGCCATTTTTAATTTAGGCACCCCATTTTTGCTACAGGGTGTTAAAATTACAATTTTAAAAAATATTAAAACTTGGAAAACAACCCAAACATAATGAATATTAGATTACTTTATATTTTTCACAAATGTATACGAGAAGAGAAGCTGAAACTTTAGAAGAATGGGTTATCTAAGATCTGGAAATGTGATATTTAAATAAAAAAATGTAAGTTACATAGTTTATTTAAATTATGAATTATATAGTAGTGCAAGTTATATTTACATATTATTGTTACAAGTCTATATAAATATCATTGCAACTGCTATAAATAAAGGTACTAGGTACATCTAATAAATATTAAGCAAGCTATTGATCACATTTTATACCATTACATAAACTCGCTGAGAAAAATAAAAGTATAGATCAATAGTATATTTATTTTCCCTTACATACGTTTATTCTCTAATCATAACTCGTTACCAAAAATATAAATAACTTTACTATACTTTACAACTATGTAAGGATGGACATATGATTAGCAGTTTTAAATTAAGTATTAAAATATAAAAATGTAACACTAATACTATTGAAAAAAATAAATAAATATGAAGAGAACAAGTAAAAAACAAATCACATTTTTAAAATGCTACCAAACAAAAAATTAAAGGCTCATTATATTACACTTTCTTTCCCGTAACCTCATCACAGAGAGCCGACAAGGCAGCACATTCCTCAGTTTTCTGTTGTAGTGAAACTTCTAAAGAACTGCACTTAATTTCTAAACGTTTAATAATAGCCTTGAGCTTGTTAATATCCATTTCATATTTGTCCCTCAGCATAAGAATTTCCTTGTTAGATCTAGAAGTAAAGAAATAAATGTATATACAGCAAAATCTCGTTAATCCGGCACGATTAAAAACCTAAGAGTGCCAGAGTACCTGAAAATTCGAATTAATAGAATATGTGTAATGTAAACAGTATTAAATTAAAACACATTCCTTTTAATTGTTTAACAAAGAGATTGGTACATATATACATACATATTACATTTGTGTGTGCATATATATGTATATTGTAATGTTTTTACTTTTCTGTAAAACAATCTTTCAACTTATAAACTGCGTTATTCAAGAGTAGTAGACAAACGCGAAAAAAATAACTACGAATTACTGGACGTGCCGGTGTAATGAAGTGCCGTATTATATTCTACCGTATACTTAAAAAAAAAATTACATTATTATTCATTTAAATAAATAAAACAAATATAAACATTAAATAACAAATTTTGCATTTAACATTAAAGCAACTTTTTTCACAAATGCAAAATCAATACAGTTGCTACGATTTCAGGGGTTTTCATAAACACAATTCTTCTCAGTTTTACCACTGTAGAATTTTCAAAAAATCGTCTTTTTTTTGCTTAAAAGGTAGTTTGAACTTTCTAAGAATACGAGTCAAAATATTTTATACATGAAAAAATTTTTTTTTTTTTTATTTTGCGCTTTTCCTGGAGCGTGTCGGGCGTCTCATACCACATACCTTCTTACCTATTGATTTACAACTTCTCTAATACACTCATAGATGTCGTTAGGGAGTATGCGTGTACAATTCAAGCAAACTTTAAAAGAGTCTAATTTTTTATTTTTTCATGTCTAAAACTAATTTTAAAACTTTAAACGCGTTTTTCTCGAAACACACTTTTTCAAAATGACATGCACTGTAACTCCAACAATTTTCAATATTTTCTTTTAAAATTTTAACCACACATTTAAAACAATATTTTGAAGAGAAACCCTACGGATTTTTTGATAAATTAATTTAAACAATTGTTATAAACAAATAACTGCCCTTTTTTCGTCAAAAATTTAACGTTTTCAAACACTTGACAATTTTACAAAAAAACAATATTTTTACAATCCCATGCGTGTTTCTCTAGCTATAATTTGCACTAGTTCTAGTGCGTGCCGCGGAATGCCTCGACGGCAACATGTTTCAGAACAACGGCTCCAGTGCCACCATTTTGAAATATTTTTTAATGAAAATATTTTTACTGCACACTTAAATACATGCCTAATAACATACTTAAACAGTGTTTTTCTATTACCTTTCCTTCTATTAAAAAAAAATTGTCAAAAACACGCTTTTTAGGCCGTTACAGTGGTGTAACCCTTTAATATATTTATGATTAATATACAATTTGGTACTCTCGACAAACAGTGGAAATATGAATTTATATTGATTATACAGTTAGTTTTAGCCACACAACGATTAAATTTATCATGCAATAACCTTTACCGTACTTCGGCACTCTCAAGCACTATCACTCATTCGCAGCACAGTTTTTTTTTTAATCTTGGTAAATTAAAAATCAGCATTGCATAAGAAAACATCCATTTCTGGCTCTCCCCATGCATTTACAAAAATAACTTTTATATTCTACTTACTTTTCTATTTGTCCCTTTGCATGTGCTTTCAAAGATTCATATCTTTCCTCATGTTGCTTGAGAGTCCTTTCAGAAACCTGCAAAGCACCATTCAAAGTCTCTTCATTTGACTTAAATCCTTCTAGCAAAGCTTTAGTCCTCTCGTATTTCCTAAATAAAAAATGTACATATGTATCTATATCATTCCATACTAGTTTTTTGAGGACTGTTTTACTTACTGATGTACATCAGAAAATGCCAGTTCAATGTTTGCTAAATGGCGTGTGGCTGTTTCATGCTCCTCCTTCAATTTCTGATAATCAGCAAAACGGGTAGCTATTGTATTTTCATATTCCTCCATAATTTTTCTGTAAATCATCAATAAATGAGATTGATTTTTTATTAAAGAAATATACCTACTGGTAATTAAGGTCGTCTTTTGTTCTTTGGTTGAGTTCAGCAACAGCCTTTGCTTCTCTGGCCTTAGCCTCCTTCAACTGATCCTCTAATTCTTTGCTTCCATCTTTTTCAATTAACTTGGAATTTTCTTTTAGTTTTTCCCTAAGTTGTTTAATTTCTTGTTTATATGTTTGTTCGTTTTTCAATGCTTCTGCTTGTGTCTTGATAATAACCTCTTCTTTTTGTCGTATTTCAAGTTCTAATGATGCTTTCGCTTGCTGAATTGCATTCAATTGCAGCTTCAAGTCAGAATTTTCCTGCTGTTGTTGATTTAATTTTTCACTGAGGTCAGCCATTTTCTGAAAACAGATTCTTTTATTTCACAAAACACAAAAGTAAAAGATTTTCACACTACTAATGCAAGGGTGAGCTAAGACTAATAGTATCATACTATTGATTTAAAACAACAATAAAAACTACAGTAAAAACTTACAGATTTCTGGTCAGTCAAACTTATAATTGTTCTGTCTGGTCCAGGTTCAGTAAGTTCAGCCAATTTAGGCTCGTCTTCTATTCTAGGTTTTGCTTGTTTATCTAGCAACCGAGGCTGCTCGTCTTGAGTACTGTCAATTGCATCAATTTTAGTATTTTCATCAGAAGTTGTTTCATCTACAGGTATTATTTTAAGTTTGTCATGGGTATGACTTAATTTTTCATCTGGTGAACAGCTGTCTTTTTTATCGGGAGAAATCTTTTCCTCCTCTCCTTTGGCACTACCTTCAAAATCGCCTACGTGACTTTTCGGGCTTTTAGTATAAGACTCTTCAATACTATCAAGTCCAGAATCTAAATGATGTTCTTCATCATGATGAATAGATATGGTATCATCAGATTCTGCTACAGCTTCAAAATGTACGTCAGAGGGTTTTTGGGTTTCAGATGTGTTATTATCCAATTCTTCAGTTTTCTTCTCGGATAATTTTTCTTCAGAGGATTCAGGTTTACGCTCAACTTCAGCAGTTGTTTCTTCAACTTTTTTGTAAGTTACATCTAATTCAGTATATTCCAAGTTTCCTTCATTAACTTCAGATGTTTCTAACTTCTTAGATTTTAATTCAATATCTAAATCTAAATGTTTCTGAGGTTTCTCTGTCTCCTTCCTAAATTCAGATTTACCTTCACTATCTGATGTTAACTGTTTCTGAGGATGTTCTGAGATACGGTACCTTTCAAATTCTGTTTCACAACTAGAATCCAAGTTCTTTTGAGATATTTCAAGTTGTTGGTTGGACTCGGCATCTGCTCCACAGTCTGATACTACATGTTCCTGTGGGATCTTAGAGTCCTGCCCAGATGCAAAATCAGTATTAGATCCTAAAGTCTTCTCGAAGTTTTGAAAAGTTTCTTTGGAGAGTTCCTCCCTAAAAGATTCTTGATTCACCGTTAACTTGTCTTCTAATTTGGATTCACATTCAGGTTGTAATGGTAGTTGATATTTCTGATGTCTGTTTATTTTACTAGATCCCTCTTTTATATATTCGTCAAAGTCCTCTACTGCACCTTCTAATACAGAGAATTCCTCTGCAGATGACTGCAATTTAGTTTCAGGGATGGTACAATCTGTGTTTGCTTCGGAAATATCAGAAAAAATATGGTCTTTTTCTCCTACATTAACTTCCAAGATAGATTTGTTGTCAATCACTGTAATTTCTGATTCCTTACTGTTGTCAGATGATCCTTCCTTTTCTATAACTTCGCTAACTCCTAAAGTTCTATTTTCTAAGCTTTGTGGTTCCTCTGCTAAAGTTGATTCATCATTTCTAATCCTACTTTCTAAAGTTACAACAGATCTCTCAGGAGAAATATTCCTTATTTCACTAACAGAAGTTAACGAATTAGCTTCAATAGCATCTGCAGCATTTTCTTGCCTACCTCTGAAAGTTTCTACTCTATTTTCAGGAGAAAATGTCTCTCTAAGGATGTTACAATTTTCAAGTTCAGATTCACTTATGGTGAATTTGGATCGTGTTGGAATGATATCAGAATCACTACTTATTTTCCTATTAATTGCACTAACAATTTTGCTTTCTGTTACAGTTGGAATAAGCACAGTTGAACATATTGTTTCCTTCTGAATATGGGACTGGTCACTAGATGAGGTAGATGTTTCAACATTTATTAATACTGGCTGATTTTCAGCTACATCAGAGGTAGACCCGGATTCACTATCACTGCCTTTTAGAGCAACATAAACCTTTTCTGGTGTATAAAACTTTAACAAAGACTCCTCTTGCTGAAAATTTTCGATTTCAGGAACATGGAACTCACTACAAGCTGCATCAGTGGCAGTGCAAGCATCTACAAATTTGGTTTCATCATCACTTACTTCAGCCGAATAAGAAGTTTGTTCGCTTTCAGATTCATCTGACTCCTTAATAATAAGTTGTCGACGAGGTCTCTCATAGGATTCACTAGTAGACGCAGTCTGAAATTTTTCAGGGCTAAAAACATCAAATATTATTAACTCTATTAAAAAAAAAGTTTAATATTTCTTACCTTTCTTTGTATAGAGGATCAAAAGATTTTAAAATAGATCGTCTTGAATTACTTTCTTTTGGCTTATTAGTACCACATCCTATATCTAAATGGAATTATTGTTTTAATACATTTCTTGGATGGTATTAAAGTTTTATTGAACTACAGTTTTAAAGGAATGTAATATACAACTAGATAGTATTATTATATTATTAATTACATTACTAATAACATGTGTACTGGGCGTCAAGACTGCACCAAAATGTGAAAACGTCATTGCACAACATATCAGTGAGACCAAGGTTAGTAATAAAAAGGCGTCATCACTATAAATACTATCTCCTTGGATGTACTCAAATAAAATAATATTAAAAAATATATATCACTATACAGAAAAATATTACAAACATTAGAAAAGTGTTTTCCAGTGTTAGGATGAATTTTTAAATTCAAAAATACATAATTCGATATAAAGTAACCTTGTTATTGCACAACTTGACTTGTGACTTAAACTTGAAACAAATAAGGTTGAATTTCCTATGTCTACTGTCTCCGCGCAAACTAAACTGTAGGCGGTAGACAACCCCACAAATAATGTCACCAATAAATTAGTCATCAAGAATTCATGAAAAAGTACATGCGAGTAGCAAGTATATACGTATACGTTCATTGTCCACTAACCTCAGAATAGCAATGAATACGATGTAGCTTTATTTACATAAGATTGGTTTTGGCGAAGCCGTAACACCCATTTTTACTTTAAAAATAATATTTCTTTGGAGAATCGTGAACATTTTCTAGTTTAATAAGAATTTGATCTAGGTTTTACCTGGTTTATCGGTATCAGAGTTTAAGGCAAAACCATTTTCCTTGTCATCAGAGGAACTACCTTCAACAGGGTCCCGCTGTTTAGGAGCATCGTCCACCGCTTCTTGCGGTTCATTCTACAAATAATCACTATTATGTATACTACAATCACAATCGACTACATGAACTATACCAAGTATATTTATCAAGTACATATTTAATTTAAGTAAGCTGTTAATTAATTTCTCTCTTTAATTCCAAGACATACGGACATACATAGGAGGAGAATTTAAGAAACAAAAAGGCCCACCAATTTGCAAAAATAAAAATATATTATTCAAAGATGATATTAATTATGCAGGCTGATGGTAAAAATTGAAATTGTGGATTCTTGATTACGATAAATCAAAATTGGATTATGTTTTTGAGAACAGGAAAAAATAATTGTGTGGCAGTTTTACAGGGGTTGCGCCTTTTTAACTACTTCTAACATAAAAAGGGAAATAGACAAGGCATACCAAGCGTAGAACTGCAAAATACAATCAAAAATAAGTTATTTCTCGCCTCTTTAGCTATAAAACAACATTTCAAATACTTTAAAACAAATTAAAGTGATCACAGATTTAAAACATTAGCAACAAATTACTAAGAGAGTAAGCGTGTTATTCTGAATTCAGAACTAAAATTGTTTATAAATTAAACATATTTGAATTCAGTGCGACATGCTTCTTTGCTAAGCGATTTGTTACTAATGTTCTTCATTTATTTTTTTCCTGATTTATTTAATTAGATACAAGATATAACCGTCCAGCAAAACCAATTACAGGGTGGAAAAAATAGACTACAAAATACTTAGAAATAAAGGTTTTGTGACAGTATCAATTTGTTTTAAAGTGTTTGAAATGTTTTCCTTCAAATATTGTCCATGGTTTTTTACTCGTAAGCATTCTCGAACCCTTCAAAATTTTGTGCAATTTTAGAGTAACATAACATAAAAAAAGACGTGATTTATGCATGGCTGCAATTTATGTTAATAACATGGCCATAGTCGTTTCCAATAAGAAATCAAAATGGGTTAAAAATTATATTGTAGCTAGAACAAGAACTGGAAGATAAATATTTTGTTTATACATTATTTTTAATTTAAAAAATGGTTCTGTTCATTCTGCAGGTATTCGCAAAGCGCAATGCATGTAGGCACAATGGATCCTGTAATGTCTTATTTATTAGTTTACAATAGGTACCTTACTTTATGAGAAAGACGCAGGACGCCACAGGTGTGTCAGATGTCAACCATAAATAAGGGATTTCTAATTTCTATTCATTCACGAAAAAATATGAGTGATGTTCAGGTCAATGCCAATAAAATAATTTTTTTACAGTTTACGACCTGTTCTCTTACGAGATAAGGAGATATTTTATACTTTATTTGTGATTGTACTGGTTGGAGTGTAAATAAATTTAGAATTAAAGCAAAACATAATATTTCGTTTGTAGGTTGAAGTTTGTATTACGAATATATTTTTGCAATAATTATAAATTTGGCTAAATTTGAATATGTATAAAACCTACATATATGTACAGGGTGATCCAGAATTACGTGCAAAAAATTTGAGAGCCAATTATTTTAAACACTTTTAATAAGGGTCCTTCATACAAAATTTTTTAATTTAAGGCCCCCTTCAGGACTTCCGATCCCTTAAAAGGGGGTGAAATATGTAGTTTTATTTATTTATTTCCAAACAGTTTGAAATTTAGAAATTTGTCATGATATTTAGGCTGAAAAAGCTTCTAGACGAGTATTTTTTATAGTACTCGTCCTGTTATAAGACGTTGAAATGAACTACCTTCTGCACATTTTTTATTATATTCTTTTTTAAGTAGATTCTTCCGATAAAAAAACTTTTTTAACGCTTTTTAAATTTAGGATTGTTCTTGTCTCTTTAAATTTTTTGTCATCAAGCAGAAAATTATGGGAAACTACTAGATGTGCAAAATCAAATCAGATTGAAAAGACTATATGCGCGTATGATCCTGAACATAATTTTTTTACTCAAAACCTGTAATACTTATCAAAAAATTCAGAGACAAAAAAATTATAAATGTAATAGTCGTTCAAAAAAATTTTTTTTTTGAATTGAAAGAATTTACTCCAAAACAATATAATGGAAAATGTTCAAGGGGTAGTTCATTTCAACGTCTTATAATAGGACGAGGACAATACTTGTCTAGAAGAAGCTTTATCCGCCTAAATATCGTGTCAATTTTCTGTTCTTAATTTCAAACCGTTTCGAAAAAATTAAATGAAACTTTACATTTTCACCCCCTTTTGGGGTCGTAACTCCTTTAGGGAGGCTTAAATAAAAAAAATTTATATGAATGACCCCTATTAAAATCGTTTAAATAATTTGACCCTCACATATTTTGCACATAATTCTGGATCACCCTGTAATAAAAATGCAAGAATTTTGCGGGTGACCCCAAAACTCTTATCGCCGCCTCTGCTCAAGGAATATATCGCTATAAAATCCTGAATAATTATTATACTGATTTTAAATGGACATGAAATTGGCCTCTGAAAATATAGATTAGTTGCTAAATAACAGCCGTGTTTTATTTACCAGAAATACACGACTCGTGTTGATTACGATTTATCTGTTTTCTGCATTTGTAAATTTACAGACTGGCATAAGAATATACAGTTAATTACAGTTTTAACCGTGATAGTTCTAAATTTGGAGGTATAACTGTGTGTATGCCCTGCTAATAAGTGAAACAAAAATATTCAAACTTTATACACTTTATCAACAATCAATAGATATCATATTCCCAGTATTGAAAAATTACATATTACCTTATCATCCACAGTTAAATACAGACGTAAATACAAACTATATTTAGCAAGGCAAAGTTACTGTATATTTTCTTGTTTTGATATTTTTCGATATTTTTTATTTATAAAATATATAATTATTTACTTCTAGTATTACATTTAATCTATGAACTCAGAAACTTGTGTCTGATCCAAACAAACGAAAATAGGTATCCAAACGAGCAAATAAAATATAAATTTAATTAAATAAATTTACTTCTTCAACATAAGACTTGATAGTATTTTATAATGTACCTATCCAATGAGTTTTAAATTACATAAAAATTAACCTCCCAACTGACTTATTAAACATTGTTTTTGTCCAATTTGAGGACATACATTTGACTAAGAAATTCAACAATTTGTAAGATAGAATGATTAGTTCGATATTCGATAGTGTAGTAAATCGGTAACGGAGAAATGATTCTAAGCCTTTAAAATATGAAAATTTATTACTAAAATAATCTACAAAGCGTCTCACCTGAATATATTTTTTTAACACACTAGTAACAAAATTCATTCTAGTCAGCAACAAAAACTGAAATAATATAAAATTTTCTTGGCGTGCATATGGCAAAACAACAAACTAAATATATCTTAACATTGAATTGACACAATGCGCGTAATTATATTAAAAATCGCACATTCATTTAATATGATATTAAATTAATTTTATGTACAAAAAATCCTCACAGGGTATTTAAATTAACACCAATTACAACCATAACATGGTGAAACGAACTTATTGACTGTATTTTAAAACTACACTGATCTATTTATATACATAAAAACTTAAAGGCGTAAATTAATACCGAGGGACTCAATGAGAGTTTCAGTTACCCCGCCAATCTTTTTTTAAAAACCGTTCGAGGCACATTTTAACTAATCCATATAATTTTGTCTGCATTCCTGCAAGGGGTCATTTAACCCTTTCAGTTATAAACAATTTAAAAATATATATTTTCAGTGTAAAAAACTACAAACATTTAGCAGCAATTAATAGGACGAAGTGTTTTAATTGACTTTTTATTGAAAAGATCAAATATCTAGTCGTTTTTTATTAACGCCTGAATATTAAAAAAAAGCATAATTCACATATTTTTGATAATGGAATCAAATTAAATCGTCACTTGATACATTCGAAAATTAGAAACAATAAAAGGTGAAAACGAGACTAAACTGGCGTTTCTTTTATAAATTACATATGACAATATTTAAATTATAAATATTATTGTTTTATTTCTCAACAACAAAAAGAAGTAAATAAACCCCCAGCCACAAAGATACGTCATATCACCAGTTTCATATCTGATATCAGAAATTGAACAAGAAAATATATATTAAAACATTTTGAAACTGTGAAGAAAAAAATGCTTTAAACTTGTAATGTAATGAAATAACCTAAAACAATATAGCAGTCAATATTTATTTATAATTTTTATGAATTGGACAATATGGATTATTTTGAAAGTTTATGTCTATTAAATGAAGAATTTACTATTTGATTTTTAAATTATATCATCTAGTTTCTGACAATATTTTCTTTGAAAATCATGATTTTTTATTTAAAAAATCATGATTTGATAAAAATCAATGACTGTAATTTTAATCGAATACTTAATTGAAATTATCTCAAACCTGATTTTTAAATTATTTAGTTGAATGACGTTAGATTAGGTTAAGGGGTTAATTTTATAAATTTGTTATGGCGTAATCAAAATATCTCTCAATATATGGTACAAATACCCAACTAAAATAAATAAAAAAAAATGTAACAATTAAAATCCTAATTGCAAAGAATATTACTAGTTTTGTATAGTTATTTCTATAGCTTACCCAGTTATCAGATATGGCTTCATGTGATGAGTTTCAAGAAAATTTTTAGAACTAATTAGAATTAACTTTATTAAAGTAAATATAAATCTTATAATGTGTATTTGTTGGTTATTGTTTCTGTGCACATTTTAGAAATTTCAGTATGTCCCCGATTCAAAGTGAGTTAATTATTAATATCGAGGGAAAACTGCAGGAGTAATTTGGTGTACAAGTTTGAGTAATATTTGAGTTATACTGATTACTATTTGAATATGTAGTTCAATAATATTTAAGTATAAAAATAATTATGTGTGACTGCATTCGAAGCTGCCACCCCTCGCTTTCTACTATTTTTTAATTAATAATAAATTATTATTTTACTGCACAAATTTTGGACCAGCAGTGGTTTTTCTCTCGATTAATATCAATGATGACCTACATCAAAGTTAATTGCTTGGTTTATTGAATATAGATGCCTACCAGCAGTTTTTCTTTTTTTTTTTTCATTATCCGTTTCTATTTATTTGGACTTATCTAGTTTTGAATTCAGGTGACCAAAATGTTAAGTAAACAGTTACTAAGTTTCATCGCTAGAAAAATTCTATTAACAGTGATTGATTATCTAGATACTAATAAGGATATCATAAAAGAAAATATGTTAAACTTCAGTCACATATAATAGTTTACGGGTTCTAAAATTTACACGATATAAGTAAGTATATAAAAATTATTATTTCATTCATTCACCATACATTTACAGTCCAGACACAAGCACTTGACATTACTATTGATTAATGTATAACAAGAAATATTATTGCAGTTGTTAAAAGTATTTGCAGTAGTAGGTACAGTACTTGAATAGCGTTAGGATGTAATTTGTATGTAATTGTATATCCATATTTATAATGACAATCTACTTACATTGATGCTTGTATTGGCAACTTCTCTAAGTGGATCTCTTCTCTCCATTTTTAACTTGTAACAGCAGTAAACACCTGTATAAAAAATAAAAGAATAATAAAATTTAAACAATGTAATTGTTTCTAAACAGAAACTAAACAATATATAAAGAGTGACTTATTGACCTTAATAATGTTTTAATATATAATAAAATACCTAACTAAAGAAAAAACGAAAACATGAAAAACAAAACAACATTCTAAACTTCGACCATTGCTTTTTGTGCATATCTACTAAATTACACACACATTAAACCATGAATTAAATACAATGCCACAGACTGAAAACATACCTTGAAGTAAATATTATATGTCCAAATTACAATTTAAACACTTTTTAATTTTTGGATAACCTTTTTGATAAATATACGTTACATCAAACATTTGAAAACAAACGGAAAACACTGAAAACTACTTTGCGACTGCGCCTAGCTTACTTGGACAGTGGGACTGGGGGTCAGATTCTAACAAGCTTCGCAGGTTTCCAACTTAATATTTAGTTACTTACTAAAGAAAGTTTATTACCAAGTAGTAATTTTGTCGCGGCATATTTAAAATACTCCGTAGTTATGCCAGCTGATAACGTGATGGCAACATTAAAGGTTAAATGGATTATTTTACAGAATTTATAGCTTTTATAGTGGTCATATTTTAATAATGAAGCATGAAGCATAGACCCACACCGTTTTTAGGGGATGATTTCTATCATAGATAAGAGAGATAACTAATTTCTATACTTACATAGTGAACTTTCATGGTAAAAAAAGTCCAAACGGAATTTTCAAATTAAAAAATTAAAGAGATCTCTGCACATATTTGTATTAAATATTTTTTGCATAATCAATTGATAATTTTCTTTCTAATTATTTAATCAAATTTTTACTTGAAACTAAAGTTTTATTTTGCAAACTTAATGGCGTAATTTTATGAAAAATAAGTTTTGAAAAAATTCTTTCGAAATTTTGTCATCATGATATTTCTTTGAGGGTCTAGAAACCTTCACTAGAAACTTGTGTTTTCCTTTTTATTATTGTGAATTACTAAGATTTCTATAGAGTTACTATTACTAAAAATTAGATGTATGAAAATATAAAGTTTGTAAATACAATAGAGCAATATAGACTATAGCTAATTAAAGCAGAAGATATTTTAGATATTTATTAAAAATGTGACAGGTATTATAATAATGGAAAATACTAGTAGAATATAGATACAAATTTTATCTTACCTATCCGAGATGATTTGATACCTTCGAATATTTTGCAATTTTGCTAAATTATGCGCGTTTTACTAAGCACTTACTGCACTGCATTAAATTTTCCTATAGGTAAAAGTTAAGTGATAAAATAAACATGAATATTTTAATTTATGGTTTATAATGGCATTATATGTACAACGCTTTTTACGACACAACATAAATTAATATGGTGTCGCAAATTTATATAATTTTCAAATATTTACTTCCTAACAAAGATCACATGCAAAATGAGATATTTGCGCCTCTTTAGAGCCACATTATACCAAAAGAGTTTTATAAAAGCATATATGAATTTATTGATTTTTCTAAAAAATAATATATATGTCCAAAACTGATTATTTTAATTCAATATTTTTGGTAGTCTCTACAATAGCATTTTTTTGTAATATCTACCTATATAAATAGTTTTAGTTTATAGATGTTTTTCTATTTCTGTTGTGTACCGGCACGTTTTTGTTGTCTATTATAAAGAAAATATAAATACTTCATGGCAATTAATTCGACAGCATTAATAATTTTAAATTTTAAAACAAATATTCACAATTTTCTATACGAAAAAATATAATTTCTAATTGTAACTGTGGAATTATAAAATTCACATTTTCAAGTGGCACACGAGTTTTCAATTCATAAAGAAGGAAAGCTAAAAAAAATAAACAAAATTGGTTTGCCACTTTTATCACAAATGGCAAAAGTTGGCCGATAAATATCTCGAGGCTCTGTTCCTTTAAGACTAACTTCTTTTATTAAGTATTGCCTAGCTCTTATACTGGTTCTTCGTGTACATCTTTCTCTGCAATTTATTTTACTCTTAGTCTTCCGCGAGCACTCGTGCTAAAAAGTGACGACTGTATACCTACATGTGAACATGAATGTGTGAATTTATTTCGACAACATGGAAAGGTATACGATATTTTTAACTTATATTGCTTATTAAAATATATATGTGTTTAGTACATACTCAAGCATTAATAATAATTGTTTAATTACTGTAATAATAATATATATTTATCAAATAATAAACTACTATACTTACTACTATTTTTATTTAATTAAAACATAAAACTTATATAATAACATATAGTTAAATTTGTTGACTTTTAACTAAATTAGAATAAAAATTTTACGGTACTTAATATACATAGGAATATATTTTCAACTTTTTTATTTATCTAGTTACAATAAATGTAACATGTTTTGGCCAATTGATCTCTTAAATTGGACTTTTAATTATAAGTAAAGTCAAACTTTAAATAATCAACAATAATCAATTTTTTAATACAGCTTTCTTATTTTTTCCTTTTGACTGACAGACAAAACTGGAGCAGAGTGATCATTTTTTTAAACCATCTTATTATTTGTAAACCATACAGTAGACTCGTGCGACGAAGTAAAATGTTTATTCACGCTTTAATAAGCGTATAAATGTGTATAATTTGTCTATACATAACGGAAGAAATTTAAAATAGGTTCGTAAAAAAAATTTTCATGTGAAACTTTAGTTTGGTGCGTGATTTTAACAAGTGCTATGTCGTTGCATTATTGATATATGTCTCATGTTGGTGTACTTTGTTTAGTCAGATATTCTACAAAACGGATTTACATGGTTGATATGGTAGTAAATATGTATGTATTCTTATTATTCGGGTTAGGTACATTAAAAACAAAAAGTAATAAAAAAAACAGAAATAAATAATTATACGCAATTTTAAAATGTTTTGAGGTTGTATTTTTGGTACCTACTAAGATTTCGCATAGAATAAAAATTTTGAGGTAATATTAAAATAGAGATTTATTTACACATAATAAAATACGGGTAAAACTGAAAATATGTATGATTTTCCTTTCTGTTAATTTGTAAAATTTTGAAGATATGTTTCCACTATTCATTTAAACCAATTAAATATGATGCAAAAAATTGAAGTTACAGTATTCTAGAAAAATGTCTTAAACTGCAATTTTAAAATATTCTGGTAAAACGACGAAGTTTTAAATTGATATTTAAAAAGTGCAAGAGTTAGGTCTGAATTTAGCAAGTTATAAAGAAAGTGGTCCGTATAAAATTGAAAAAAGAACCTGCTTATAGCTGGTACTCCAAAACACCATCCACAATTATACCGGAAAAAACCGTTAGCTTATATCTTCAGCGATTTTAAGGTCATATTGTAAATGTCAGTGTGGAGATTAAATTATAAGATTATTTAAATAAATTAAAAATATTCCAATATACCTACTCCATACTCATATCAAGTAATAAGTCTTTACGTTGATACAATTGTTCAGTTAAGAATAGATATCATATTTTTCTATTTTAAAGACATTGACATATAATTCTTGTATTCTACATACAAGGAAAGTGGGTATTAACCATTACAGTCATTACACATCATTGCATTACCAATAATTTTATATATATTGTTAAATAAGTAATTATAAATGTTCTATATTTGTATATAACCGTTTATTACAAATTGTTGGTCAAAATAATTAATTAAACCTGAATATACCGCTTACCTAGATACTACCATAAAGTTGAAGTGGAAACTGATTCCTTGCATTATTTTTATGATTAATTATGACATTATCTTGTCTTATTGTTGCTATTTGACATCTTGTCAAATAAGCATATTAAGACTGCAATTTTACATAATAATCTTAATGCTAGAATAACGTCAAAAATATTTTTTTAAAAGCATCCCATTCATTTTGGCTCTATATAAAATAATATCAGAACAAGATGAAAGAGAATAATTGCATAGAATTCAACATTAAGATGGCTTGAAATTATACTCTACATCAATAAAACATTCAATTTCATTATTTACGTTATTTGTTCATTGTCTCATAAACTGCCTACAATTATTTGAAAATCTTATTAATATATTTCCGTTAAGTTCTAAAAACGAACAGATATTTAGTACGGAATAGATAGTTTGCAAACTAAGTTAGCAAGCTCTATTAAATAAAGTAGTGCTTAATTATTTGGCAATTAAAATAGATTCAATATTCAGTATACACTGAAGTGCACAACGGAAATATCTTATTCTGAATTTAAAAAATCCTCAATGTGAAATGGATTGCTTATAAAAATTATTATTATTTGCTTGCTTTTTTGCTCTCTTTATAAACATGTTTGAAAAGAAAAAATATCTAAAATATTATCTACGAATTTAATAAAAGATATATACTTGTCAAATACTCTTAATTAATCAACTTCTCTGAGACTCTTGTTGATGTTATTTAAAAAGGATCCAAACAAAAAGTACCTACAAAAAGTTTAGTCCCGTGATTAGTTACTGTGATTTCAACATTTGAGCATACATCCAATTTCCAAAAAGTTATAAAAAAATCTGGAAATATATTTACAATTCCAATACATTCCTACCTCTTGTGACAATACCTTAAAACAGTGATATTGTCCCGAATTAATAGAGCATGTACAATTCAATTTCTGGTAGTACCTACTATATATGTATTATTAAACTAATTTTAAGATAACTCAAGTGCAAGAATCGATAAAGATCATCATAGTTTTATAACAGAACATTTTGTATACCGCGACTATAAAATAATAACGATTTTTTGAATAGGACTGAATATCATTTTACATTTTCTTGACATAATCATCAATATGCGTGATAATTCTATTTCCATTAGAATAATTCATTAAAACATTTCTCTCAAAAAATTTTTAGTTGAGCGCATCTCCATCTTAAAACAAATTGATAATCAATGATTATATATAATATATTATGCATGTATGGGATATGAGTTAATATAGTAATTAATTGGAGCACTCAAAATTATATAAAAAGCAATTTCTAAACTGCTTTCTGGTTTTTCTGGTTTAAAATAGGCTACTGGGGTAATGTGTTAAGTAAAATATTCTGCATTCTTCAATATAAATAAATATTACAATTTTTTAACGATCTCAACTAAAAAATAACACTATAAAGTACATAAGGCCCATAATTTATAAAATTAAACAAATAACCATATAACCAAATAACGTTCGTTATGGCATGACAAACAAGTTCAATTAAAGGTCATAAAAGAGCAAAAAAACGAGTATAGGTCAGGTTAAAATTGATGGCAACAGTGTCCCCATAAAATTTCGCGGTAGACACTTTACTTCCTGATGTATTAGTTAGCTTATCAGCGTGTCTCGTGACGATTTAAAATCGGTTAGTAATTCATTTATTTTCCACGGGATTCTTATTTTAATTTAATTGTGTTTTAATATTCTAATATGAAAACAACTGTAAATTGTCGGAGTATTTGATTTTTTATTTTGGAAAAGTAAATAGAATAAATATTCGGAAAATCGTAGTAATCCATCCGCGTACGTTTACGTGTAACTGTAATAAAAATAACATAAATATTGTAACTAGGTAAAACGGACATTTCATTTTGTTTGTGGTTTGGTTACAACCTCGGTTACAACTTTGTCAAACAGTTAATAGAAATTAAACTCTTTTGTTCATACATCGACAAAACGAATAGTCACAATGTTACAATTCAATAATCCTTAACTATTATTTTATTATTTCACACACATAAATTATCTCATACCTAAGTGCGTGAATACCTTGGTGAATACTGTATAAACAGTGTCGGACTGGCTATGTTAAGGGGACTTCGCGAAATTCCGTGTATATACAGAGTCTTTCAGTTCGGGTGAATCAAACTTTAACCGAACTCAATAAATAATTCAGAATTGCCTCATAAAGCAAGGGTCTAAGTTTCACCGTTTTTACTGTACAGTGCCGTATTGATCGGTTTTTAAAATTATATTATTTATTATATCTTTGGTATGCTTATAACAAAGTGGCCGATTTTCAACAAGTAGGAATCCAAAAATGAATCCCAAATGATTATTAGGTCATTGGCGTAGTCCAATTTTTTTTGGAAATTTTAGACTTTTGGTACAGATAGGGTTGCCAACCGTTTCGAATTTGGGTGATGTTCACCATTTAAGCTAATATTTCTTCAAATGCAGGACGCCAAATGTCCTTAATTTTACAGCTGTGTATATTTTTCTAAAATCTACAAATGCGTTTAACACAAAAAGTAAATAAATGCATAATCAAGAATTTCGCATCATAATATAATTATAACTAAAATCTTTTTGACTTCTCATATAGTTTATTATATCATGTGTATTTTAATGTTTATAAATCTTTCAAAAGTTTGTTAAAAATTTCTTTTTGTCTCACTGTCTTTTATCTATTGACGATTTTAATTCATATATGTGTAATAGTACTTTTATAATTACCTGACTTTATGAATGAAAATGTACTTACGTATGTGAATGGTCAATAACTTCTATTGTATTCTATGTTTTTAGGCGATCTCAACCCAAAGAACGTATATTTATTGTTTTATTTGTATGGTTCAAAATTTATTGCCTATTTGGCGGTAGCTTTAAAATATGTAGTAACAAAAAAATGTATTATTTTTGGATTCATGTTTATATATATATATTTATAGTTTTCATACGACAAATAAAAAATGTCCTGAATTTTTTGCCCTGGTCTGAAATTTTTAGTTGCTTTGTTCTGAAAATAAGAAAATAAAAGTTGGCAACCCATCGTGGTCGCGAGTTAGCAAGTTTGACCATTTCGACTATGTTTATAAATAGTAGATTTTCATATGAGAAAAAATTAAATTTTTATATAATTATGTACATATACCTTCATTATGGTCAGTTGCTGGAGCATTAATATATTTTTTAATTGTATCAGATATCCAGATTAGAAACAAGGAATGTAGGCAAAGAAGTTATTTTTAATCTGTCCTGTTTATTGTTATATCTTTAATAGAACATTAAATCCGAGTTCAAAGTAATAAAATGTAAACGTCTTTACATGTCGCTATAAACAGACAATATAATTGTTTTGAAACCTTTAAATAAAAATTAATTCTAAATGCACGTACCTATTCTATTCATATAAAAAAATATTACCTACTTAGATACAATTCTTCCTTCGTGTTACCCACACATTAATATTGTTTGATATTTCAATATATCTTGTAAAATACAGTGTCCCATACATAATTATATTTTATCAATAGACATTATATAAAAAATTGTTCCAGAATGCATCTCTTTTTGCTATTATTTCTACCAATAATTAGTACAAATTCTATGGAAAGTGCTCAATATCTGCAAAATGCTGTAAGAGACCTTAGGAAGTTAAATTACAGACAAACGTTAAGACGAGCAGACACAGCTATGGTATCTGCAGCTGCAACAGCAGTACCACAAGCAGATTTTACTGTACAACCACCAATAGTGGAGAGAAGAGTACAACATGGGGATGAGGTATAATAATATATGAAATTATAACATATTTTTTCTTGTGCAACATATATTTAGTTTTTGTGTTCATATTATGGTCTAGTAGTGTTAAACTATTTTCAAAGAAAATATATAACATCATTGTAGGTACCACCTGTTAGTCTAACGAAAGGAGAATTGACAGCTTTGTACGAAGCAGCAGTTGCTAAAGGCGAAACTTTAAAATTAGATACTGGAGATAACAGTTACATACATGCAGCTGTTCATGAATTAGATAGTTCAGAAAGTCACAAATCCTCAAGTTATCAATCTCCAGAAAATCATGAAGAACCTTCTGCTGATGACGATCCTGCAGGATATTACTATTATTATTACCCCATTAAGAGTTTTTTGGATGAAATGTCATCGCAACCAAGTAGTAGTGTAAGTATAAACTAATAAACTAAAAAGACATTCTTTATGCTTATTGTATATTGAATAAAAACGTTTATAATTTTGTATCAAAAGTGCATGTAAAAATATTGACACTGCAACATTTCAGTCGAATGAGTATGCATACAAACCTCACAAGCCTAAAGAACCCCCTACAACATATAGACCGCAATATCAGTATCATTCTCATCATCACCAGGTAAGTTTAAGTAGAAATACCTAATATGTAATGTCTTTTCTACCTAATAACATTTAAATACGTCTTCAGCATAATATAACCATTAACAAAGCAATGATGGAAGATAAGAAACCAAAAACTTTAGAGCCTCTGTTCATGGCAATATCCGGATTTATTGGTATGGCAGTTATGTTTGTATTATCTGTGCTTGTGCTTCCAAAATTTGGTATAAAACCCAAAACTAAGGTGTTTGGTAAGAAGAATGAGAAAATTGAGGATTTCGCTAGATTAGCCATAGATGCTATCGAAGGAGGCGATTGTGCGGAAAGATTTGCTTGTGAATTGAGTAAAACTGCTAGAGCTTTTCATTTACAAGACAATCGATTCGTCAAGTAAGTATAATGCTAGGAATTCACTGAATTGTGGCAAATCAATTTATACAGGATATTAAATATGTTTTTATACTTTTTTCAATAAGGCGCAATCTTGTAAACAGTTAGTTTGTGATGTAGACTATTAAAACAACCACACTAAATTTTAAAACCATGTAACGTCTTACATTAATTTGACAAACTACATTTTTATAACCTCAGAATAGAAATGGCGGGGAGTTACACTATTATGATGAAAATCGATTCTCACACTAATCAATAGAAAATTCAATAAAAATTGTTAAAAAATATGTTTTTTACTTACAATTTATTTTGGTTTTCAACAGTACGTAAAACTTAAGGGTAAAACCTACCCTTTCACTCCCAACAAACGCAAACTACCAAATCTGTTTCTCATTGGTTTAAAAAAGAAACTCATTGACAATAGTCAAGTCCTAAACTAATTGATTTTTTGTTTTTCAAATTTTCAAAAGGGATACTTGATACAAATATATACTATTTGATTATCACAAGTTAAAATTTAGTTATTATTACCAAATTTATTACATTTGATGAATACTTATTTGAGGCGATTTCCGTATCTTTCTATATTCTAGAAAATGTCGTTTCTGCTGTATGAAACTTTACAGGTTTTTTCATTCAACTTGCATAGTGGGTTGCAGCATAAAGCTAACAAACAATTGGATCATCCAGCTCTTTAGCACTGAAGATAAATTGTTTTATCTTCTGTGTCTTTAGGTAGGAGGACGTTGTGCCTAATTTCACAGTGTCCACAGGAACACTATTGAAACAATTACAATGATTGTTTTTAATAATAAATGCTGTTAAATTCAAACAAAATAAATTAAATTAAATATTTGCGAATTAAAAAATTGAGATGGCTATATGTCCACCTTAAGTTAGATTAGACTTTTCATTCCTCGTTTTTGGAAATTTGGAATTATTCCAGAGATTGTTGGCATTTTTATATATTTTTTATGGTTTTTATAATTGTATATTCATTTATAATTTTCGTAAATTTACAAGCAATAAATCAATAAAATCTTAGATGAACTATTTACTATTAAAGTTTTCAAAAAAATACAATTACAAATAGTTTTTCCAAATCCTTTTGTAATTACAGCTTTATCGAATTCATTCTGATCGCGAGTTTCATACGTGCAGAGGTAATTTGCTCACGTATTTAAATATATAGCCTTTAAATATGTAACTCACAGAAGTAATTTTTGTGCTGTGTACTCTCTTCTTGATCTGCATATCCCATGAATAAGATGAGTTTGGTCAAGCTGTATGGTCCTATAAAGTAGACCTTCATTAAAATATTATTTGATTTTGTATTAATTTATGAAAGTTTCCGAATATAGACGTGAATTTTGAAGAAAAATGGCACCGATAACAACTTTTCTGACCTAAAAGTACATTAAAAGATAATATATACCATTTCCACAAAAAGTTAGTAAAAAATAATAAAATCTAGTATTTAAAAAAACATTTTTTTTAATTATACCTACTTTATAGCTATCAGTTATATCTAAGTGTAAATCATATTTATATGATCTTGTATAGCATTTATCAGCATAAGAAACTTCAAATCATGGCTTTGTTTAAGTTAATCTAAACTATTTTATTTAAATATTAATTTGTTTTAGATTGCTCAAACGGATAGCTCCAGGTACATTTGGTAAACACATTGATAGAGTGGGGAAATACACGAACAAACAACTGAAATGTACTGCTATTCCATGTAAGAAAAAAAATAACATCGTTCAGAAGAAAAAGAATAATAATGCTCAGAATAAACATTAGTTGCCACCAAAGACATTTAGTTTTATTTATTTATTTATTTATTAAAATTGTAAATTATAAATATCAATAAATAAAGAATTATATATGCATAATCGTAATTTATTACATATAAAAAATGTTAGCATTATAAAATAAAGAAATAAAAATTTATATAATAATTAATATATTCAGCTGCAATCACTTGCATATACAGTCTTAATTTTGTATCCTAAATATAAACAGCAAATTATTTAAATTATATACACATATCTATAACATACAAATGACGTTCACGATCATAAAATAATAATTTTTTACACAGTACAATAAGCAAATTAAAGCACTACATCCTTAAGCATGTTAGACTTGAGTATTTTTCTAATATCTACCACATTTAACTTCACTATTTTTATTTAAAAAAATATTACAGTTAAAACTTTTACACAAATACTTCACTGAGCGACATAAAATTTTCGTTATAAACATGTATATAACACCTTTATTGATATGAAGTCAGAAAAATTTGCCAAATTTGTGATTCTACAATAGATAATAAAAAATGTAAAGTTAAATGAGACAGTTCTCTAATAAAATATATAAAACTTGATTACTGTTATATATAAATATAAATATAAAAAAGAGATTCAGTTATTTGTACCTGGAAAAAGTTCCTCAAAAATTATATTACAATATTGTGCAGATTCCAGTTTGCACATTATGACACTAACACCACGAGAAGTAGCACAAATACATTCTCCCTGATAAAACTGGCACAAATACTTCACAATCATTTAAAATGTGCATATATAATCGAAAATAAAAACTCAGTTTTTATTTAAGTTATGATTTGTTTTAAAACTATTTAAAACGAGTGTTAATTTATTCGCCATCAAAAAATTATTTATGTGGCAGCACAAATTTGAGCAAAGCATGAATTTTCTTAACCTACTCAAGAAAATAAGGTTTTCACTTGTGACAAAAACAAAACCTACACTCGAGTCCTTTGGCTTTAAAGAAAATATTTTGGTGTTCAACTAGAAAACAAAATATTTTCAACTAATTTACATCACCCTTAAGATATATATTACTTATATAAAAATACCTAAATATCAGTGAGACCAATCAATGGCTTTTTGGAATGAAATATAGAAGTTATATGGCACAAACTTTTAACATTCAAGTTTCACAAAGACCATGTAGTTCTGCATAATTTACAATAGCTCGATGAAGAAATTCATATTGAGCCTAAAAAATAAAAGTTTAAGCATTACAACACATTCTATAGAGAAAATCAAGTACAACTTGTATAATACTTGTTACAAGCAACTTAATAAAAGCATATTACGTAATTAATCACTAATACGACTGCGACATACAGGTATATAACCAGATCTCTGAAATTGGGTGGGACCAAGGTGTGGTCATGATTTTTACTACTTTATACCTAAGGCGGGCCTACCATAAGACAAATGGCACGGTCGCGCCAGGCGCCAAAGCGGTGGTAAAAATAAATTTTTTTGCAATATTTTGCAGATGCCAACGTCCGTAAACAGAAATTTACTTAAATTTTTTTCATATTGTTACACTATTCTTTTTGTCATTAAAATAACTAGCTTTATACATAAAAGTAAAGTGTGTAATAAATAAATGTGTACTTTAAGTTAAATGTTTTTCAATATCTACTTCTTTATTTGTTTGGTATCCGAATTCCAATTTTTTTTAATATTTGACCCCAAGGAAAAAAAATCGAGTAAGGGGGCGCCTAAATTGGATATCGCGCTACCACAAAATACACCGCGGGCCGGACTGTTTATACCACTTCTTCAAGCTACCTCCCAAAAAATAAATAAATAAATAATGAATAAAGATTTTTCACAATATACTGTTACTGATACCAATATTTTTAGGTGGGCCATGTTTCATGCAGTCTCACCCCTGGTTATATGCCTGGAGTTATAAATTTATAAAATAAAATACACTTACATATGAATTGATTAAAGATTGCCTCTGAGAGCGTAATTTACGAGTTACAGTGAAAATGTCTACTCGTTTTTCTGTTCTCAACTGCTGTACAAGAATACTAAGTCCAATAAACATGGAACTTCGGTCAGAGCCTAAATTACAATGGACAACCATGGAAGGCGAACATCCGTTTTTAATTAGTGCAGACTGTGAGTGATCAACAAGTTCTATTAATCCTCTAGTTACTTCGGGTACCTTTATAGAAAAATTTATAACATCAAATATAAATTATATTAAATCTTAATTATTAGATGAAAATATGTCTATTACCTCCCCATCAACCGTTGGCCAGCCGTGGTATTGCAAATGTGTCACACGTTGATCTTCGCCATCCCGACTTTTAATAAACATTTCACGTCTAGTATAATAAGGGCAACTTTCGGCCTGAATATACCTAACGTGGATATGATCATAGTTAAATTCATCTTCTGGCCAATATCTCGGGCATTTCCCTTCGCCTATTTCAGATAGCATAACAATAACACTAATTCCCTGCTCTGAAATCATTCTCCAAAAGTCGTTTACAGTGCACTCAACAGGATCTTGGGTAATGATGAATGATTCAGTATTATCGTAGCCTTCAATAAATGAAGCATTTATGTATGTGGAATGTTCTTTCCCCGATAACGGTGTTAATATAACTCTATTTCTATCATACGGAATGACACTGTCAGAACGATTCTTCTCCTTATTTTCTTCTCCACTTGCCACCGAGCAAGATTTTCTATCCTCAAATGCATTAATTATATTCTCAAACTCTTCTTCTAACTTACATTTGGTTTTGCCATTATCACACTGTCTTAATTTTTCTAGAGTACTTTTTAACTCATTAGAGTTTATTTCCGTATCGCCATATTGAGCAACTTCCATTAAAGCACGGTAAATAAATATATACTGTTTCTGAAAATGAAAACAAAAGATATAAAAATCTGTCTATTATAATACAAACATACCAACCAATGATTGCACTAGGAAATTTCTTTGATGCCGCAAATCACAAATTGTGTTAAATATAGACACCTGTCCTTCTTCCTTTAACTGCTGTAAGAGGCAATCTAAAGCAACCAATGTTCCAGTTCTGCCAACTCCTGCACTACAATGCACTAAAATGCTGCCCTTCTCTGCAGAGTAAGCCTCATTAACCCTTTTAATAAACTTAATAATGCCATTAGGATGTTCCGGTGCCATAAAATCTTTCCACACTAAGTAGTGGTACTGCGTAATATGTCTTTCTTCTGGTTCCTTACCAGCAGTATGTTTACAAATTTTCAGATCTCTAACAATGTAATCTGAATATCTCATTTCCTGAAGATGAGTAACTGTAATATCACCAAAACATTTATCTCCATCACTTTTATCAGGCCAATATTTAGCACATTTGGTTTTACTATATTCCTCAAGATTCGTTAACATTAATATCAGTTCTAAATGCTGTTCCCAAATCATCCTCCAAAACTCATTCACTGTAGTATCCATCGGTCCCTGAGCACAAATGAATTTCTTCCGTTCTTTATATCCCATTACAAAATTAGCATTTACGTAATCTGACCCAGCAATACTATCAACCTGAGACAATTTTACTCTTGTCTGATCATAGGCTTTAATATCGGGATATCTATTCTTGTAAACATTTTCTCTAGTATCAGAGGCTCGTGTTGTTCTATCTGAAAACCGATCTGGTAAAAGTTCAAATTCTTGTTGGAAACCATAATCTGAATCTCGATGATGTTCAATGTAGGCCGAAATTAGATCAGCTTTGCTAATCGGACTCATATCAGGAGGATTTAAAGACACAAGTCTCTGACGACCCCTTAAACTCCTAAAAAATATTACAGTTTAAATTGACTATTAAAAATATTACTACCTTATTTTCCACATTAAAAAAATGCATGTTTCAATTCAGATATAAACCCATCCCATACTTAAAAAAATTGTATCTGAAAATTTATACCAATAAACATTTTTTAATTTTTTTTATAACACATCTAAATCATGCAAAAAAAATTATAATGACTCAATACAATCATTCAGTTAAACTTCATAATACTAATCAAAATTATGTAAATGAAAAAGAAACGTGAATATGATATTAACCTCAAATACTTTCTTGAATACCAATACCCAAATATATATGCAGAACATATAAGAAGCATTTATAATTGAATAAGTAAAGAAAATGGACCTGATATCTTACAGATATATATCATTCATTAACAAAATTGTAACCCAGAGAGTAAAGAAATTATAAATACCGTAACGATGACCTGAACGTTATTTCCACAGCCTGAGCATGAGCCTGTTTGGTATAGCGGTGCAAAATACACAATGCTCCCAAAAGGACAAGAATTATTACCACCAGCCCACACAACACTTGTACAATTAAACTTAAAGCTCCAGCAGCCGGTGCAGCAATTACTTCAGGACCAGGATTCATCATGTCTAAGTAATTACTGTAGACTGTCAAAAAAACTGGTTTTGCTTCACCACGAACTAAAAATCATATGATGTGATGACATTTGTTATATTTCAAAAAATATTATCCTTCACACTACAAGTAATGTCACACTTACCAATAATTTCCACAAAACCAGTGTAGTTGCTGTTAATATCCAAATTTCCATCGTACGGTTGTAAAGGGTCAAGCATCTCATTTCTTCTAACTCTATTGGCTAAATTAGTAACATTTTTATTAACCTTTTCTTCTCTTGGTGTGTTATACGGTCTTAGTCCAATGCACTCATCACATTGCGTATTCGTAGAGTTAAAAACCTGTTCATCTCCCAAAAATACTTCTGGATGGAAAGTAGAACTAAAAAGTAAAGCACTAAAATAAAGCTATTTTTTTTATCATTATGGGACACCTACTTTTTTCTTTTAAGAGTAACAGAATGTTCTTTTAATACAAGTACTATACTATTAACACTTCTTATGATATTGTAATGATGACCATTTCAAATGTAAATGTTAATTTTACCTTGTAAACATTTCTGCTACATATGCTCCACCTCTAGGAGTTCGATGTGCCTCTTGATAAGACACTATAGTCAAATCTTCAGGTGTTGGTAAATCAGAGAGTTTTTGCTGGGATTCCATTCTTACAAGATAAATCCGGTAACAACAAATTGGCCCATTTCTTTCCGAAACTCTAGGCATAATCAATTTAAACATCCATTTACCCTGATCTTCCATCTTTTTCCAGTGAAATCGTGCCAATTTTTGTTTATCAGGAGTTGTTGGAGGCATAGTACAATTTAAAGTTACAGACTGTCCATTTTTTCTAAGACGGTTGACACACGATATCCTCACAGTGTAGTTTGTATTGGCAGATACATTATAAAATCGCGTACTTAGCGTAATTTCACTGGTACTGGTTACTTTTGGACCCCATGTAACATATTCCAAAAGGCCCTGTTCGTTAATAAATGAGGCAGTACCTTCTAAATTAACCTGAATATAAAAAAAATTATAGATATCACCATTGGTATTATTTTAAAAGAACACAAAAGATAAAAAGAATTTGCAAGAATTGTTTTAATACCTAAAGTCCCATGAATAGAAAACGATGTAAAAATAGATTTAAATATTGACGTTTATAATCTACCCTTACATTAATATTTAAACACTGTATATAAGCAACAAACCTGTCATAAACATTTTTGAACAAAATGTTAATTTTTCAATAATAAAGCAGTTACTGAATACTACAGTTAAGCGTAATTGCGTGAAAAAGTCCAAAACAAAATGTTATTTACATTAAAAGCCAATAATATTAAAATTGCACAACACAACTAGAACTTACGCAAATCAAGGCATTTAAATAACAATTTTGCCTGTCTGCTGGTTAAACTGTGTAAAATAAATGTTATTAATACAAAAATTTAGAACAAAAATTATTTATATTCAATATATTCTATAATTGATTTATACAAGCAGGTAAAAAAATAAAACTTGTTTTATAATTTTTTTTCCTTTAAATAGCCTAATGGTTTATTATTCTTTATCTGTCTGGTTTAAATTAAAATTAATTTGAATATAAAAATCATCTCATATGGTCAATATATAAAAGATAATCATACAGGGTGTCAGAAATTTATTAAAACAAACCATTTAATATATCATTATACGTCATATTTTGTAACACCCTGTACATATAGCTACATTAAATTTTAATACATACATTGTATGACACTATTGTACCATGTGGATGTGAAGGAGGCTGCCAAGACACATAAACAAAGTTCGTATGACTGATATTATCAAATCTACACTCCACAGAAGCATTTGAGGGTGGATCGGCTACTCCATCCATTGTAGTCCCATTTATTATTTTAGACCATGGCCCACATTCTCTACTGTAATCACTACATGCAGCCACTTGAATATAGTATGTTGTTGCAGGATTCAAATCAGAAAACATATACAAGTAGTCTTTATTTGCTGGTTGAATAGCCTCAAATTTTTGGGAGTTATTGTAAGCCCTTAAAATTAAGTTGTAATAATGGATGTGATCTTTAAATTTATCGGGTGGAGAAGTCCATTTGATATTTATCGAATTTGTTGTTGCCCCGGGAGCTGTTACTTCTGGTACAAAAATCGGTTCTTCATCTAACATTTTCACTAAGTTACTTGTAGCATGCTGACTGGGACCTTGTGAATTTTCAGCAATAATTCGAACTTTATAAGTGGTGCTATTTTTACCAGAAGCTAATGTGTTGTTCTTAACATTTAACACTAATGAACGACTGCTGCTGTTTATTTTGGCTTGATAATAAACCCAATCTTTCTCGTCACCTGATTTATATAGAATTATATACTTTATGTCATTTGGGCTATTTCCATCATTTACAGTCCAGTTCAGAAATATTTTATTTATTCCTATTGGCTTAACGACATCTAGTGCTATCTGAGGTTTATCAAGTACTAAAATTTCAGTAGACCCATTTGCTCTAGATATTGATGTGTTTACTATACAAGTATAAGTTCCATTATCTTTTTTAGTTACTTCTAGTTTCAAGCTTGTATTTTTGTGAGTAGGATTTATAGTATGTACCTCCCACCCTTCAAGGAGAGGTTCATTATCTTTAAGCCATTTTATATTCTCAATGGGATAACCTTTGACAACACAATATAGTTCCGCTTTCTCATGAATTTTCTTATATATTCGTGGAGATATTTGTACTATTTGAGCAGGTGAAGTAACATTTAGTAAAATTGAACGAACATCCAAATCGATATATGTTTCATTAGTTTTCATTAGAGCATGACATTTATAGTAACCAACTTGATCAAAATTTATATTCAATATATGTAAAATTGACACTTCTAATTTGTTTCCCGACTCTTTATTTATATTTTCACTGTCCATCTCCAGTTTAAAACTAAAACAAATATTAAATCATCTATGTTGCTCTATATTTTTAATCATCCTACATTTTAAACGAACACACTCAAGTGTTACTGAGACAAAGCCACTATAGAATTTCGTAATAGTTTTAATGGAATTAAAATATTTAGTTATGGACAAAGCTATTATAAAATATTAAGAGGGTTGCCAGCGCAAATCTCTATTTGTTTAAAATTGCTCAATGTTTGGGACTATTTGCAGGAATCGGTGGAATGTTTGAATAATTGTTTAGGATATTACAATCTAGGTTTACCTATAGCAATGGACTATTTTTACAAGTCAATTTTTTTATGAGGAACGATTATTATGTATTTCCTCTCTGGACAATAATCCGCGAAGACATTATACAGGGTGTTAATTAAGTATGTACAATAAATTCAACAGGCAATTATTTGAGTGATTTTAAGACAAAAAGTTCATATAAACATTGGTCCGCAGATGCCTCGTTTTCAAGATACAGGGTGTTAAAAGTTGTTATTTCGTAAATATTTTAAATATCCTGTACCCAATTTTGTTGTAATTTGGCAGTGTTACTTGTAGTATTAAGGGGCTAATTTTACCCTAATTTGATTAGATTTGTTAAGTCCAGTGGCGTCCCAATCAGTACCTTAACGAGTATTTTTGCCAAAAAAAAATTACGCCACTGACTTTTTCGTAATTTTTATATATATATTTTTTTTTGGATTAAGCAACTAAAAATACAACTTTTTTGTCTCTTGAATGTTTTTCGTATTTTGATTAATTTTTGGAGAAAAAAAAATAAAATCCACTTAATTGCATATCCTTAGACCACACAAGAAATATTATTAAAAATATTCGTTAAGGCATCGCTCGGAACATCACTGGACTTAACAAATATAATCAAGTTAGGGTTAAATTAGCCCTTTAACACTATAAGAAACACTGCCAAATTTCAACAAAATTGAGTAAATGGTGTTTAAGATGTAATGATGACAATTATTACGGCTATAGAGAACAGGGCAACAGAATTTTACTAGTAGCACTAAAATTACAATAACTAGGGGAAAATAATAGGTGAGAAAAGATTATTCTTTTGAATTATGTAATGGGATATAATTGTGACTAAAAAATGTATTGCCTTTTATCACTGACTATTATTGTACAATGAAAGTTAATGTGAACTGTATAAGCGATTTTGCTAAAACTGCTTAAGTATATGAATTTGATTTTAAAAATTTTAATCCAACCATACACCATTGTTATCAACTCATGATGTACTAACCTATGGATGTTATTATTACAGAAAACTTCTCATTTAAATAACCACTCTCTCTTTCCCCATTAATAAATAAAACAAAAAGGACAGTGGTATGAGATTTTAATTAGTTGAGTTAAATGGTTAGTTACTTTACAATTTAGTATTTCATAGTTGTCGACCAAATGATGACTTCACACAAAAATAAAACAATACAGGGCAAGTTTTTTGTCAGATTATTTTATTTTCTGTTAATATCTGAAAAGGAGGTAAACACCCCATTGTGGGATTATTTGAATGTTGCAGAATTTAAAGGAGTGGGAATAAAAGGACTTATGATTAAAACTGTTTCGATAATTCTGTTTTTCCAACTATAAACAATTTTAAATAATTTGTTACATGAAGTTATATTGACATAATAATATGCCTATTTGTTTTAATAAAGCACTCTGATTTTAAAAAGCAAGTAGTTAATATAAATATAACTGTTGCAATTTGAATTTGTTAATACATACTGTAATTATATTTTAAAGGTAATAATTTAATTAATATGGTGAATTAATATTTGTCACAAAATTCATGTTCAAATAAAAGTTCTTTTATACCCATACAAAATGACAAATAATTTGTTATTCTAATTTAAAAAATGATGCAAACATTTTAACCACATTTCATGATAGGTATATTAAATTCACTGAATTTGTAACAAAAGATAAACATAAAATGATAGATTAGGGAGCAAATATTTAAAATATAAAAACCATTAAATTCGGAAATATTAACACATAAATTTCAAGACCTACTTTGAATTCTCCTGTATAAGTACTTTTGCTTTATTAAGTACATATATTATTTGTTTTATTCATCTATAAGATACAATTAAAATATATTAAACCATAAAATAAAAAATATATATTGTGAAGATAGTTTAGGCTTTGCAAAATTGTTTATAAACTTTTGGCGGCCATGATACGGGTGGGGCGCCGGGCCGGGGACGAGCACAGACAGATAGAGAGAACGACTAGAGACGAGGTGGTGTTGAGATATCTAATTTTGGTCATTGTTTTTATTCTAAAATCTACTAGTTATATTTGTGAAAAACTGTGTTTTAACAATATCTTAAGACTACAATATTAAATTTATGTTAACATAAATAGTTTACGGTTCATTATTTTATGGGATTATATAGATAATATTACTCATATGCCCATTTCTGAAAACTTTGTATAAATAGTAGTTTTGACTACTGATTTAAATTGCACTGGTTTGTACAGGTAATTGCAAAACTGTGTAAAGGTAATATAATTGATAGCACTAATAAATACTGGTAGAAAAGTTTATGAATTAAAAACATGCTTAAATCTACTGTACTAGATAATAATTGCAATAACTTTCAAAAATTATTTATTTTATATTGTTTTATGTGCCGTAAACTCAGCTGTAAACATACCCTTTATGATCCGATATATTGTTTTCATTAAACGTCCACATCATTTTACTTAATGTCCATTTGGTTTTACAAATAATGGTAATATTTTCTCCTAATGGCAAATGATTTGGGTGCTCATGTTTAAGTACTTCGATGGTTATGTTGTCTTCCTCTAAAAATGGATTTATAAATTATAATTAGAACCTAACAAATCTACATGATACCCAAGATAAAAAACAAAACTAACTGCAATTACCTGTGGGGTTGCTCCTAACTATTTGATATGTCAAAAATAAATAAAAAAATACTATTACACAGGGATAATGGGCTTGGCATATCATGGCGCCTTAATTTTGGGCACTCTCTAAGCTTCACAATAAGACAATTTTACAAAACACTACAGTTTATGGCAAATAAATAATAAACAAATTCATTTCTTATGTACTATCATAAAAATCACAATACATATTTGCAAAACAAATCGCCGACTAGTTTACAGTGTTGTTCTACACAATATTTTTATTGTACCATTGATTTTATTAAACTACCAGATAGGTTAACTAATGTTGACATTTAACAACGTGTTTTTAGTTGGTAAAATGTACTAGAGATGGCATATAGCATATGAGTTAACTTTGACAGGGAAAATAAACAAGAGTCACTCGGAGACAGTATGCAGTCTTGTTTAAAATTATCCACCTATGGACGATTTTATGAAAAAAATAATCATGTTTCTACTACTAGAAAAAATATTTATATAAAATTGAATTTATTTTAATAAATACCGAATAGGGTCAGCCAAGCTGTTTTGCATATTATAATCTCTGATCTACATCAAACGGTGTCCGGTAAAATCTTCTTACTCGAATAACTTTGTACACATTAAGTGAACAAATTTGTATTAGCAAATCATAAGGCAGTTATTTTTACGTAGTGAACATTTTATTGAAGATTACTAAGGTTAACTCGAGCATATCAAGTGAACACAGTCCAGTAGAACAAACCTACTTGAGTCGAACGTCAAACGTCAAATCTTTAACTTCATGTCATGTCGTTTTTTAAAGGTTATTCATAATTCTAAACAAACTAACAAACGAAATGTTCTTTAAGAAAGGAAATTCATCATACAGAAAATAAAATATTGAGGTGTTTTTGGGAGAAGAAAATAATGCTTCCAGTACTGTAAATTTTATAATTCAAATGTTTTTTAAATGTATAATTTGCCAATAAATATCTTCAGAATGAAATATTACTTATGACAATAGTTTTAAGTAAAATTTTAAAATGGTTACGATACACTGGTCACTTCGAAGAATACCACAGTCCATATAGTAAGTATTTTGTATTACACAAAAATTATAAAGAAGTAAAACCTATTTTTTCAGTTACCTCATAAAATCTGTTCTTAAAAAATGTCGAATAACTTTTCGTTCTCTCACGTACCATCATTTTATGGATCAAAGTTATGCTGCAGATGTGTGTATGGAACCAATGTTTTGGTTTGTAGACAATTTTACATATGCAATCGGACCTGTGAGTAATTTTATTTTTTAAGTATTACCTTTGTACTGAAAGTTTGAATTGTTTGTAATATTTATTTATAACTTTTAAAGAGCCTTATGTTTTTTATTAAATTTAAGTAAAATCGAAAAGCAGATTCAGTATAACTGAACTGAAAAAATTATAAATATTAATATGTGTATTTATAGTAGAAATGCTAGAGAAATAAAAATAATAGAAAATAAAGAAGTATCTTTAAACATTTAAATGTTTTGCTTTTATGGTTTGTACAGTAAATTACATTTACATGTATATTTTTTTAACTCGACAATTAATTGTTGAATTATTTTTGTTTTATCTATTAACTGTTTTTGGTTATTGTTTATTTCAGTTATTTGTTATTGCTGTAGTTGCACTAACAGCATCTGTAGTACTAATTGCTTATTGGATTGGTCTACCTTATTGGTGGAATAAAAATTGTTATATATGTGTGGTTCTAGTCATAATCGGACATTGGTTGCTATTGAATATTTGCTTTCATTACTATATGGCTGTTGTCACTCCTCCTGGATTTCCTCCCCAGGTAATAATCTTGTGATATTTTTCTATACCAATGGAATAAATTAAACCAATGTTCATCAACTAACTAATTCATTGATTAAATCTTCCCTAAACTGACCTGTCAATATTTCAGGGTGAGTTAATAACAGAAGCAGTTAGTATATGCAAAAAATGTATTTCACCAAAACCACCCAGAACACATCATTGCTCTGTATGCAACCGTTGCATACTCAAAATGGATCATCACTGCCGTATCCTTATAAAATTTCCAAAGCCTTTAGAATTTCAGACAATTTCAGAAAAGTACTTATAATATATACTTAATCTAATTGATAAAATGTTTCGTATCAATTTTTTTTATCTATTTCTCTTAACACTTGTGTAGCTTGGTTAAACAATTGCGTAGGTTACAGAAATCATCGATATTTTTTTCTCTATATGGTCTATATGGTACTTGGAGTATTTTTTGTTATAATATGTGGTTTTGATATAGCATATACTGCTATAATGTTGGCTCCATCTGAACTAGATGAACCTGAGTTAGAAGGTCATTCTGTAAAGATAAATAAGACTGGCGCATTAATACCAGTAGTAAGTTACTGTTTATAAAGAAATATTGATGAATTAACAAGTCTTATTTTAGACAGATGTGCAATACTTAGATAGTTCGTTATTAGATGATGATCAGGGTTTTGAATATATAAGTCCATGGAGGCGGAGAGCTGTTGTATATATGACTCTTATCAATACTGGTAAGTTCAACAGGAAATGATTGATTTGTCATTATATTATTTTATTAAAAAAATTTTTAGGAGTTTTTGTAGCATTAGGCGTATTGTCTCTTTGGCATAGTCAGTTGATAGGAAAAGGAGAAACAAGCATCGAAGCTAACATAAATAAAGCAGAAACTTGTCGTTTAGCAGAAGTTGGTAGAGTATATATGAATCCATATAATTTTGGCACAAAAAAGAATTGGAGAATATTTTTAGGTTTAGTACAGGGAAGGTAAGAAGGGAGTATGAAGCGTTATGGTTTATTTTATTATTATATATTTTTAGAACATTTTTGAAAAATATACTTTTTCCTTCCGCTCACGAACCTATTGGTGATGGACTTACATGGCATACGATTCATGATGAAAATATTGATGAATGGCCATAATTTCTAGTCATTTTTTAACTTAAATTACTTAAGCTTGTAAGTGGTAAGGGAGATCTATATTTTTTTTATTTAATTTCTTACTTTGAGTGATGATAAAGTAACATACAATTTGGCTGAAAAATTTCTGGGCTGGTTGTCATATTGCTGGTTTAGGCTTCTTGATGTTTTGAGAGATGTATGGCTTGTAGTCATTGGCCTGTGTTGATCTCAATTGAGGTGAAGCGGTGGAGCTACCTGGAATTTAGAAACAGCTCATCTGCAAAATTCTAGGACCAAATTCAACACAGACCAATGACTACAAGCCATGGAAATTGCTCAGCCATTGACAATTGCCATAGAAGCCTGCAAACTAAGTTAACGTACAATTTACATTTAATTTATTAAAATAATTTTACTTTTTGTTATTGATTCTCTTATTTACATGTATGTATTAATTATTCAGAAGTTACACTGGCACAATATATTCTCAAAGATTGAACGAGATCATGAAGGTTACCTATCATTTCATAAACAAAAAAGTGCTATTGGCTGTTCACGTTTAACATCTACAACTATCTTATAAAAGTGCTCTTTTTTCACACCATCCAGTAAAGAAATAATACATTTCTTATTTTTTTATAAAGACTGAATATTAAAAACTATATGTTTTTGACATATCTCCCATATTAGTCGGTTGTTTTTCTGCATACCATTTTCCTACCTACTTCTTTTAAGCAATAACTGCAAAATTGATTGTATGTCTTTATCTTATAGCTATTAAATCATTCAAGTAGGTCTCCCTACTTCATTCCAAATGTTTGAATGATATTAATACACCAAAAAATTTATAAAAGGCTAATAAAATATTCAGGCAAACATTCTAAAGAGTTGTCGTTTACACTGTAAATGTCTTACGGATTTTCAGAATTTTTATATTGAATATACGAGTACTTTAAGTGTAACATTGTAAATCAGTAATACAAAAGGCATAATTATTATAAAAATATTGTGATTATGCATATATGATTATAAATTATTTCAGTATAAAATTTTTGTTTATAGTTTATTTTCTCATTCCGTAAAAATATCAATAATAATTTTTCACAATTTATATTAAGCTGTGAGAAATATGGAAATAAAGTATTGTCATAAGAAATTATGTTTTTATTTGTATTGCACAAGTTACTTATTAAAGAAGATGATTAAAAATGAAAATCACACCATAGGAAATATATAATCTATTTTTTAAAAGAATACAAAAGTTGGGTATAAAAATTAACAATCATTAAGTAATACTATATATCCCTCTACCATATAGTCTTCTCAATCCAATCGACATAACTTGAAACTTTGGTATATACAGCTGTTGTATTAACTTGCCCACAAGATTTTCCAAATGATGTAACTCCTATTACATAAAATTTACATTGATTGCCTGCTTTTGTGATCAGTAATGGGCCACCGGAGTCACCCTAGAAAAAGGAAAAACAATTATAATAAATCCATATAATTACATTCTTCTTGTAGCCTAACTGCATTATATTTCACTGTAATTTATATATTCAGTACCTGACAAGTATCTTTTCCCCCTCTTAGATCTCCAGCACACAGCATGTTAGACACGACACCTCTTGGTAAATCTTTGCTTTTATGATAAATCTTAGTACATTCACTGTTGTGATAAATATTAAGTGTCACTTTCATTAACCTGTCACTAATTTCTGCGGCAAAGTCTGTTTTACCCCATCCTGTGGCTACTCCTGAGGGTTGTTCAATAAATTTTTCGGTATATAAACATGCTGGTCGGATAAATTTTGTAAATTCAACAGTCTGCTTGGTTTTGATCAGGGCAAGGTCATGATATTTTAAAGGAAATCTATAACCTGGGTGAAGTATTATATTTTCAATATCATAGTCATGATGCTGAGATCCATCATGGCTTGTGGACAAGTCAAGGTCACCAAGACGAACTACAGTTGGCGCACCTCTACAAAATTATTGAAAGGCATATTTATTTGAATTTGAGTAAAACTTACAATATATTTTTTTATACTGACTCAAATGATTTTAAATTATGACTCTAAATTTTAATCGTAATTAGTATTAAATAAAACTTTAATCCTTACGCATCTCTAGTAGACGTACAATGGGCAGCGGTCAGAACAAATCTGTCACTTATGAGAGTACCTCCACATCTCCATTTTTGATCGTCAGTTTGAAAACCAATAGCGGCCTAAATTTTTCAAAAAGTAATTGTAATGAGTTTTGTTTAAATACAACAAAATTTGAACATGAAATTCTTACCATAAATGGAAATTCCGCAGCTGAGGCTGGTTCTCCACCAACAATTAGAGGAACACTATTATAATCACATTTTTCTATACTAAGGCTTATAGGTTCTATATGAGTAACCAAGGGAAGCGCTTGAACCACTTCACTAAAGAGTTTACCATATTCTTCACATTCTGCAATAAAATAATTTCAAAAATCATTCCGTAATCTGTTATTTTATTTTTTAATTTAAAATTAACCGAGATTTGAAGGTCTCTTAAAAATGAATGTTATAAGGCACATTATATACCCTGCTAATGTAAAATAATCATGTTCTCAATACATGTGTTCTGTAATATTTATACAGGGTGTTTGTAAATAAGTGCGAAATATTTTAGGGGGTGTTTGCGGAAGTTTTTTTGCGAAAAAAATTCATATAAACGTAGGTCGAAGTATGCTTCGTTTCCAAGATACAGAGTGTTTAAATTTTAATTTTTTATTTATTTTTATTCAGTGAGATAGATATTGACTCGAAATTTGAAAAACGCTTTGGAGGAATAAATGTGCATATTTTGGGGTGATCCGAATATTTCTACTTGCACCTTTAAATAAAAGATTAACAAAACCTACAATAAAATATGTTTTATTTTTTTCCTCAAAAACAGTGCATCCTACAAAAAAAATTGAAGAGAACAATGTCATTCAGAATTGATGGCGTATTTCTAAAAATTATATAAAAAAAAAGTCAGTGGCGTACCATTTTTTTTATTAAAAAAGGTTGTGGCATTCTCGCACGAACGCCACTGGTGTACCCTGTATACAAGGTGTCACATTTTTTTCTAGATTGTACCCAACATTTTTTCAACTAGAACGCCTTGTGTATTATTGCATTTCTTATTTCTCATTGAATTTAATGCATTACTTACTCAATGTGTTTCAAAATATGAAACAAATAGAAAAAGTAATTATGGGAGTTAATGGTTTTGAATCATGGATTTTTATTAATTTTTTTTTATTTTAAATTAAAAATTAATTAAAATTATTAAATTTTGAAAAAATGAATCAATTTTAGGGGTCATAAAAAGTGTTGGTTGGGTATATATTTTATAAATAGTAACATTTTTTAAGAAAATGGGTATAGTCTTTTAATTTCTCGCTGTTTTTTGTGTTTTGTTAAAAATGTCTGTGAAATACCTGTACCTAATTATTTATATTTTTTTTATATATACTTACTTTGTTCGCTTATTCTTAAATTATCATTTGACTCTTCGATATCCCCTGGAAATATAAGAGGGTCTGGGTCAGCCGTATTAAATCGATCAACTTCTGGTTCATAGTGAACAATATCTGGTTTATTGAAACGATTTGTTTCTTGATCAGTAAGGTGACCAACTGAAATAAAAATAGACTTAATCATAATGCACCAACTCTATTTTTTACATTTAGCCTTACTAGGACAACAAACTACTGGTACCACTCTGTGGTAATATTCACATATGGTTGGATCGATTCCTACTTTAGCTTCTTGTTCAACAATAGGACAAGATATCACACATTTACCAGCTTGTCCATTGTAGCGGACTTCACAACTGTCTCCAACTAGAAGAAATTTATGTTTATATAGATTAAAATAGTAGTAGATATGTCTTATTACATGGACCCTTTCCATTCATCATCCATAATAGATTCGAAAATTTTTCCAATTTATAAAATCAAAATTAAAATTTCTTAAAAAAAATGTGCTCCGCTCATTGGATAAGTACCTATTATATTTGTTTGTATGTGGTGTAATAATCTATAGCCTGAGGGTATCTTCTATGCTAAGTGTCTGACCTTTGTTTTTTAATCCGATTTTTCCGCTCGATGTACACATATAAAAACTCGCTTTTTAATTCCTCGAGCATTATTAGCGTTGACAAACAGGTATTTTGCATGATATCAACACATTAAAAATGTATATTAATAATGAAATTGTATATTATAATTATTTCAAGCAAAATCTCTCAAAATTCGCATATTCGTTTTACCTAAAGTTGAACATTCTTACTGTCTTGAATTTTAAAATCTTGGAATAAAACAAACGCTGAACTAGTATTATAATCATCAGGGCCCCAGGCCCCAAAATTAGATGCTAACAAATAAATGCAGCATCTCTTATCATCGTTCTAATAATTAATAATTCTTACCTACATTTTCTAAAAGGTCAAAACATCTATACCACAAAAACGCATAAAAATTAATACCTACATAATTTTGCATTTTGCTCAATTAATTAATAATAATTCAGAATTATTTATTTATAATTTCATTACAAAAATTAAAAAAAGGATTTTTTTTACAGTTACAGCAGCAATTACCCTGCTTTAGGTAAAGCCAGCCCTGCGACTAATAAATGCATATCCTGTAAAATATAAATACGTTTTAGAACAAACACTTATAAAGTACCTACTACATACATAATTTTTATTCAATTTGGCCTTTAAAAATGGAGATTAAAGCAAAGTAAAAAGAGACACTATAAAAATTAATTTCAAGGAATAAATGTTTACCGCAGATTTATGAATATTAATATAGATATTATTTTATATTCAACGAGTTAAATTGTGGCGTGTATAATTTGTATCTAAATAATCATATTTTAGCTATCTAAATTATTTTTAAAAATCGTGTTTATTTACCTATAGTAAATAAAGGATTAGATTTAAGTCATATCATATATATTTTACATATTCCAAATTTATAGTTTATAGCATAACACAAATAGCATTTATAAATAAAGAAATTAAAGTATACTTACTATCTGCATATGAAATTGAGCACACTGTTAAAACCGCAAAAATATAAATTATTTGTTTTTTTATCATGGTGAACTGTCTTAACGCACAGACATCGTTTGATTTATTCACTACTTTACTGTATATCTTGAAACAAGAACTAATAACCAATATCAGTGGGTTTACCAAGTTCTTGGCGTCACTTTAACTTGTTTTTAAGCACTTATATTTTAGTGGAACTATTAACAAGGCAACGTATCAATCCTTGGAGCAGAATAACTTATTTTCATGATTGTCACCTATTGAAGTATATAGTTAGTTTCGAACTAACAAAACAATCGGTATTTAATTGCTATTTCCATTCCACTTCTGCACGAAGCTGGTTTACCGTGATGATGCGAGATTCTCATAAATTATACATTTGTTTTGATGATTTTGTAAATACAGGGTGTCCCTAAATACCTATACAATTTTATTAATCCTGACGTTGCTATTGTTTTGATTTACGTAATTATTAGTGTAATTGGAATTCAAAAATATTTCGGACAACAATTATAATAAATAAACGTGAAACGAAAACATTTTTAATTAATGATATAGGTATTTTGTAGGTTATATATCTCATCCAAATAAGAAAAAATTAGTCGCAATTACATTTTTATAACTCAAATTCAGATTTGGAAAATATTTTTCGTATATTCACAGACAATTTCAATAAAAAAAATGAGATTCCGCTATTATCTATTCAGTTACGTTTAATTACGAGGTAATTCCCAAATCCAACTCTTTGATTATTTCTGGTAATTCTTAGAAACAATTTATTATTGTGGAAATTTGAAATATATAGTAATTATGAAGGAATTAATATAATCAACTTTCTTGATCTCCAATCCAGAGACATTTTCTAATAATTTTACTAATACATTATAATGATTATATTCTTGTGCATTTCAGACTAACAAAGTTAACATATGTGTCATTTTATTAAATAAATAACATTTAGCACTTAAAGAAAACAAAAACTGTTTCACCCATTGTTTTATTGTCCGTGTTCACGCAAGCAAAAAACCTGTCACACTATTTCACATCCGCGATTTTTCTTATTAATTACCCGGTAGACAAAACAAAATTCGTAAATGTCGTAAATATTTAGAAGGTATATTATCTCTTAATGGCATAAAATATAAAAATGAGAATTTCTGCTTTCGGGAATTACAATTGCTGTAAAATACCTTTTCCATGTTTTGATTTGGAGAAACGTCGACATATATAGGTACATGGACCTTGCCCACTCTGTCTAATAGTTTATTGTAATTGTTTATCAACGTATAAACGTATTAATTTTATCAGAAAAACAAAAAGGTTTTCTAAAAAAATTCCAAGTCGAAAGAAAACATTAAATAACCTACTTTAGAGTTAATAAAATAAGTAGATTTTAAAAGAAATAAATCAATAAAGTGAAATTTGTCAGTAAGGGAACTTCCTTGGTTGATTATAAGACTACAGTTTAGTATTCTGATTATGACAATTACAAGTTCATTTTTACAAATATGTGCAATGTATACATTTTATTTTCATTAAAAAAGCTTATTATTGATCCAATATTGTTAACTTATCCGTAATTAATTTTTTAAATTCCTTAACAATAATTGTGCTTACAAAGTTAATATACTAAATAAATAGATATTTTCTTGGAGTTGGGATAGGAGCAATAAAACATCAATGGTAATGTCATTAATCAATACATTTATTTTTATTGTGACTGTATGTGATCTTTATAATGTTTTTATTTTAAATAAAATAGAATATGACAGTACAAATAGTACTTATATAAGTAGTTATATACATCAAAATGTAAATATGTGCTTAGAGAACAGTGAAGTGCACAATTTTTACACTATATGTGAACAATTTACTAACGAGATCATTGACTATAAAATGCTAAATCTTGTAACAAATACAACACCATGTTGAAGGCATTTAAAGTTTCAAATACTTCCTTGTCACTAAATTCAACATTAACCCAATACATTTCCAGAGCAATTTATCCTAAAAATTTAATTATGTAATATTGGAATTATGTTGAGCTACAAATTCTGCTGATTGTTGCATATAGTTACGATCTCAATACCTTAAATTTTTCAAAAACACAAATTCAGCAATGGTAATGAAATAATTTTTGATTTTGCTTTTAATTCATATTTGTTGTAGCTTTGTTTGGCTATATATGTTTTATCTCACTGTAAATATTGCTGAATTTGGTCCATTTTTAGGCATTTTATTCTATAAGTTAATTAAGAACCAGAGGTTCTACTATATATGCCTTTTATACCACTATTTAGGACAATGCTACACAACTGTTTTATATCAGGCCAAAAACAAAGTATTTACCTTAATAACAGAAAGTGGAGTAAATGAATTTCAAACCAATAAATAATAAATACATCGCCAGTTGGACAGCATTGAATAATAATATTCTATTAAATATTTTCATGTGTTAAGGCTGGGATGTACAAAAATGTACAACTTAGTAAATAACCTCTATGTGTATTTTTTTACACATCTGAAATATTGTAATTAATGTTTCGCTGAAGAGTACTGGGTTAAAACAGATTATGTTAATACTTCCTTATACAATCAAAGATCTGTACATACTAGAAAAAATTCATCTGTCATAAATGGAATCTAACTCAAAATACTAGGGAATGGGATAAAACGTTCTGTATCACTAAATCTCAATGTCTTTGCTTCTGTTGGTTTTTGATTGAAGTATGACACAATATTCATTATTAAATTAATCGTTGCTAAAAAACCCATAAGTTCTAATGTACTTAAAAAAAATTAATAGTTATTTGTAAGAATACAAACATTTTGCAAACCATATTAAATTTAATGTAATTACTTATTAAAAAAAAAAACAAAATAAAAAAATAGTGTATTTATTTTAGAAAATAATAGAATATATGAGCTGAGGCCATAAAAGTCTAATGGGAATTGAGAATAGACATATTTTTTTAAGGTATTATTATTATTACACTTACATTTAGTGTTCTTTTTCCAAATTGAAAAGCACTTGCTACAGTATTGCTACTGCTGACAATGACAAACAAGCAGATGATTGAAATTGTACATATCTTTGATTTAGTGGAAAGATCGACGTTATTAAGTAGATTTTTTTTTAAATATATATAACTTAAATTTGACTCATAATGGCAAATAATGTATTATTGAAGATAAATTTCTTATTCAGATAAAGTATAATATACATCTTAAACCTACATGGAAATAATTAGCTTTATTAATGTAATTATCATGGACAACTAAATGTAGAACAGTCAATAGCATTATAACGAGAGATGTTGAAAGCTTCGTTTTTAACAGTAAACTGTATGGCTTACATAATTAAGAAAGATTAAAATCAATCCACAAAAATATAACTGAATATTTTAGATCTGTTTAAACGATAACTCTTATGTCATATACTTATTATTTAAGTAAAATTGTATGCTTGTAATAAAATTGTTTATAGAGAAAATTAATCAAAATGAATTGTTTCCGTAAGCCATCATTCTTCTATCAGAACCAAATTCGCCTAATTATGAAAAAGTAGAATTAAAATTTCAAAAGTATTGCACCAATTTAGGCTATAAAATAGAATTTGGTCACTTTTAGAAAAAAAATTTCATCCCACAAAACAGGTTGACTGTGTTATGAATAAAATTATTTCATCCAGGATTTGAGTCGAATAAGCACCAAATTAAAGTATATAATGTATTAATAAGTAACCTAGGGCTTGCCCTTTGCAAAGTCTATAAAATAAAAAGCACCCATATGAATATTTACATAACAAATTTTTGGGTCTATCAACATATCCAACATTTATTATTTAATATTTCGTTTACTTGGCAATAACATACATTAAAATAAAACAAGAGAGTAATAAAATCTCGAATAAATTATTAAACAACAATAAAACTTATTTAAAACCTCGAAAGACCACCTTGGGGCCACATATGTGATTGTACTCGTCTTTTTGCCTCCTAAACTGCTTACCTATTTCTTTTTATTGACATGTGATCTGTATAAAAATATGGAAATTATAAATATACACCCAAATTTAGAATTTTTCCAGTATAACATCAATTTACAAGTCAGTTATAAAAATACCAAATATACAACCATTTATAAAATCGTCAAAACGAATACATCCAATATTTTATACAGATTTTCACTGTCCAACCCTACGTAATATCTACACTTAATAGAAAGACAATATTCACCAAAATACAATCACTTTGATAATATTACTGAAAAAAAAGTTGCGTTACATACATAACATAATTCTGTTTGTTAATTGTATAAATCGGCTTTATAAAATTTATTAAACAAAACACCTTTGTTCAAAAGTTTTATGAGTTTTTACAAGTAAAATTGAATTCATTCTTGGCATAAAAAAATGAAGATGAATAATTTTCTTGACCTGTAATATTGTTAAAACCATTTATTATAAGTTGTTAAAGCTTTGTTATATAAAAGAGAAAACTTACCTTTTACATTTTTAAATTCAATATTTTATAAAGAAAAAATTATTTAAAGAAAATCATGAATTTGAATAGTAACTCGTACCAGCGAATATTTAAATCTATTCTAAAATTATCCACAAAAAAAAAATTGTAAAATGGTAAATATTGGTTCTTCGTAGTAAATAATGTAATACAGTCATGCCAGACTGAGCTTATTATGATAATTGCACTACTCAACGATTTACCTATAACGAATTGAATACATATGTCTACGTACCGACTGGTGTGTATACGATAACTACACCACACTTTGTGTTATAGTGATAAATAAATTCATATAAACCCTACGTTATGATCTAACTGCTGTTCTCAGTCAACAATTTGACAATAACATACGAGAAGGAAGACAAAACACTATTGCACATTTCTAGCTAACTATTTGAGGAGACCTTGACAGGCTCAGCAGGTGTCAAGGGACTATTCGTACTAGATGGAGTAAGGGAATTTTGTGCCATCATCTTTTGACGCACTTCGCGGATTTTTAATTGTAAACTCGCTTTGGTGGGGAAAATGTCAGAGTGTTGGGCCTGGAACGTTGACGTGGCTTGGGCTGACGGGAATAGTGATTGTTCTTGGAACAGTTGTATGACTAATTGACGGCGTTGCTCCAGGATCCTTCTATGACCTTTCTCAGCATCTCTGGAAGTACCTGGAGTCCTAGGGGTTCTCGGAGACGTGCCCTCTTCGATTTCATTTAGTTCCGCTGTAAGATAATGTAATATTACAATTATTTAGTGTAATCCTTCTAGGATTATAGAATATTACCTCTAACACTGTCTATACTGAAGTCAGGGCCAAAGAACTGATTGCCGATAACAATAGGCTTAGCAGATGAAGCTGATTTGGGCACGCTTTGTGGAGTTTCAGCTTCCGACTCTTCATCTACTGAAGTACGGTGTGATGCAGTAAGAGGAGGACGCTTTTTGTTGTAATTAAAGAGGCCAGGGCTGGGAACCGAAATTGCACTTGGAGATTGTCCCTCTTCGGGTTTGAATTGTGGCAGTGAAGAGAATTTCTTCTCGAAATTCACCTGCTCCAGTACCCTGAATTCAAATATGAACAAAATAAAAATATTTGTTATGATTTTAAATTCTTTTCATTTACCGGTCCATCCCATCCTCAATGGTTCTCTTAAAAAAACTCTTTTTAGTCAATGGAGAAATTAGTGAATCATTTGGATTATCATCAGGAAGCGTAGTAGGTGTTGGAAGGGGTGAATTTTCTTGGTTTCCTTGAGGATTATTAGACCCAAAAACAGCTAAAAATAAGAACTTGACTAAGGTTCCACATGTATGAAAAAATCTTACCCATAGACTGTCTTCTCTGAAGAGGTGCCTTTCCTAGTTGCGCGGGAGTTGGTGCCAATTTAAATTCATGATTTTGTTGCTCTGTTTGTGACTCGATATGGCTTGAAGAAGGAGGCAACATATCAGTTCCAATAGGTGACTTTATTTCTTTTTCACTTTTCACATCTTTCATTTCCGAGTACAACGAGATCCCTAAAAAAAAACAGCTGTACAAAGAAGAATCAATATATCAGTATTTACCTGAATTTGTGTAGCTTTTAGAAGTAGTGACGACCGTATTTTGTTGGGGCTGATACTCTGCCTGAGAAGACAATATCTTACTCTGTGCTTGGGTGACTATGACCGACTGTGTATGATTTTGTTTGGGTAATAAATGGAGGTTTTGTAAAGACATGCTTCTGCCATTATTGTCTGATACAGGTATATTGAAAGAAGGCTGCATATATAGACATTGCACTGGTAGTTCAGAAGCTGTGGATGCAACAACAACAAAAGGTTGTGAATGTTCTGTATCATTAGACAAACATATAGTTGATTGTCCACCAATAAGAACGGTTAGTGGTGGTGACTGATAGTTTTGACTGATGCCTTCATTCATTTGAATAACATTCGGTTTAATCTGTGGCTTTAGAATAGCTAATGTAGGGTTAGTTTTCGTGGCGATAGTGCTTGTTTGTATGGTAGAAGAATTGACCCACTGAGAAACATCATTTGTTTTATTTATTATTGAAGTACTTGACCAGTTATCGTGGTTATCATTAATTTCATTCTTAACAACTTTTGGCGAAGCAGGCATCGTCTTGAACGCACCTCCTGTAGGCTGAAAACCTGTTATTCCTGACGGATTCACTGGAGAATAATGAAAGCTTAACGTACTCGATGTAGCTACTGGGCTATATTTTGGAGTCTCTGTTGATGGTAGCCTTGCTTTTATTGGTTTCGGTCTACAAGTCACTTCCACACAACTGTTTGTAGTCACAGGGCTGAACCGTTGGTGCTGGAATACTCGATTTTCTATCGAAGAATCTAGATCACTTTGTGACTCTGAATCAGAGTCTGTAACTTTTTCTTTGCACTTAAGATCTATTTCTGTGCCTGGATCTTCACATATAACCATTTGATCATCATCAGAGACATCACCTGTCACATCCTGTTCTTGTACAATTTGTCGAGGAGGTTCTGAAGTGTGAGGAGGTGAGTTTATTCTAGGACTTGCTGGTAGTTCGTTTGTCTCACCACTATCACTTGTTGAACTAAGCTTGCTGCGTCCTGAACCTGTTGATGACTTCCTTCTATCCTTATTGCACCTAAATAATTCATATATTTGCTAACATTACTAAAACATATTCAAAACGTACCATTTCCACTCTGGATGTGCCTTAAAATGTGCTTCTTTTACCTCAGATGCAAGTTCGTGATACTTTTTCTTCTCAGCAGCACCTAAAGCATACCACCATTCACCTAAAATCTTGGACACTGTCCTATTATCTTGATTTGGATGACGCTGATGCACTAAAGTACGGTGCCTCTTTGAAAAAATCATAAATGCATTCATCGGTCGCCTTATACGTTCTTTATTCTGTAAAATTCATATCATGAGAAATGAATACGATAAAAGTTTCATAATTTACCTTATTAGATTCCTTATTATTGCTTTGTAGGGAACTCAATGACTGGCTCCTGCGTTTGCTATTGCTATTGCTATCTAAATTAAGATCACTTGTTTCTGTCTCAAAAACATCGTCATCCTCCTCTGTTGGTACAGACATAGTTTCACCATCAACTTCCTCATCCTGAAGATCAACAGATGCACCACCCACTGTACCGACTGGTGGTGCGGACAACGGTGGAGATAGCTGGGAACGTGGCGGAGAATTTGGCCCCGAACTTGCAGTCAAAAGAGGCACAATCGAATGCCATGGAATGACAAAAGCGGACTGAGTTGACGTGGGGTTAGTTTGCACTTTTAGTTGTGAAATTAATTGTCTGCTTTGATTGTGGTTTGACTGAGATGATGCGATTTGTGGAACTACCGATACTCTGTGGTGTGATTGAAGTTGAATGGGATTGTGCTGAATTATCGGTTCATTATTGTGAGTTGACACATTTGGTGAGACTGCAAGAATATATATTAATTCATTCATTTCATTACTCTTTGATTACCTTCAAATTTTATTTAAAGATAAAAACAAAATAGAGGTTATTTAATAGTCAAATATTCATGGAATATAAATTTTAAGATTTGAATTTGAAATTTTGTATAAATTAACGACTTATACTACCTTGTTCAGATTTTACTATTACTGGTGGTGGGTTCTGTGACAAACTGGCAACTGGAACAATTCTCTTAACAACAGATTGTGAAGCAGCAGGCAATACCGGTACCAACTGGGTAGGATTAACTATGACGGGTAATCCAGTACTAATAGAATTTGACTGAATGTATCCTGGACCCGTGGAATGTGAATTACTTAAACCATTTATATTGTTAATGCTATTATTTGGCGTAACACGAATGGTTTGAGTCGTATGCAAATGATCGCTCTGTATAACCTAAAAATTGAGAGAATCATGTAAATGGTAATTGTAAGCGAGTTCCAAAACTACAAAGTAGAGAAACTAGAACATTAAAAATATTTGATGCTTAAGAATTAATTTTTGTTTGTGAAGCGAATTGTTTACTTAACGTTTGCTTTTCTTTCTGTTATTCCAATGACATACCTGTCTTTGAAAAGATTTTGGTTCCTTCTGATCATTTTCTACTTCATTTTTTACAATCATAACATTTTTCTCATGCGTTGGGGGTACAACACAATAAAGGGTTCCTAAAATGATTTAACATTTGAAAAATAATTGTATCCAATAAAGTCACCGTTATTTACACGTACCTTGTGACAAGGAACTGTTCTCCGGCTCTAGTGTTTGGCTGGATGGACTTGTTAAAGCGTGTTGTAAAATAACGCTTTGCTGTTCAGGGGTATTAGGGGCCCATTGCCTAGGGTTAGGAGAAACTCTTATTACGCTTGTTACACCTTGAACTGGACGTGCTTCTGGTCTGTAATGTGTAATAGTTATCATACTATAATACCACATTCTTAGTTTTCATTCTGTTTAACGAATGTGCATCTTTTTTTAAAAGTATTGAAACAACTACTATTAGTTTCATGTTAGAGTACCACAAAGTTAAGAGTGAAAATAAAAGTAACTATAAAATTATTAATTAACCTGAAGGAAACGTTTTTAATGCACTGAAAAATTTTTGTAGATGTAGACGTTTATCCAAAATTATTAAAACAAGTAAATCTTAAATAATTTAATTCTTACCTTATAACTTGTTGATGATAAGGAGGATTATATCCAGGAGGAACAGGTGAATTTCTTTTTTGCATACCATGGGAATGACTGCTAGGAATGGGCATGAAAACGTTTTGTCTTGGACCTACTGTAATCGGAGACTGCATCGCATGGGGAGAAGAACCTTGACCATTTGGAGAAAAAGCAGGAGTAGCTGATCGTGAACTGCCTAACGACACTAAAATCAAATAATCGGATGTTTTCATAAAGACAAAATTTTTATTATATTTATCAGGCTATAATTTGACTTATAAAGTTTTAATTTTTTGATAATTTCTTATAAACTTGAATAAAATATAAAAGACAGTTATACCTACCTAACATATTAGCAGCATCAGTTTCTTCTTGATCAAATCTCCCTGCAATCCTCCTGTCACTGCAGTTAGGAGAAGTCTCGGAATCCCTAGAAGTATCTTCCCCACCATCCCCTTTACTATTAGATCTAGGAAAATGTCCACTACGGAGACTATTACCTTTTAAACTGAGATGCCGTGAACAATATCCCCTACGTTGACTCTCCTTAGTACATCCATCTTTCGAGCAAAGTCTCCGCCACTGTTTCCCATTGAACTTTTTACGAATACCGTTAGGGTTTGAAACAACATCTCCCTTTTTATATTTGTGTGGAGTAGCCGCCTGGCTCCGAGGTGTTGCTGGTTGAGAACGAGGCGTAATACTGCTTGATGAACTACCCCTAGAGTGCATGCTGCTCCTCTTACTACTTCCAGATAATTTTGCATCTACTTCAGTCCCAAATGTTATATTATCTTGCCTTAATTCATCTTCACTCTCACAGAACTCATCATAGTGACGGCCGTTTGAAAGAGGTGTGCAAACCGAGACTGGAGTATGAAGTTGAGTTGGAGATGCCTGGTTGGCACGAAAATAATCCATAGTCGGTTGTATCACATTCTCGATAGCTGTATCAAGATTCTCAAGTTCATCCCACCAAGGAGGACGTAACAGTCTTAAGTCTGCTCGTTTCACTGTTACCTCCAAAGATTTTTCACCTATTACTGCAACGACAAACCGTATCGGTTGACCTTCTAGCCTACTACAAACTACACCTTCAACGAACATACTTTGGTTGTGACGTACACAAACCCTAGTTGCTAAAGTTATTTGGTTTATCGATGGACTTGCGTCTCCTATCACATTGTAACATTCATTATCAAACACATTTGTGTATGTTATCAATTTTTCTTCCTTTCCATCCAAAGCAACTGTAATCTAAAGGAGAAAATCCCTTTGATATGTAGTAAAAATATTTAATATTTCGAATATGTAATTTATAAAAAGTATCACTTTACAACTGTTTAACATAAGTTCATTGGGTATATTCCTGTAGTATAATTTCTTATTAAATTTTAAAGTTATCTTAAAACTATATCAATATACCTCATATTTTTAAGATTTTTAAAATTAAATAATTTCTAGCTATTTATAAATAAACTAAAGCAAATATTTGTTAAATAGACATCAGCTTTTTTACAAATTTATCATTTTTAGATCGAATTGTAACAAACATTTATTGCAAACGGTACGAACAAGACAGTAATCCTTTTCCGCTTTATACAGGGTGATTCACAACTTATCTAAAAAAATTTGGGAATAGATGCAGCATGAGAAATGGAGTCAATATCGTAAAAAAATTTTTTGTAAAATCCTTATAGTTTCCGAGAAAAAAATTATTGAAGTTATAGTACATTTAACCACTACATAGCTGGACAACTGTAGTGTCTAGCATCATTCGCAATACGCGTGGAGAGCCACGTGGCCTTAGCTACTCCGAATACTGAAATCCGTCATTGGGATAGTGTTTACCTGTTACCTGTGGTGTTTACAACAGTTTTTTAGTAGTTAGTGTCAAAAATGGATTGATTTGGAGTTGATGGATATCGTTTTAATTTATGGTGAAGCAAGACACCATTTGTGTTAGTTCGTAGAAAGTGAGTAAGACGGACCCAAATGTGTTTACACGTTAGTGGTTAAAATTTTGAACAATTGTTGTTGTAACATCGGGTATGTCAAATGATTTTATTATTTAAAAACACAAATTAATTTTATTAATTAATAAAGGCAAAAGCATTTGAATTTGCCGATATAAAATAGGTGCTATAAAATTCTATTTATTTCTTTCCTTGCGAAAGTTTTTGTCCGTTTTTATCACACCGCCATGTTTTTTTGCCATGTTTTACAGTGGACCAGTTTCCAGTGCCGTGCAGAAGTGTATTTTTAAATCATTTTCGAACTGCCCTTTTTTGATTTTTTCTTTACAAAATTGTATTTGTAAGGGTCCCCTGTACATCCAGAATATTTTGTTTGGATAAGTTCTGAATCACCCTGTATATAAAGGGTGCCCCATAATTATTACGATAAAATGATAGGCGTTGTAGAGGGCATGAAAATAAACAATTTTGCCTTATAAACCCCTGTCCGGAAATGTGCTGTTTGGCCGCTACAGCAAAAAAAAAAATATCAAAAAAATCCCAGTTTATTGAAACAGCTTAGAGTAATTGCTCAAAGTATCATCCACGTTGCTCAGTACACAGCTGGGCACGATTGTTCATTGATTGAACTCTGTGGAATATCCCTGGTGTCCTGAACCTGTGCAGACACGGCCATCACTATTCCCAGTAGCTCTTGTTGGTTAGGAACACGAATTTCATACACTAAAGCTTTTAGATGACTCCAGAGAAAATAATCCAATGGGGTCAAGTCGGGCGACCGCATGCACAGGGCCACTTGGGCCTATCCAACTCTTGGGAAAGATTTTGTCCAAATACTGCTATTTACGTTTCGCGCACCAGTCACTGCAACTGAATCGATATGGCAACTTTAAGCCGACAAACATGTAAACATGGCAAGCTAGTGAGTCAGGGGGCACCTCCACTGTAGCGGCGAAACCGCATATTTCCGGACATTCCGGGGTATATTAGGCAAAATTGCTTATTTTCATGCCCTCTACAACCCCTATCATTTTGTCGCAATAATTATGGGACATCATGTATATAATATTATGCAGAAACCGTTTATAGAAATTGAGGTTATGGCATACAAAATTTACTTTTTTTTAAGATAAGGTAATTTAGTGATTTTAATTTATTTTTTAACCAGTCCATGGCCATAACTAGAAAGGGTTTTACTGCATAGACGAATGAAATTTTTATTTTTTCAATTTAAAGAAATGTATATTTTATTTGGAGAAACGCTTAATAATAACAACAATCAATTATTATATATTTCTAGTAAGTATTAAGTTCTTAAACCAAGAGTCATTCTAACCTACCTATTAGCATAGTAAATACAAATAGTTATAACATATCATTAAGTTCTTGCAGCAAATATTTAAGTGATCTTAAAACTAAAATTTTTTAAATACGAACAACACCATGTTATTTATTACATCTTTGGTAACAATAACTTCTTATTTCATGCACAAAATGTTTATCAATTTTGTTTCACATATCAACCCAACTGAATGTTATGAAAGTAGATGCTATTCTCTAGCAACGATGTGTTACTAGATGTGAAGTTTGATGGTAATGAAAATAAATAGATTACAATTCTAGTATCGGCATTGGTAAGGTGATTATTCGGAGTATTACCAATAAATATATAAAAATGTGCACTTGCAATGTGGTAACAAAGAAGGATATGTACTCACGTTTGATCCACTGGCTTCCCGAATTACTCCAGGATAGTACCAGTCACCTTGCTTGGCTAGAACTCTATGGTCACACCATTCACTGAGATCGATTATATTTTGTTTACTATTAGTTTGTTTGAAAATTCCATCCTCTTGAGAAATAATGCGTTGAGAACAGGAATAATCAACAGCAGTGGCTTGGGGTGCTGACATTACACTCGTGCACTGAACCACAGACACTGGTATACAAACAGCTTGCAAATTATTTTCCTCTAGTTCAGAGGGATCAAATTTACGTTTTTTAGGTAACTTTCGTACTCCCATTTCCATGTTTAACAATGTTAGGGAAGGGTGAAATGTGGTTATTTTGTTGTTTTAGGAGTAAGTTCTAAACGGTTTCCTTGATGCATTGTTATGTTGGGTTTTTACTGACATTTTATTAGTATTTCTTAAACAACACATCTGTAAGGGTGCAGTACTTTATAGTATTGAATGTTCTGCATGTTTACCTACAATAGGAACCAAATTTAATTACAATTTTTACGAGAATACAACTTCCTACAGTTACATCAGTTTGCTAGGATGAGTAATAATAAATACTACTTTATGAATGGAATGTTATAGTAGATGATAGTAAATAAACATTTTCCTTGTCATATGGATGATGTTGTATAAACATGTTGTATTGTCAGTGTTATATGGTTCTAATATTGGTGTATATGGGTTAGAATATATATATATCTTATATTCGTATTACCTAACTTTTAATTCAATGGAACCACAACATTATTTTACGAACACCTACAAAACGCAACGAATACAGACATTATGTCCCTCTTCTCACTTCACCCCCCGAAGCTCTGTACATGCGTAGTAAGGTTGAAATACGGCGAAAAGCCTGACTCACAAGTTTATAATACGAAATAGGCGCATGTTGTGGTCCAAATTATCTTAAATCTCGATGTTCAGTTTCGGACTGGAGAGATGCAAAAATTGAAGAAAAGACAAAGCCTGTCTCTGTTCTTGAACAGTACAGAGAAAAAATTTAAATAACTCTATTCTACAATATCCTATGTCATATTCGATATGCCTAGTTTATTTTACACCTGTGTTCCTAAAGATATCCATTGTCTATTACACCTGTAGAATATATATAATTACAAGGTGGATAGTAACTAGCAGATATCTAGGTACCTGGAGACTTACCAGAGACGGACTGAACAAAAATCTGTGCCAATGTTTATTGATCATGAAGCAAACAATTTTTTTTTGTTTTTTACGAGGGTGAAAACTTCGGAAAATTATAAAATCAAAAAACGAATTTAAAATCACAATTTTTTGTAGATACTTACGTCTTAATTATAGAATAATTATTTCCTTGTAAAATAAATTGATTGTATTTATGAAACCAAATTACAACATTTTTCACTATCAATCGTATATTTATCAAATTTTGTTTACCTTCAATAACTGAGCATTGACCTTGTAAAATACACTCCTGTATGTAAAAATTTTTATTATTTTCTATATTTGTGTTTAATATTACACTTCCTAATTACAAATATATACATACCTATTAATAAATGCAAAAAAGTATTAACACTAACTTAATAATACTTAATAAATAATTACTTTCTTTGTTAATCTTTTACTTACAGCTCATACAGTATACGACCAGTAAAACACCTGCAGCTCTAAAGTTGTTGCCTATAGCTGAGTTTTAATATTATACATAGTAATGAATTAAATTTTTTAGTTAGTTATTTCAATCTATTTGCAACAAAATTAAAATATATCTATACACATATACCTATTCTACAAAATTATGTTTACATTAAATTTAATATAATGGGGTGCCATACGAGGCAGGTATGTATGTAACTGTCAACATCAACAAATTAAAAAAAAACTAGTAATTCACACCATTTCACCATTATAGTATCAAGGTTATTCAGCTTATTCTCAATATTTCGCCCTCTGACCAATACGAAGTTAGTTCCTGGTCTACAAACAGAGTATCCCAGAAATAAGTGTTATTTTAATCATGCACTTAACTCATTAAAAGTAGCTTTTCTTCAATTATTTTCGAAAACCTCTGTTTTTAAAATAATATAACTTTTTTAAACTTGAAATTTTTGTTATTCACTATTGTGACTTGTGAACGTTTAGTTGAGATAATAAAAAAATGAATAAATGGCGTAGTTACAAAAATGGTATATAACTGCTAGTAGGTATTTACTATTTAGGCTAGCAAAAAATTTGAAATCATTACATAGGAATCCCGTTAATTTAATGGATACAAAATACCAGATAAAAATGTGAGCATATGAAAAAAAAATTAATTAGAAAAAAGTTGTTGCTTTTAACAAATTAAATACGAGATTAAAATTTGACATTTATTTCTGGGACACCCTATGTATGTAATGAAAAATAGACCTAAAAAAAATAAAAACAACATTCCAACTCCAACACTCGAACACTCCCCATTTGCTGTTTTTTTTCTGTATTATTCCTAATTACTTTGCCATTGTCAAAAAGTTTAAAATCCAGTCAGATTATATTTTGTTCTCTTATTAGCAATTATTTATAAGAATTGCTAAGAACGTAATACAGGCAGTAGAGTCACCGCTGTAACATGCATCAGTTTACTGACAGATACTGATAGTATATAAACTATAAACAAGGATAATACGAATTTTATGGTGAGAAAATCTAAACAAACGGAAATAAATATTGAGTACCTATTTAAATAAGTGTTAACAAATACACGGCATAAAAAGATAGGGGCTTTCCTATTTAGAATATTTTATTGATCGTAACAAGTTTTGGACACTGTAGGTATTTAAATGTTTTTAGAGAACAGTGAAGTCTCTTCCTCTCTTCAGCCCTTTCTACCTTCTACATTCTACTTACATATCACCATTGTATAAGTAAATTTACTTATACAATGATATCACTGAACGTTACAAAATATTTACAAATTACGAATTTAACAGGTTCGGACTACGACTACATACCTCTTATAAAGGTAAAAATTTATAACAAGAATTTCGAATTATTGAATAAATATAAAATAATTTTTCCTAATAACAAAATGTTGCATCTATAAAAAATAAATAGAAATGCTTGATTGTTAACAAAACAGTACCACTTAATTGTATATTGTATATACCAGTAACACTTGTAAGTTAAAATTGAAATTAGAACATGCCAATAAGACAAAGATGAGCATATTACAGCATTTTAAGAAATCCAAAAAAAAATAAAAATAAAAAAAAAGTAGAACCAGAGTACCAATTAAAAAGCAACTATTGCAATAGCAAGCACGTTCAGTAATTTTAATTTTTGTAACATTGAAATATATTAAAAATAGGGGAAAATAAACAATTTCCGTTTCGTATAATCAAATCCTAAAGTGTACCAGATTTTATAAAGAGGAAATTAAAGAACTGTACTGAATCTAGTACGACTACTAGAAATCACTGAAATCAGTGAAATCACATCCTTGTCTCTGCCCGTCCCGTAGTAAAGATTCCAGAAATCCAGTCCTGCGTGGTCAACAGGGCTCGTGAGCAGATGAGGGAACAGATACATTCTGTAAAGTCTCTTCCGTTTCCGTTATCTGCCATCGCGACCCGGCGTCATCCGTCCGTCACATTTCGTTGAGCACGTCGTGTTTGTGTTGTTGGGGACTCGCTCATCCACCCGTTAGTAATAAATTATTTTTCAACAACACGAAGTGTTTCACGATGGATTAATCTGTTCTTTTTATCATACGGACAGATAGAAGAATCAGAGACCAACGTTGATAACCATGTATCTCAAACTAACGTTAACCATAAATTTTCTGATAGGGTTATCAATTACAGGTAAATATTGAACCACCTTATATCGACGAGTATTTTTATCACCTGTTGTTTGTTTACAGCGATTAAAGTTGACGCGCTTAAATGCTACGTATGCGGAGATGAGGAACCTGATTGTAAAGATTTTGAATTAACAAAAGACACTTATGCCAAAGAATGTTTACCTCCCAATGATCAAGGCTGCTTTAAAGAAACTAGAGGTATTTACATATATCTAAATATACTTGTTCAATATGTTCTAAATAATATATTTTTTTAGGAAACATAGTGATACGAAAATGTGCTAGTAGAAAAATTGACGATTGCCAGAAAGCAAACGGGGTGGAGTACTGCTACTGCTTCACAGATTTGTGTAATAGTAACATTAGGCTGATAGGTCCTACTGATGATGAGGATTTAATAGAAGGTAGTGGTATAACAACAATCTCGACTGGAACGGAGAATCCTTTAGTTTTAATTAAAGATAAGTCTAATGGTAGTAAAGCATCTCTATATGGTTCACTGGTTTTCATTCCTTTTGTTGCATTGTTTTATAACAAGTGATTGACTCCGAAGTATTAACAACAGTATTATTAATTTATTCCGCTTAAAAGACAAAACAATTATTACTATGTCATTTAAATTTTGATCATATGCTAACTTTTACAGCATTTACGAAAAAATTTTTACTACAATTATGATCATTTCTGTATAGTTTCACTATTATCCTTTAGATCCTTGGGTTGGTATGGCTGGTTTTTAGTGAATAGTGAATTATTAGTTTTGATATCTTGAATAACTTTTGGTTTTTGGTGTAGAGTTTATAAGTATATAATACAAAATAGTAGGTAATTATTTTATATATTTAATATTTAACTCTAATAATGATTTTCATTAAATATTACAATGAAATTTTTGCGGCTTGTGTAACATATTCCTTGAAAATTTAATATATTTTTTCCAGTTTTAAGTGACCAATATATTTTTTAACATTAGGTATTTTATTAATTAAAATACTTTTTAATAATTTTTGTAGAGGAATTATTATGGTTAGATATTCTGCTTAATTCATTTTTAGTGAAAGACAAAAATATTAGGCCTAAATTATGAAGATGTGTATTTGTTGTAAAACTTAGTTGATTAACCAGTTACCTTTTTTTTGTGGTAAATATTGTAAGATTTTACATAAATGCTATTATTTATTGTAGCGAATAAATAAGATATATTTAGTGAAACCATAATTTAATGTGATTTCAGATCTAAATAAAATGTGCCAAACCTATCAATGTCCTATTAAAGGAAATTATTTTTTAAGACTCATAACTCAAAAATATCAAATACTCTTAACATTTATAAAATCTTGCCATAGTATATTATTTTAAATAAAATTTGTATATATAAAATCAAGTACACAATGCATTAATTTTTTTAAGACATTATTAAGTATTTTTGTACTTGCAAATATGTAGATTATAACGTAACTGCACAAATTAGTGTATGATAATCCATATTTGTATTGTCTTTATTTTCACAAGACATCTTTTGAGATATGACTAGTTTGTCTAGTTATAGTGCTAGTTATTATCTCAAAATTGAAGGAATGATTTTTCAGGTGGTTGTTTTAGATATTTATACAGCAGTTATTTATATATTTATTTGGCTGTTAGATGTGCAATATGCAACTTATCAGTATTTGTTATGTAGCTATGACCTGTTATATTTTATAAAAATTTATATACCCATACACATATTTTTATAATTTGTTTTAGCTTCAATGCTTCCAAAGATTAGATATAAGTGAGTGTCAATTGAAATACCTGGTAGTTTTAGATATTCTAAATTATAAGGGATTTATCCCCTCTATAATATTTTTTATTCAACAAACTATGACTGATTTTTAAGTATCATGTATCCCTCAGTTGTTTTAAAAATTTTTTAATTATGTACAATATAAATTCATTTTTTAATTAAAAAAAATATAAATTTTTTATGTAATCTGTTGTAGCAGTGTTAAGGTTAATCGTAAATTAAATTAGTTATTATTTATGTAGAATAAACAACTGAATATTTGTATACGTTAATTTAAAATAACAGAGATATGTAAGCGGTAAACATCTCTAGTCTTAAAAATAAGTTTCTATTAATTTTTGTGTAGTTTGGAATACAAGGTTTTACTCAAATTTACAGTCTTGTATACTTATTTTATAGAATAAAGCAGTTTTAAATATATCTGAACATTATTTTGTGTTTTAAAAAATATTAGATTCCAGTAACAATTGAAAAAATACATGCCACTTTATGTACACATATGTACACATTGAAGTACAATTTCATACATTTGTTTAGCATCTATTCTAATATTTATAAACATGACATATGATATTTCCTGGAAACCAGTCTAATTGAGAATAATTGTCAGATAATGAGATTCGTATCTCGACGCAGTGAATGCGACGGCTAATAATAGTTCTAAATGCAAAGACTATACAAACAGGAGGCATATCTTGTTTCAAATTTAAAGGCGCGTATGTAAACATTGTAAACAGTTCTGAAACTGCTAGGGCGGTTTTATTTTCAAATTGCGAAAGTTCTGTTTTGGTTACATTTCATTTCATTATAGTACTTTACTTTTATATTGGCAACAGTGGCAGTTAAACATGAACGCCACCTGTTTTGACATTTGTAATCAATTTGTCAATAATTTGTTAGTGAAAGGTTTTGTAAATAATTTTGTAAAAAATGTCAACGAATGAGCAGAAAGCCCAACAGCTTATAGCTGAGGCAGAAAAGAAGGTTTCTTCGAGAGGATTTTTCGGATCTTTATTTGGGTAAATTTAAATATATATTTGTTTTTAATTATAACCCACCTACATTTCACGTTGCACTTAATCTGTTTTAATTATTTCATAGAGGTTCTAGTCGTATTGAAGATGCAGTGGAATGTTATCAAAGGGCAGCCAATCTATTTAAAATGGCTAAGAACTGGCCATCTGCAGGAAGTGCTTTCTGCGAAGCTGCAAATCTACATTTGAGGAGTGGAGCTAGGCATGATGCTGCTACAAATTATGTAGATGCAGCGAATTGTTACAAGAAATCTGATATTAATGGTAAGTTACATACTTAAACTGAGTCACTGAAGTTAATACTTAATCAATTTTATGGAAATCTTAATATTCAGTTTCGTATTTCAAGCATTAGAGTTAGAAGTATGATGTGTTTATTACATTTTTATAAGAAGTTCATTATGAAAGTAAATTAAATTAAAATCTGATAAAGTAAAAAATGGGTGAGTTGAATCATCTCTAAATACGCAAAAACATGCAAATTATATACTGAAAATGAGTAGTTCTAGAGATGCCCTAAATAATTAATCAAATGAATTTTTAAAATGTCTTCATTTTGTTGCTATTATATTTTGAATTAACTCAACATTATTGATTAAATAGTATCCAAAGTTTGCTAGTGTCTTAAACAAATGTAGTGATGTCTAACACAAAACATTGTTTTTTATTCCAGAAGCGGTAAATTGTTTACTAAAAGCCATAGAAATTTATACAGACATGGGTAGATTTACTATGGCTGCTAAGCACCATCAAACCATTGCTGAGATGTATGAAACGGATGCTGTTGATCTGGAACGAGCTGTTCAGCATTATGAACAGGCTGCCGATTACTTTCGTGGTGAAGAAAGCAATTCTTCTGCTAATAAATGTTTGTTAAAAGTTGCTCAATATGCAGCGCAGCTAGAGAATTACGACAAAGCAATACAAATATACCAAGAAGTGGCTTCCTCAGCTTTAGAAAGTTCACTGTTAAAATATAGCGCTAAGGAGTATTTATTTCGCGCCGCGCTGTGTCACTTATGCGTTGATGTTCTTAATGCACAACATGCCTTAGAGCGCTACATCCAAATGTATCCCGCTTTCCAAGATTCACGCGAGTATAAACTTGTTAAAACACTTATAGAACACATTGAAGAGCAGAATGTTGATGGATACACAGATGCTGTGAAAGATTACGATTCAATTTCTCGTTTAGATCAATGGTACACTACTATATTGTTACGTATTAAGAAACAACTTAACGAAAGCCCAGATCTGCGCTGAAAAATGTGTTCCATCTTATATCCGTTGTTTAAATTTGTTAATTGTTAATCTAAATGAACTTATAGTTTATTTATTTTCATTTTATCTATAGTTAATATTATGTTATTAATTAGTGTTTTTATTTGATCTATAGATAGCACAATTTTGTGTGGCGTAAAATTTCATACTGGATTTTCTAAATTTCAAACACGTTATTCATTGCAGTTAAAACATTATTTCTTTCAATTTTTGTGGATATTGGTTATATTTTATGATAGCACATTTAGTAAAAACTAAAACATTATATTATTTATTAAATTTAATATATTTTCTATTTCCTTATTTTCAAAATAAATTATTAGTTTATATTTAATATCACAGTACTCTTACAAAATATTTTAAACTTCATATTTTATGTAATGCTATAAAACTATTTTCCTTTTTATGAATTTAGAATTAGGGGAAATCAATATTATAATCGTGATATACATTTATTTGACTAGCGAAATGATAGTTGTCAAGATGCTCTTGATAATTTTTTTATTTGTTAATAAAGTCACATTTATATTACTAATACTATTTATATTTTATATTAATAAAAATATTTTTATTTATTAATTTTTCTATAAGTTGAAGATCTTCCTTAAATATAAAGTAAGAAGTGCTAGTTCTGATCTGATCAGACATTGGTCATTAAAACTAATGTATACAACCATTTATTTACACATTCTCTGTTAGTGCAATAATGGCTCTTAATGTATAATATCTGTTAAAATGTATATACATATTTGAATGAATAAATGGTAAAAACCACCACCTATAAATATTCATAGTATTTTTTAGCTTATTTTTAGCAAAAATTTTTATCTCTGCAGATAAATATAAATATTAATATACAGTAAAAAGTTTTCAGTTGATGGTGGTGGTTTTTTGTATTGTAAATCAATATCGAACTGTTAAATTGTGATTAGTGCACATTTATTTCTAATAAGTAATATATCATTTTTATATCAGTGTGATGTATAGGCACAAAATATTTGTAATTTTATGCCTCATTTTGACCACGCCACGAAGGATTTGTCCGTGAAGAAAGCTGCAAAATCATTTCGTATAGGATTCCTAAACAGCAATTTCTTTGGATTGTGTAACTTGGTCCCATTTTATTGAAAGTTATAATTAATATTCATATTTTTTAAAGGTTGGGCAGATGTAGGTGACACTGTAGAGTAAAATGTCTATGTTGGTGAATTTAATTTTGAGATTATATATAGTAAAGTAACATAATGATGAAGTATTGATATTTATTGTAGCAGAATGTCCTGTAGGGTGACAATTATATTGCTACTCGATCCAGATATATTTAGAAATAAATTATAATATTTTATATTCACTGGATACTGCCGCAGTACTATAAGTCCTTGTTGTGTTAATAGTAAATTAGTAATAAGTTAATAACTTAAATGTTGAAAGATCATTGACGCATAAATTATAATTTTATTTCATTGCTTATACTGAAAAATAATAATTTTAAAAGCAAATTTACTTTAACACAATTAGGAATAGTATGTATAGTATCATCTTTAATATTCCATCAGTCAACGATATACTCATTTCCATTGCTGTATATATTATAAGTGGCATGTAATAAATTACAATTTTGAATTTCATACGTTTTTTATTGATAGGTAAATAATAAATCGAGGTGTATTTCTTAAACAAATGTTACATTTAAAATTTGAAATTGTTCCTATAAAAATTTGAGTGTGTATACAACCCAGAATACAATAAAATATATATACAATTGCATATCTGTATTTAGAAAATACTAAAAATAAATATATTTTAGAAAATTTATAGAATATATAGATATACTAAGATAATTTGAAAACCAAGTGTTATAAACATATTTTAATTAAATATTTGTAAATATTACGCATGTATTTATTTTCGGTGCATGTGTAATGGCGCCAGTATTTAAGTTTTCTTCTGAGATATGCCAATACCGGAAATGCTGCCCATAACTGAATAATTAATATGTAAAATTATTAGGTTGAGGAAAATATTTAAAATGTAACGATAATTTGTAAGGATTCTAATATTCATAAGTTATTTATAATTCAAGGGACACAAAATTGACTTCACAATTGTTTACCAAAAGAGAAATCATTTAATTAAATATCTTTTAGTGTTCTTTCTAAAATTCACCAGATCCGTAATTTCTTTTATTGTAACCAGATACATATCACATGTAATTAACAACTTGTATGTGTGTAACGAAAAAGGCTCTTTGTAGCTCTTTGTAAATAAAAACAATTATATTATTTTTCAAATTATCTGTTTTCAAAATATCATTAATTTCATTATAGAAAATACATGATAATATGAGGAGCTGATTTTATTTACAAAATTGTAAACACGGTCCTGCGTTGTACATGGTTGCCAAAGAAGCACAAAATTCTTCGATTTTTATTCAATATGTTGTGAGACTGCAGTAAATAAACACACGCAGAAGACAAATCTATCAAAACAAAGTACCTAATACGTGGTAATAACATGGTGTTTAGGCAAGTTTATAATAGCAAATTTATGGTTTCATGACAACCCAAGGGACTTTGGAATCCAATATCCAACGTTGTTAAGTTGTCGATTCTCAGCGAGACAGTTGAATATCTGTGGGATCATTCGGCAGGCTGTGTGGCAGAAGTGGCAGACGGCAGAGTTACAGAACAGAATCGGTGGCAAAGTAGGCTGTATTATCATTATCGTCAGTGATAACTGATAAGTGATATAGAATTATTTTACAAGTTATATGGGCAAAACAAACGTTTTCCATCAGGTGAAGTCGAATAACGGTCAGAATTAATTAGTAATGTTTTTCCCTGTATCAGGTGTTTAACATAAGTGCATTATATATGTTACGAGGCACTGGGATAAAGAAAAAATAAAGAAAATGCCTTTATTTGGTAAAGAAAAGAAAACTAAAAAAGATGGAAAAGACATCGATAAACAGCCGTCTTTGGAAGACAAGTATTATCTAAAAGAATTGCTAGGAACGTAAGTCTTCCACTTTAATACTTTATCTGTTTACAAATAATATAACCTCTCTTTTTGTTATTTTTCTAGTGGTGCTTTTTCTGTGGTGCGATTAGCGGAAAGCAAGGAACGGTCAGGTATGATGTATGCTGTAAAAATTATTGATAAAAAAGCTTTAAAAGGAAAGGAAGACTCTTTGGAAAATGAAATTAAAGTTCTCCGAAGGTAAGTAGTGATTTTATTTGTACATGAATTCACAACAATCCTAGTTAAGCAGTAGGGTAGATATGTATAAGAGTACGCACTTAATGTATGAATGAACAAGTTCTTTAATTGTATGTTACGGTTTCTTACATTTTTGAATATTAAAACTAGATTTTCCAAAACAGTTTGTGATACTGATAGCATTGAAAGCACATAATCCAGTTTTCATTGTCATCCCCATATTTATAAAAACTATGTTGATAAAGTAGGTTCTTTCTTGTGACTATGTTATAATAAGTAGCGCAAATACAACTACTATTTAAATTGTATAATAGTGATCGCATATCAGTGTTTATTCTTTTACACACATCTACACTATAAATGTAATAATTTTAATTTTATATTTACAGATTCAGAGTTTTAAACTACTTATATGTCAATTAAATGATTTGCATTTTGTTATTTTTTAAGTTCATTGTGTTTCTTTATACAGTAATTGATTATAGTTAGAATTACATATATATTTTGCTAAATAAACCATTATGTTTTATAAGAAAGATAAAAATGTTGGAAGAAAAAATTAAATATTGTTTATACAAACTCTGTGATGACAGAGATTTATTTTTTACAATTAAAAATTTTGACCTGAAATCGCTCCATATAATTAGTAACTGGTTTTTTAATCTTATTAGTGAAATCACTGAAATCGTGTCATTTTACAGATGTATATGACAGTCGTGTAACCACACTCCTGAAAAAAGACGGGCACGAGAGGGGTGGGGGGGTCATAATTTTTGCAGGTGACCACTGCCTTATTTTACTTCGAGTTCTAAAAAATTGGTTTTCATAAAAAAACTTATTATTGAGTAAATTAAAACATTGAAAGTGTTATACATTTTTGAATTATATAAAATAAGGGTGATGCCGGACTTAAAAATAAATAATACTTAATACAAATTTTCAAAGAAAATATTACAAACCAGAAAAATCACCTTGTATATTATGTTCAAAATGTTTATTTTTAATGTCGATTCGACGTTAATTTGTATTTGAAACGGCACCATCTTTCACGTTAATTCGCTTGCGAAAAATAATTTATTTTTAGCTTTTAACTCCGTTATATAATGAACTACGAATTGTTTAAGAACATGCACTAACTTTAAATGTACTCCAAGCATGATATAACTTGAATCGATCTTGTAATCTAAGAAAATAGCAAAAAATAAGGAAGTGCACCGGAGAAAAGTCCTTGGCAGAATAACCGTTAGAACGAAAAATTGTATTCGGCGACATGACATTAAAAATAGTTGCTGGGAAACATGCTGTTCTAATGTGTTACGTCATAAAGAAGGCTACTAAAAAATATTAGTTTTAATAGAACAAATGTAAATGTATTTCATATGTATATATGTCCCATTGATAATGCCTTTCCACTATTTCGGTTTTACAATCATTAAAAGAGTTTTAGATTTTTTTATGCTGTAGAACATTTAATCGGCATCCAAAATAATGAAACCTTGAGTCTCCATTTTTTCCTATATATATTATAATCGGACTATATAAAATTCTGATATCTATAGTAGTTAGTTTAGCATAAGATTTAGGATTATAAATCAATTCAATTACGGAAAATCGTATAATCTTTATTGAATTATACATATAATCAATCATATTTAATCAACATTTCTGTTTGCATGACTGCTGCGTGAAACAAATATAATACGTATTTTTATATAGATCATATTCGGCGACGAGAATTTCTTTATGTTTCTTAATTGAAATTGTAGCAATAGACTGACATCAATTAACAGTCAATTTATTCACACTAAACATTACTTAAGAACTAAGTAAGAAATTGTATAGTATAATAAAATGAATCTAAATTCACTAGTATTATTGAGTAAATGGTTAATTATTATCATTAACATTTTTCTTGTTTCACTTTTTTTTTTCTTAATAGATCATAATAATAATTTATTTATTGACTAATTTTTCTCTCCAGAGGTGATACCTGTAGAGGGTGACCGAAAGCGAATAGGCGAATTTAGACGATTTAGATTACATTATCTTCGGTAAAATTCAAATTCCGTAAAAACTGACGTACCCTCAAAACATTGTTTTATCTCATTTTTATAAGTACTTCAATGATATCTGATGGGTTTTTGGGATAGCCGAAGTTGGCGTATTTTTTCCTAAAACATAGATGTCGTTAAGAATACTTGAAAACGCGATTTTTGTCACTTTTGTTGTTGATAGAGATTATGACTGCAAAAATAGGTACATTTGTCGCATGCCGCCAAAATGCATCGTTTCAGACAAAATTGGATTTCAATATTTCACTCCAGTAGTCAGCTACAGAGAGGCAAGTATTTGGAGATATTCTAATCTAGGCTGTGTTCAGTGAATGGTCGGACCGGCCAAAGTCGTTCAGCGGACAAATATTTAGTTGGTCAGCCAAATCAGCTGATTGGGAATATTGGTCAGGTTTTAATACAATTAATACAAGCTCGTTCAGCGAATTGTTTGACTAAAGAAGTTTGACCGAACTAGTCCGACCATTCGCTGAACACAGCCCTAATTAAACTTTACTTTCTTGCTGTACCTTTGTCAAACTTGTTTGAACTGTTTAGATCAACTTATCTTTATTCGAATTTATGTCAGTCAATTTTTTTGTTCTATTGAAAATATGTTACTGTATTAGTATACATATAATAAATAATACATGTATGTATGCTGTGTCACTAGTGCACGTGTACTTTAAATAGTTTGCTACATTCAAATAGCTAATGTCTCATCTGACATTTTAGTTAGGTGTAAAATGTATAAATTTAGCAAAGAATTAACTTATCGTTAGATTAGAATACCTCCAGCTTCCAACTATTCGGTTTTTCGGAACTAATAACTAACTGCTGTAGAAATTTGAAATCTATGTTTTGGCTAAAACGATGCATTTTACCCACGTACAAATATAGTTTCATAAAACAGGTTAAGGAAGCAAAAATTGTAGCAAGGAGACTTGATGTTATAATAATGATTCCCTTATTTATTATGGTTAAACATATTCAAATATCATGTTTTACTGTGAGAAGATATTTGTTCTCCCTCACATTTATTTATTTTCAAACGCGTGGGGATGGAATTCGAAAAAACCTTATAGAAGAATATTTTTAGCGAAATCTGTTTCTGAAATTCTGAATATTTAAAAAGTTTCATAGAAATTATAAACTGAACAATCCATACGGTCTTGGTAATTTTGCTCAGATAATATTAAACGTGAGCAGTTGCAAGCAAATGGTATCATCAGTTATCTCACATGCGTTGTCGACGTCTACTCGTCTACATTGCTCTTGCAAACAATAACATGGCCTATGTACACAACAGTTCCTCAGTCAAAGCCCTATGAAAGTCATTGGAACAATAACACGCCGAATGAGATACTTGGGGTACAAATTTTCAGCTTCAGTAGAATGAAATATACACATTGAATTAGCTGTTGCTCCGGGACATCTCCTTATGGGAGATTCAGAGCAATTTAATTAGAAAATTGTTTCTTTAGAACATAATTAGAAATTATCGCCACTGCACACAGGAGGACTTCTAAAAATATACTGAGTAAATATTTACTTTTGGAAAACCTCAAGTGGATTCCCTTTAAGATAACCTCCTGTATAAATGCGAATTTTGTTTCTCATTTCCTCTTTAATATTCAAGGGTACGAGACGTCCGGTAGAACTATTGTGTTAAATATATTTCGCTCTCATCACCAGAAAAATCTTTAAATAATTGCTGGGATAAATATATTAGAATAAGAATATTGTTAGTCAATGAATTTCAGTTAATTAACAACATGGCATTATCTCACTTGTGCCATTTAATTTGTTGTGAATGTTTATTTTTAGAATGTGTCATTGTACCAATTATTCCATTGACCCGACGAATAATTTTCATGTGTGCTAGCTATTAATATCAATATTTCACAGATATTGTAGATACTAGATATCATTTGCTCCTGGTAGATTTAATATTTAAAAGTGTGGGAGCGCAACTTTCCTGCAATTGTAGTGCGCTAAAAAATTCATTTATTTGGATGAGAATCGAAGTAAGACAGTACAATACAAATGTCGAAATCAATAGTCATATATAGTGTTGCAATCAATAAGTGCTTTCACTTATTGTCCGGTTATAAAGCTTTCCTGTTCTATACTTCATCCTGAAATTAATGAAATTCATTTTTATTTATATGAACTCAAAATTATCTTGATTTTCAGTGTTGTAATGTCAATGTTGTAATTCATAGGCTCATTTTTATCATTTTTGTTATGCATATTTTAGTATCTAAGAAGTAAATATAAATTGATATAAGTTTCATTGACCTAACATAAAATATTAAGTAGTTGCTTGAAAATGGAAGTAAAGATTTATAATATAAAAAAATATGTAGGTATATAAAAAAACGGTACTTCCTGTACAAAATCTGTCATGTAACTAACTGCCATATCCAATTTCATTTTATTTCTTTTAACAATATGTAAATATTTTGTTACATAGAAATGAAAAATATAAGTATATTAATGAAATACTTAAATCAATAAAAAATTGATAGATTAGAATAATGCGACATATTGATATCTACGAATATTTGTGGCGAATCATAAGAGACATTACAAGAACATTCTGATAAATAAATGTTGTGGTTGTCGTTATCCACAATTTGTAATCACGTAATAACTAATGCTATATGTATATGTATTGCTACGTCAACGTAATAATGAAGGCATGGCATAGTTGTCAAATCTCATCTTTCTTGGTACATGTACAATGACATGTTTTTTCATATAGAAATTCAATAGTGAATAAGCAAATACACCGTACAGCCACTATTCACTGAAATAAATAGCTTTATAGACTTATACTACACTTAAGCATAAGTGTGACTTTAAATTTAACAAGAAAATAAAACATAATGAAACAGAAAACATTCGGTCATTCTCGTTTCGCCGAATTAACCTTGACTGTTTATTTTATGCCCGTCTGCCACTCTGTTGATATATTACTAATATAAATAATATAAAGTCAACTTGCGTATTCCAGTTTTGTAGGCAATGATCAAGTACATGCGTTGCAAAACTATTGGTCGAAACGGATTGAACGGCAAAGTCACGTACTATTATTAAAAAAAAAACTGACTCCCACTTAAAGCAGACGGGGTATATACGGAATAACAATATTACGTTTGTTTTATTGAATAGAAAATCTCCAAGAAACCATTTGTAATTAATTGCAGTTTTTATATCGTAATATTTGATGAACATAAAAACATTGATTTACTATGGTTGAATATGCATTAATTACTGATACAAATTACCGGTATAATTAATTAATTATTGTCCGATGGGTCATATAAATATTTATAAATTTCAATAACATTTTAAATTCAAATAGATACGAAAGCAATGCTTGAAATATACCTAAATTCTCTAAACTCCGTTATTTATAGAGTAAAGAATTAATAATATATCTTATTTTTTGTTTGTGAATTAACGATCGCAAATATGGAATATGTTATTTTTACATTGTTATCCAAAACTACTATTAGTAGTTATTTGATGTTAATAGTAAGATTACTTATTAGTAAATTCGTTAACATTGGAATTCATATGTAAATTTCATTCATATGTATTGCAACCGCTGTTGTAAATAAATAACAGTAGAACTAAATGTTCAATCATCGACACTTCCAAATGAGCGTGACTATACTAATCTAGTCATACGTATCATATACTTTACTTTAATTGATTGTGAAGTCATTTTTTAAATGTTTGTTTCATGTACGTTGTGTATTGCTTTTAATTATGTGTCAGTTTCGAGAGTTAATGATGTCGACGTTTCCGTGTAAACAGTTTTATGCAAAATGATATTAAAAGAAGTTTTATAGAACGTATTTGTCCTCGATAGACATTAAAACTAATTCCTCAGGTTGAATGGATGTATAATTAATGATGCAGTTTTACTTATTTTAGCTGCAATTTTTAAACAAATCTTTGTTAAAAAAATTCAAACAAGTTTACTGTCATTAAATTTTTTTTTCCACGTTTGTCATTATCATAACTTTCTCAACCATATAAATAAATTCAAGACGATGTTACATAAAAAATTAATATCGAATTCTATTAGTCCCGTACTTTATTGGATTTATGTTTTACATTTATGGAGATAAGTGAATATTAATTTATATACATATTTCAGACTTACAGGGTACTAATTACCCAACTGTTAACTTTAAAGCAAATCACACTGGACTGGACACCCTTTATTTATCCTATTTTTTTTATTTCTTTACATTATTGAACATTGTGATTACATCTGTGTTAATTATTTCATTTAAGAGTTAACTTTTCTTAATTGCTGCAGATCTTAAAAAATATCTGCGTTGGAGTCGCGGATTAAAATAGGTAACAGATGGCTTGAGAAATTCCACGAAATTACTCATTGGAATCAATATAAAATAGGTCTATATTTAATTTGTATAACAAATTTAAACTCAAGTGAATTAATTGTGTTTAACAGCTTAGCATATTATGAAGTCATCTGTGTTTATTTTAGCAATCAGAGTTAATAAACACAACTCGCTTTTTACATCGTCGAATGTGTCCTATAATTTATAATATGAGAGAAAATTGCCGTGACTAATTTATATTTAATCTCAAATTTGGCGTGCTGTAATGCCTGACTGCGTTTCACTTATTGACATTTTTCCTGTTATTTTATTTATCATGTAATATACAGGCTGTCTTACGTGACGGCCCATTAAAATATTTCAGAGACTACTTCGATTTAAATTTTGAAAATTTAGGCCTTGGGGTTTTAGGGGATACTCTCTTTAAAATAATGCCATTGTTGTAGCACTTTCGGTTATACCGAAAGTGGCTGTCATCTTCGTTAGTTTAACGGAACACCCTGTAAATTAATTGCATTATCGACAAGATAAATTAAAAATAAGTAAAAAATGTTAAAGCTTCCTTGTACCTAAATCTAACCGTTTTCGTAATAATCGACATTTTATAAAAATTTTGACAGATGTAAGCGATTCGAAAATTCCTTATATCTTTCTTCGTTGTGGAAGGTTTCACTTGCTTTTCAGCACTCACAAAGAAAATAAGATGCACTACCTTCCACTATCAAAATCACCCGAAGAAAATTATACTAAGTATCCTATTTTTTACGTTACATTTTGAAAACTTAAAATCGACAAAACACCTTGTATTATTTTGCGCCATTTATAGAAAATAAAATTCTCTATTCACCGATATAGGGGTTACAGTTTCGATTTTCTCAAATATTTGCGGTTTTCTTATATTCCCAAGAATATTACGTTAAAAATACCATCAAATGTACTTTGAAAGGTAAATATTGGTATTGTCATTCAGTATTCGATTACGTATCAAATATTTGCTAGACAAGAAAAATGCAAAATAATTTTTACAATAAAGATATTTCGAATTTATTTTATATCCGCGAGTCTTTCACCATGAATCAGATATATTAGCCGAAGTAGTCTCTGAAATATTCTAATGGGCAGTCACCGTAAGACAACCTGTATATTTAATCGTCATTGATTAAGTGGATGCCAAATATGATGTAAAAGATCTAATTTTTTGGTTGTTATGGAAACCTTGTTTTTTTTATCATTTTACTTCTAAATTTCTCCCCCAACTTTTTGTCTGTGTGTGTCCACGATTCATTTGAAAAGAAGGCATATTTTTAACGTTCATGGCTTAATATTAATGCTAAGAATGTATACCCTTGAATAGTTAAATACATATTTAACTTTTGGTCATAAATTTAACAGCGAGCGTCATATTTCAACGAATTAACAAAGTGAAAACACTATACAAAATGTTATCAGTTGAAAACTATTAACATTTTGTTGTGTGCTATATTAAGACAGCTGGTTTTCATTAATATTAAAACAACAAACTTTAAATGAATTGGTTTTAATTTACCGGTTTAAATAACATATCTAGATAACGTGTCTTTTAAATTATGTAAAAAATGGGAAAAATCAATTTTTTATCCAATTATGTCAAAACAAAAAAAAAATCGTTAAGTTAACTCCCCTCGTTTATATTGTAATTAGATAAACAATTTTTTAAATTTAGGTTATTTTACAATTTTTTGCCATCAAATAGGTTTTTGGATGTAGATTAATAATTCTTTAGAAGATAATAATAGTGTTTATTAAACTATAAAATGAAAGAAATACCAAGTTTTAAATAACATATGTGTTTATAAAGACCGCAATAGACTTAATAATAATTGTTGTTTTTGAGCTGGGTCAATGTTATTCGTATGTGATTATTATTTATTTATAGTTTAATTATTATTTAGATAATAATTTTGTTATCTATATGTCTGATTATGTCTTTATAGTTACTAGTTAATTTGGTACAAATATGCAAATGCAAAATTTATAAAAAAAATGTGCTTATTGTGAATAAGGCCTAAATTTAATTCTTAAGTAATCGGAGAAATTTTACTAATATAAATTTTGTTTCAGGTTAAAACATCCAAATATTGTTCAACTTTTAGAAACGTTCGAAGACAAATCCAAAGTTTATCTTATTATGGAGTTGTAAGTATGATCGTAAATATTTATTCACTATCCCTAAACATATTTACAGGTATAACCTATTTCATATTTCATCTGTTTGCTTTATCCTAAGCAAATGTAAAGGGGAAAATTTTAACACTGGGGTATCCCGAACCTTCGAAAATATTAAGATCGTTTCAAAATTAAATTATAAGCCGGTATAATTGCTCGATTTTGATAATAACAGTTTTAACATAAATTTTATATTTGTTATAGTTTTATTTGTTACTAGCCGACTCAACTGATAATGAGTATTTTTAGTGAACATCCGTGTACTAAATTTTAAAAATATGTAATTTCAATTGGTTTGTTTAATTCAGGGTAACCGGTGGTGAATTGTTTGATAGAATTGTGGAAAAAGGATCTTACACGGAAAAAGACGCTGCCGATCTGATACGACAAGTTTTAGAAGCTGTAGACTATATGCATGAGCAAGGAGTTGTTCATCGAGACTTAAAAGTAAGTGTAAAATTAAACGCTTAAATAATTTTAAATTTATTGACAATGAATGATCAGTTCAAATTTTACAAATTACACTGTCTTTGTCTATGCTACATCTATCTCCTATAAATTTACAAGATGGACGTGTACATTGTCTAGATATCTACTCTATATGTTCAAGGGACGATGAGAAACGGGTATATTAACTATACAGGGTGTTTTATGAAGCCATAAAGTTTCATATTTTGGAATTGCAACCATTTATGATTTTTTCATTGTATCTTTTTATGGAGTTGAAAATTTGCAATTCAGTAAAAACTTGGCTTGCTTAGAAACTTTTCTATCTCTTGCAATTTCTCACTAAAGTGTAGTAGTATTTTTATAAATTTCTTTTTTTGTCTGTCAAATTGTCCCGCAAAACTCCGTAATTACACCAAATTTTCAAGTGGATCATATAAACCAATTGTTTAAGGTGTCCAAAGAGAACGAAATCGAGCGTGTTTAAGTCTGGGGACCGTGGAGGCCAAATAAAATAAAAACTGAAATTTAACCTACCCCCTAAAGGGTGTAAGTTACTCCGATAGCAGACGATTTTGGAAATACGTTTATAAGTACTCCCCCTTATTTTTTGGCAAGGAATTGCTCCTTAAAGTTTTTCGAGAAGTGGGAAGGGATCTTAACTCGGCAATAATTTTATTTTACAACCTTGATCTATAAATATCTTTGTATTTTAATATTATTAAGGGAGAATATATATTTTTGAAATAGAAATACTTTTCGTTAACTGTTGTGATGAATGGGGTTGAATAAATTTCTAATAATATGATGAGCTAGATCTCGACTATATCTTAGTCAATTAGGAATTGTCGACTTTTATTGTAGATGTTAATTTTATTAACTTCAAGTAAAACAGTACAAGGTGGTCTAAAACACGTTAATTTTAGGGCCATTATTCCCCTAAATTGTGCTGACGTGTATTGAGCACGTTGTTTTCTTTCGATTCTTCGTAAGATTAATTTGAAATTCTTTTACGTTGATAAGCGATTAAATGGAAAAACCGTTGCCTGGTTCATCTTCTACACATTCCGCACCACGCATATTTTAGACGCTGAGGCACGAGGAACTTTGCTAATTGAATTTATGTTAAATTTTACATGATGGTGTAAATGCAAGGTGTAATCGTTTTTGAAGTTCATCGCATTTGCTGTCCATGTCAGTTTTTCATTTCAAAGATATTGAAAATCAGAATGTTCGACAGTAACGGCACAGAAAGGAATGTGCTTTAATTCATTTCATTGATTGATTCAATATTCTGTAATATATGAGAGAGAACAATGCGGTTACATTTTTACAACTACTCCGTTTACTCCTTTTATATAGACTACTTAAAAATTGAAATTTTAAAAATACTGCAAATGTGCCGGCATTTGGTCAAATTAAAAAATATATTTTCAACTTTAATTTAATTGGTATTTAATTCTTAAACAAGTGAATAACCTTGCAGAGGTTTTTCGGAAAATCATAGCATTTCATTTAATTTTCAGTTGATGGTCAATAAGAAAAGTGCAATCCAAGGCTGTGTGTAAAGTTTAAAATGTCAAGTACCTTGTACAGGTAAAATAAAGAAGAGTGTACTAATGTATATATATTTGAGTTTTTAATATTTAACTTTGCTGCATGGTTTGTTTTATTTGTTGCACTAATTTATATTTGAAGATTGTTTACGGTTATTTTGAATCTGCGGATCGATATAACATGGCTTTATTCAATTTTTTTTCCTACGCGCAATTTTAATGTTTACTGTAAATTTATTAGGTATACGTTGAGGGAGGTAGTTGGTGGTATACCTTAATCTAAAGCTAACAGTTACCCTAAATTTATTAAAATAATTGCAACAAAATGTAAAACTTTCACTGTTTTTGAGATGCGAAATAAAATTACGATTGCAACGATATTGTCACACTTTTATGAAATGTCGTGTTCAACAGTCACGGGATTACATTCATTTTAATTCATTGTGTCGCAGATAATCAACTCTTTTGTTTTATGGACGCCGTACACATGTTAAAACGACATATCGGATCTGTACATTTTTTCCTAATTTAACATATCACTGGAATCTTAATGTTTTTCCTTATTCCGAATTCTATTAATATTAAATTGCCATTATAAACAAACGAGATAAAGTGTTCGAGATACAGGATCTTCAAAATTAAAAAAAATTATTGGTTTACTTTAAATACAAAAAACAGATGAGGCATGCCGTATTAAATAATGTTTTGTTTTATTCGTGAATTAACGTGATTACTTGAATTATTATTTCAAAAACTTAAGTAACACGTAGAAATAATTAATTTGTGTAAAGCCTTTAGTGTTCTAAAATAATAGTGAGTCCAATTTGGATTGTCGCGGAAGATAGAAAAGTGCAACCGAAAATTACTAAATTCAGCCCTGTATATAAAACACTGGTGGTATAGTTGCGGATAATTAAAATTTAAATGACATTCTGTGTACGCCACTGTATATTAAAAAGTTCCTTTAGTGCATACTATGAAGCTTTGTCACCACAGTAATAAGAATTTGGAGATAAAATATGGTTTCTGGAAAATCCAGTCACTGTATCCGCGTTGTCTCTTGGTGTGATAGTTTATAACTATTATGATAGACGAAAATTGTTTAAATCGAATATTTTTTCATTTTTATTTCACATCTAACAGTATTTTAGTGGCATATATGTTATAGGTTATAGTAGAAAACATACAAAGATACAAAATTCACGGTTTCACATCTCAATACGTTTAGATTTACGTACAAAGAACAGTTATTTAAATATATTCTTTGCGCCAACGCAATAAAATGTGATGTACATACATCATCGATGTTATGTTATGTTATAATAAGTGAGACACTTTAGATAAAATCTAAATTTATTATAACAAGACTTTTAAAAGAAAGCATTGAATTAAATTCCTATTATCTGTTAGATTTGCAGCTAACTGTTTATATGTGGAGTTTATATACATTTTATTTATTTGGGTTTTTTGTTACCTACGTAGAAGTGTTTTTTTTTTTTAGTTTCTTTCATGCCAATACCCCATTATCACGTTGAATTTACTTATAAAGGTATGCAAAACATACGATGATCGTTTGAGGTACAACAACGTTTTTATATCCCGGTCACATTATACCGTAAATTATATTATTTCTTTTATCTTGACGGGGAAGAGAGTATAATGTTCCCTGGATTGTTGATCCTTTATTAACAAAGTTAATAAGCTGTTACAGCATTACAAAGCAATAAAACGGTCCAAAATGCTCGAGGTGGTTTAATATAAGTAGCTTACTGTTGTTTTTTAACAGGTTGTTCTTTTTTGATGTTTTCAAGGCATGCTTTAACCAGAAGCTCTTTGTGTACAGTACACACGTATTTACACAAATATTTCAAAATAAAAAAATAAATAATTTTCAACGACCCCTTGTTTAATTGCAGTATTTGACCTTTACTGAAAAACACAATTAATATTAAACAGTTCAATGCACCTACATAAACTGATTGATATTAAGAGGTTAATTTTCCTTTTGTAGTATTTCGGAATCATTTAAAAAATAGATTTGAAATTTCCTAGAACTGTTTCTAGACAAGGACAAGATGATAGTTGATTTTAAGATAATATAAACTTTAAACTCCGTGACTAATTTCTGAAACAATTTTATTTATTTCAGTTTTTTCCTAACGACTTAAATAATATTTACTTAAATGTATGTATTTTCGCTAGTGAAATTAACCAAGGGTGAGTTTGTGAATTAGGCAGATAGGGTGATACTTTAATGCATACCTTGTTTACTTTTCTTGTATTGCATAAAAGTGTATATTTTTTAAATTTATTTTAAAAACTAGTTACACGGAATACAGTGCCTACTTAACAAATGAAGTGAATGTGTTCATTTCTTTTTTTATAAATATATTTAAATAATAAATCACTATTCACAATTAAGACAATATAGACGTAAAAAGATGTTACTATAAAGGGAACACGATTTTAGAGTGGAAAATATAAATGCATATAGACATCATTGTCGAACTATTAGACTAGGTACTTATTGTCTATGGTGATATTTTACTATTGGAATCGATATGACTATACTCCTCGGTCGAAATTATAGAGAGTGATTCAGACATAATATAAAAACACTATTACCATAATAATCGTATAAAATATAAAATGATTTTTATACGGTTTAATATTATTTATCTTTGTGCCGCTCGCTACGCACATCGATAGAATCTATAATCGTCTATAGACTGAGTTACACTGAACGTCGATCTATATTCTATCTCTGTCTTTTGCACTTGGTAGGGAATAGGGAAATGCTTTTTTAGTAGGTGTAAACGGACTCTATTTACCAGTCCTGAGAAACGTCATAGCATAAGCGTAGACGAGGGGTCTAATTCCATGGCTATAATAAATTTATAAATTAAAAAAACACAACTGGGACGTTTTAAAATGCTGTAATAATTAAAATGGATCAAAATACCGATTATAGCAAACCGTAGAAAATATTAGATGTTATGTTTTATTATCTTTTTTCAATATTTTCTATATCTTGTTGCCCTTTACGCAAACACGCCAATGGATTTTCGTTCCCAGCACGCTTCATCCCCCTTACTAGTCCAAAAGCTAGCGATGAATCACTCTCTATAATTTCGACCGCGGAGTTTTTATAAACCTATTATTTAGAATAAATACATGTAACATTATATTGTTCAGAGTGATTTACACTATAATTTCTGTCATTGTGTAAACTTATTTTATTGGTGTTTTTAAAGAATGTGCCATAATGGGGCTCAAGAATAATATAAAGCATCTTCTGATTCATCTAATTATTATCGCGATTTCCTAATATATAATTCTTTACGGCGTCAAATTAATTTTCATTAAAAAAAGTGATTCCCGTAAAGGTGAAGGGTCAAGGTTTCTTATTCGGAATTATTGAAATTGTATACAATTTGATTACCTGAGTTAACGTCATCAAAAATAGGAGAATATCAAGTTCATGGCATAATACAACTTTTCATAAAAAATATTCACGATTTAAATAAGATGACAATAATTAAGTTTAAATATAAAAGTGCGCTGTAGCGATAAATTGCCGGATACGGATTCTGTTGAGATTAGTGTTCGAGTAATGATTTTAAAACTGTAATCTTTAGAGATTAGCCGTTAATGACCTATAAAAGGATCAGGCTGTGAAATATATCAATTTCCAATAAAAATTTCAAGCAAAAGCTTTTAGGAAAGCTTTTGATAATTCATTTTCCATACATCTTTCCGTCAGAATTAAAGTAGTCTTTAAGTTTATTTGACATTTGATAATATGAAAATCGAATGTGCTCATATATAGAGTTCATGCAGAATAGTTTGAGTGTTTAATGTATCTCTACAACTTCCATTTCCTCATATACTATTACTTATATTTTCAAGAGACAGTTTCATATATCTATAAATGTCCCGAGGTGGATAAACTTGTTATTAAACGTTAAAAGAAGGCTTTAAATACTTAATTACCTTTCAATTATTTGTTTTTTTTTATTCTGTTTATTTAAAACAGAATGAAATTTTCAAGGTGAAAATTTACTTGTTTAAGAATTTTAATTTCAAAAGGGATATCAAATAAAGCAATCTTTCATGTAATAAAAATATACTTGGATGGTTTTTGCTTAACTGTTCAAAATCCCTTACATATTTACAATTATTTTATAAAACTATTAAAAATTTGGTAGGTACATAATTTTTTGCAAATTGTTCATTTTTAGCCTGAAAACTTACTTTATTATAGTCCAGATGAAGATAGTAAAATTATGATTAGTGATTTTGGTTTGTCGAAAATGGAAGACTCTGGAATAATGGCAACTGCATGTGGAACTCCAGGATATGTAGGTAAGCAATATGTCTAAAACACATTGAAGCTTAATAAGAAATCTCTCGGTGGGATATTTTTAATTTGGGTTTGTTTTTTTGTAATTGTAGAATATAATTAATTTAATTTGTCTTGTTTTAGCACCAGAAGTTCTTGCACAGAAACCTTATGGGAAAGCAGTAGATGTATGGAGCATAGGAGTTATATCGTACATTTTGCTTTGCGGTTATCCTCCTTTTTATGATGAAAATGATGCAAATTTATTTGCGCAAATTCTGAAAGGTATATTTTATTTTGTTCTATTCTGCAGTTTTTTTTTAGGAATATTTTACAGGTGAATTTGAATTTGATTCTCCATATTGGGACGAAATAAGTGACTCGGCAAAAGATTTTATAAGAAATTTGATGTGCGTCAATGTGGAAAAACGTTACACTTGTCGACAAGCTTTAGGACATCCATGGTATGAATTTTAATATTTTGTTTAAAGATGTTGGTGCATTTTTGTTTTCTTTTTTGTTTTTCAGGATATCGGGCAATGCGGCTAGTAATAAAAATATTCATGGAACTGTATCAGAACAGCTTAAGAAGAATTTTGCTAAATCACGTTGGAAGGTAAAAAAAAATCTGAAATAATTTATTTAATTGCTGACGTTTTTTAATTTTTAATATGTACATCTGTTTTAACATTTCAGCAAGCTTATCATGCTACAACTGTAATAAGGCAAATGCAACGAATGGCTTTGAGTAGTGGCAGTGGAGGTAAAAGTCCTACTCCACAGCGTAATATGTCGACCCAATCAAGTGGAGACCCTTGTGGAAGTCTGAATGGTGCCCAGGATAAGTAAGAGCAACAAAATATTGTTAATATATATGCATTTTTTGCTACGCATTTTTAATTAAAATTAAATTCATGTTCTTAAAACTAATAATGGGATGCAATTTTTATATTTACAGTCTAGACTTTATTTACACAAACAAGTGTCATTTGCATATATAAAGTAATTATAATTTTCAAAATACTGTATAACAGGATAGAATTTGAAATATAAATTTTACATACCGTTAGAAATAATATTGTTGCTTTGACAGTATGCAATTTAAGGGCATGACTTTAAAGCTGTGTCGGTCAAAAAGACCTAAGCTCACTTGAAAGAAGACTTCCAAACAAAATAATCATGTGATGTTCATTTCATGCAAAACGTACAGTATGTATAATAAAAACTGATATAGCAAGTGTAATACCATATCTGTTTTAAGTTACTTTACTTGATTAAAAAAACTTTTCACGGTTGATATTTTTAAATATTACTTTGTTAATTTGGAATTTGTTTGTTTGAAGAGCTCTCTTCTAGTTATTTTATTATATTTAATTTTAGGTTAAAACAAAGCACAAAATTTTAAATTTCTAACTGCTGTTCTAATAACATAAGATCTTCAATCACAAAGTGAATGTTAAGCGAATCTCAATACTAATGCTAATAGAAAGCTGAGAAATCTATAAAAGTATAATATCTAACGCTCTCTGACTCAGCTATGACATTTTTTTTTGTTAATGTTGATTGAAAGGAACTAGATTATATTTTATTTATCCATTATCTCTAAGCAATATTAAATGTTAAAATGTAGTAGTATTAACAAATACTAAGTGACACATCTATACATAATGCTTGCTTTTAAAAAATATAAGATATATTCCTGTAAAAATTTAGTTGGACCCTTGTATATCATGTTCAAAATTATCACAAAGGAAATTTTTCTATATGTAACTGCCCATCATAAATAACATGGTTCCAATACTCTAAGAACACGATTTAACACATTAACAGCCAGAGGTGCTTAGTAATGTATTGGTATAAAGTTGTAGTGAATTAAAGGTTATAAATGCTGCCTTGTCTTACAATACGTATTTATAAAAGTTTTACTTTTTCTTCACGTATTTTAATTTTTGGTATATTAATATATGGTTTATTTGCCAAATACATTTTTTTACAACTAGAAAATAATACAAGGGTTGTTAATGTGTTAAACAATATTTTATTTTATTACTGCAAGGAATTATTTAAGATATTTTTCCTGCTATTAACGGAGGAATGTTGCATAAAACTGAGAATATCCACATAGATTTCTTCAAACGTATTTTTCTGTGATACTATAGATCTGAAAAGAATATGATATTTTATGAATCTTTGTTTAATGCAATCATTTGAATCATGCTTTTAATATGTCTTTGAAAGTGGTAGGTAACTGGAAATTTTTTAAATGATCTTTGTAAATACTCATCAGTTTTTAGAAAATTTTAAAAAATACTGCTGCCTTTTTAAAATATTTGTAAATATTCATATGTATATTTTGGGGAGCTATTAAAAGTGTGGTTTGTTCAACTTGTTCCTAAAAGCATATGTGGGAATTCTTAGAAAGCTTATGTTATTTAACCAAGTATTCTTTGAGATTATTAAAATAGTAGGGCCTATCGTTGATTAAGCCTAAAAATGGCAATTTTTGAGCTAATATCCGTCCTTGTGGAATAAGTTTTACTGAATGATTTTTTAGTGAGATTTGGCCTTATAGAAATTGAACATGATATATATAGATAGGTGGTTATTTCCAAACTCACACAATGTGATATATAACATAATTCATATCTATTTTTTATTTATAACCTTGCTTGTAAAAATCTGTTCAGTGTATTTTAAGGAAATTGTTGTTTTTGCACTGCATATGTATGCCTGTGTAGCATTAATATATTAATTTAAATGTTTGAAATGGCATTAAGCAACAGTAATGACTTATTTGTTGACTTGAAGTAAACTTATAAGATTTCTGTTAGCCTACTTTAACAAGCAAGCTACTTAGGCAGGTGTAAGCACATCCTACGTAATTTTTTTCTTGAATAATAAATACTGTGATTTTAACAGTAAGACATTATTTTATATTGTAAACTGCTTTACTACCTACTTAATTTTATATGCTTACAGAATCTAATATTGATCTGAAAATTTATTATAGAGCACTTTAATTTTCCTTAAGAATCTCGTATCTTATTTTTAGTCATAACTTTTTTTATCAAGATAAGAATGGCAATGGTATTTCAGTAATTTTGATTTTTCCACAAATTTCAGTTACCTACATATGAACCATTCAAATTTAAATGTATTGATTAAATAATTGATTTTGTTTTTATACATCAAAGAAATAAATATGTAAATAAATAAACGGGAACTAAATTCCAATTCTTAACATTTGGTCCATCAATTAAAAATGAAATGGAGTGAATATAACAAACAGCAATAATATATGTTGAACAAATTTTGTTTTGATGACATCAATCATGAAAAAAACTTTATTTTTCTGTAAACTGAAATCTTAATAAATTTAATTGCACTTAAAAAGTGTATTTATCACAGAAATTTTAAAGTAATGATACCTATATAATTAACATATATTTAATGTCATACATGACCATACTTTTGATTTTCACAAACTTTTTAACCCTTCAGTCATTAACAACTATTATATTATAATTTCTACATATATATTTTTAAATAAACATATAATAAAGAGTGCAACTTTCTATATATTTTTTAATCATGAATATTCATCATTCATTTTCAATTATTGGATATTTTGTTGGGCATTAAGCTTCGTTAAAAATGTACAGGGTCTTCACGCAAAAATTGCCTCTGCCTCTCTTTTTCTCCGTTATTTTTAGAGATTCAAATAAAGTTAGTTGTAGATATTTTAAAAATTTTTTAATTTAATGCAATTTTCGAGTGACCACCCTGTACAATTTTGGCATTTTTTTGTTAATCATGGATTAAAACAAAATGTAACTGATTTTGAAACTGAAGGGGCCGAAAATTATTGCATTTTAAACATTCCAACAGCTTAGTTTTATGTTTTAATAGCACATTTATTTTATAATAAACTGTAAGTATATAAAAAAACTATACATCGATTTACAAGTTATGATTTAAAGAGAAGTTTTATTAGAAATTATCTTTCCACAATATTTGTAACTATATTTTAAATAAATGTATATATAGCTAATTTAAGCAAATTGTGTAAGATCACTGGAAAAAAGCAGTGTAGTTTTTTTCAATACATAGTTTTTTGTAATTTTGTAATTGGTTTAAATAAATTTAGACATCTTCATTACTACTTAGCAAAGCTTATTTTTGTAGAAGTAAGATGTTTGTGTTAATGTGCATTGTTCAAAAATTTAAAATTTTAATTATTGTTAATAGTTTTATTTGTTCATCGTAATATATTTTGTAATATTTTATTGTTAAATACATGATGGGTTTAAACATAAAATATTGGGTTTTATTTAATTTTCAGAAACTAAACGGGGTTTAAGACTTTTGTGGTTCTCTTTCTAGGAAAAATAACTTCAAAAACATAACATCAATGTATAAAGAGTATATTTAAAGAAAATATTGACAAAAAAGATTATATATACATTTCTAATTAAGGAGTTATATAAATTATAAATATGTGTAATATGTAGTTATAAAAGGTTACAAAATGCTGAAGACTTCATTATATATTAACTAGCTTGTATAAAAACTCTAATACATTAATCAACATAAATAAGAAATATATCTAATTTTGACTTCCAAATTAATTGATTAATCCAACATCTCGGGAATAAAACTTTTAACATTGTCGTACATGTTCTGGCGCATGATAATGTTGCTGTGGATTCAATGATGGATGAATCGGAGGTGGAAAACATCTCACATGTTCAACAGACAACTCGTCATTTTCTCCTGATTTAAGAAACTTATTTAGAATAGCAAAAATTTGTGAATTCAATACCTGGAAACGCCTTATGCGATCTACCATTCTTTTCAAATTCTAAAAAATAAGGAAAACATTTTTAATAAAAAAAATTATATAATATATATTGATATTCAGAATTATTAGTAAGTGGCATAAATAAACTTACAATTCTTTTCACAACATCGTCTTTCATATCTACTCGCTGCACCCTTAAGATATGATAGCAGAAGTCAAGAGCCTCAAAACGTCTTTGTTGGCCCAGCAAAACTATCATCGTACATCCAGCCCAATGGAGCCCTTCACCAAACATTTCCCTTGAAATAAAAATGATAATGATGATAGTGAACAGTTTCTTAGTACAGTTTTAACTTACTCTACTGTATACTCATTTTCGCTGACAGGAATGCAATAAACAAATTGTAAAGCTGACCACAATCGATGAAACTCGGTGCATTCATCAACATTCATAACTCCATTAGTAGGCGGTGGTCCAACCCAAACAGGGTCATCCAAAAAGCTTCTTAGCCTGTTTAAGACTACTTCAAATATAGATAGTCCACAACATAACCTTTCTCTAGTCAAGAGGTCCCCTTCACGCGATATCATGGCTTGTTTAGCAGTTCCCAGTTTTTCGATGTTAGGAACTATTTGTAAAGCTTGATATTTGGCTTCTAGTCTTTTCTGCTTATTCTCCAATTTTTCACCCTCTGAAAAATTTGACTTACGAATTTTAAAACACAAAGAAAATTAAATTACCTTTGCAGTATGGCCTCGGAAGAATATTTTGAAATGGTGCTGCTTGTAAAAGGTCACAAACCTCTTCCTGGGAGAGGGCTTGCTCCATAAGCAAGCAAAATAAAATAATATTTCCAAACTCCCTGAAGTTGTGGAACAACTCTGTACGAGCGTCGGGATATTGTACAATGTCATTGAGTTGTGCATGGTAGTATCCCAAAACACCAGGAGACCCATAGTCGTATCTTGGCAATTTACATATTTTTGGCATGGCCTCCATTAGAGTTTTTGTAAATTGCAATAAACTTCCCTGAATCAAACTTTTGACAATTTTTAATAACTCCTCCATAACTACAGCGATCCCCTGATAACCCAGTAACTTGCACATGGTATGAAAATGTTGAGGGCCAACAAAGCCTGTGGGATGTTTAAGCAAAATTTAAAACTACATAGTGATATTAAAATGAAGATATAAACATTTTCTTTTTACCTTACCTGAATATTGTCCATATTGTGTTGTGTAAGCTAAATTTAATTGCTTTGTACCCCATAAATAATGGTGCGACATTTGCGGGGGCCGATCTCTAGAAACAGCTGCACTAAAGGCTATTCCCCTATATTTTGTAAACCTACAAACAATTACAGGTTAACATACTGAAGAAACTATCCCAGTTAACATTTCATACCGATTTGTGGCTGCATTGTAAACGTAATTAGGTAAGAAGTCATAATTCAGCTCCCAGAAAACATGTAAAGTGATTCTTCCATATGGAGCAAGAACATTATGATTTGCTTCCCTAAACATGGAGTCAAAATCATCCAAAGCAAGCCATTTACTTAGTAATTTATGACAAAGACGATTTACCTAAAAACAGTTTTTTATATACACATATCTGTGAAGAATTTGTATTTTTACTTGTAACAATCCATCTAATTCAACAACACCAGTGATATCACCAGCTTCGAACTTGCTTATCGCTAAATCTAATGACTTTTGCATATCAGCATTAATTCTTTGGGTTATAAGCTTATTTAGATCAATTGATCTTCCTAATAATTGCACATGCCTCTGTTTTAGCAAAGTTTCATAACGGTTTGCTCTAGGGTATGGTAATAAGTAAGCACCAATAGCTGAGCACTCGACACGGAAACGTTTGTCCAGAAATATACTAAAAGGGTAATTGAATATATTAAATTTTTTACCATGACAAGACCACCACAGAAAATTTCTTATAAGAGTATTACCTTGCCGCTAACTGTTTGTAATAAGCAAATATTTGTTCACTAAGTTTATAAACAAACTGATCAAAACAGAGATTGACCTCAGCTTCCACCTCATCATAGAGAAATTGCTTTCTAAAAATTGTCAGTGCATATAATGCACTATCATTGTATAAATCCAGTGGATACAAAACATACCTAGAACAAATAATATATATTAAATAACAAATGTTTTAAAACTTAATTTACTTACTCCATCATAGACGGTTCTTTGGTTTTTAAAATATGATCTGTTAGAATCCAGGGCATTGACATGTCGATAGGAAATTGTATGCGTTTTTCCATTGTTATTAGATCATTGCATTCTTCATTGTGATTGTGGCGTACTGTGCATTTCTAAAATATTTGACAAAACTATTATTAATAATTTAAAATAAGCAAGATATTTACGTTTATCCGTCGACCCATCGTCATTTCAAGATAAAACTCTCTGTACCATAGTTGAGACAAATCGCAACATTTTTGAAGGAACTCTAAAATATGTGAATTATAATGCAATATTATTTATTTACTAAGCAAACATACCACTGAAACTTAATAGATAATTCCAATAAAATGATGTTTTGTGGAACTGATCGATTTGCATTAAATATTGACCATCGATGTCTTTACGTAAAGTTCTTTTACCTCCAGATTTATCAGCTATTAAAGACTCTAGCATAGTTCGAACCATATATAACTGTGTAGATGAAGGACCTAATAACACATAAATCTTTTGTCTGGAATATATAATTAAAAATCTTAACTTACCAACATTGCGTCTTGGAACTTTTATGACAAATCCAGTATCGGGGTCTTTTTTACCCTTCAGAACAGGATCTTGATCAGGTTGAAACTGTCGAGGCCAGTCAGCACATGTTTCCCTCACGGACATAATAATACTGAAAAAGAAATCAACCTGTAATATGTTTTTTTTTTTCGGAAAAATAAAGTACCTGCGAATAAGGTCTTTTTTATTTTTTATTGCTTTTCGAAGAGGTTCTCGTAAAATAACTTGTACAAATTCTTGTAACTCTGCATATATATTCCGTCTTATTGCATCTGTGAAAACAGTTTCCATTCTTGCCATTAAAACCTGCAAGCCTTTTATCATTGCTATTACTTCTATTAAAGCAAATTTCTCTTCGTCACTGTAGTTGTAACGTGTAGCCTAAAAAAAAATATGTGAAAATGAAAATTATTGCAAGAATTAAATTACCATACCCTTTCATATTCTTCAGCCTCTTTAGGACATTCTTTATTCTGATGGTGATCGGTTGGGTGCAGTAATTTCCATGAATACAATTCAGTCACCACACTTGTCCATTCCGAAAGTAACTGTAAACCTCTTAATGCTAATTCAGCAGTTTCTTTGTTTTCTGTATCGCTACCACATTCTTTATAGGTGGTAGTGACTTCGTTACTGTATCGAGACAATTCACTAATATATTTCACGTGATCTTCTCGAATTTGAGGTAAGTGAACCATTAAATCAGCTTGAGGTGAAGGAGTGTTACTGCTAGATAAAGGCCATTTGTTTGCGTCAAAATGTTTGCTTCGTTTTATATAGTTAAAAGGTGCTATCTGCATATCGCCGAATAGGGGAACTACTTCCAAATTCTAAAATAAATTTATACATAGAATAATATTACAATGTCTATTAATAGAGTTACTTTGAAGATCCTATCAATTTTATCCAACCTGAGCTTCTTTTTAGTGTCCAATTTATTAATATTACATAGTTCACTATCCATTAAAAATAACCCAAAACCCATCACCTTGACCAGCATATGTTTCTCACTAGGAGTCAGGTACATTTTTGTTTCAAACATGTGAACACATATATTAACTACATCGGCTAAAAGTTCTTCATAGCCTGTAATTTTTTCTAAATTCTCTTTTACGGTGTCCCTAATTTTATTTTGTGTTGCCAAGAACATGGATAGATTTTGCGATTCTTGCAAAGTTTGTGAATCTGACATCACTTTCAAAAATTGGGCAGCTCTGGAAGGTAAATTTAAAAAATATTTACACAGCATTCGACATTTATAATTTACCTGCGGTAAGTTGAATAATCATTTTTGACGCTGGACTTCATATTCTTTAATTCATCTAGCACTGCAAACATGTTGATAAATTTTCCTAATGTCAACAGATATGCCTCAGAAACGAAATCCTTTCTTTTCTCAGTATGACATAATCTCTTGACTTCTTGTGAGAATCTTTCAATTGCCTTTCTCTAAAAATACTTTGACTGTTGTGAAGTCCTAAACTAAATATTTTTATACTTACTTGGAAATACATAAAATTGAGTAACTTATTAACTTCAGGAGCCAAAACTTCTACAGTTTTTTCATAGATTTCCACTCTATTAGGTTGTTCGTTTGATTTTGGTTGTGGAATAGCTCTAGAACAGCATCTCCAAGTATAAAGCATTACAGCATGTTCCTGTCCTTCATCCAATAACTCGTTCTAAAAGAAAAAATATGTTAGACTTCTGTTAACGATTTACACTATTTTGTTTACCAAACTGGCATGAACAGTTGCTTCTTCAATGTACTTTGCAATCCCAGTGACAAAACCATTGCGGTCTTCAAAATTTGTATCAAAATTTGCTTGGTAAACAACAGAACATGGTTGTGCCTCTATACAAGGTTGCTCATCTGGTAGAGGCAATTCATCCAACACTTCGACGTTAGATAATGCATCGTTTAAAGATACTCTATCGTTTCCAGACATCTTCTGTTTTGGTAAATAATTAACCAAAGCAAAACAATTTAAAGGTCTACAAATTTTAAATAATCAACTATTTCTCAATATTTTGTGAATACTTACATTTTGAAGTCATTATTTGAATATTTTAAGGCTCAATAAGTTAACCGTGTTAACACCACCAATAAATAATTGTCAAATTATAATATTTAAAACAGGAAAGGTGCGGTACAACCCTAATCATCAAGTAAACACATCAAAGTAGCGAAAGGGAAGGGGAAGGTATAATGACAGTTAAATGTCAAGATTGTACCAACACTAGAAAATGAAATTTTAAAAATATGGCATACGTGGCCATAGACGACGACTCGGAAATGTCTAGGAAAGTCAATAATGCTAATATTCTTTACATATTTAATTTGGATGTTGATTATCACGCGGTTAAAATGGATTCATTAGCCTGGATCAACATCCAATTATTGTTCAGTTAAAGCGACTTAACTTTCCGTCAAGATTAAAACGGATTGGGATTGGATGTTGATGGTCACGTGGTTACAACAGATCCGTGACGCAATTATGTGCATGTGGATCCAGGGCAGAGCCAGGCAACCAGGCATACAGGTTTATGTATAGTTTTTAGTTTTATACAATGTCAATGTGCATACATAACATGTGGAATGTCAATAATGTCATAGAAAACTTATATTATATATTTTCTGTGGTGGAATGTGAATTTTGGTTAACAAATAATTCTTTTAATTGATTACATTGTTTTTACGGGAAATTTATTAAAATATGTTTCTTAAACAATGTTGATTTTACAATAGAGGTGTTCTGAAAACCACATAAAATGTATAGTGTTGTAACTCGGGCTGATTCTAAATAATTACCCTGGAATAGGGCACTTCTAACAGTTCTAACATGGTTCTAACTGATTCGGTTGGCTTCCGGATTGTGTCTTTACTAAAACTTACTGAAATAACGGAAGAAGGAAGGTGTGAAATTTCATTCTCTAAAGGAACAGAAAGCTGAAGCAATCAGCAAAACATCAGAACATTACATTGAAATACAAAAGCCATAGGAGGCGATATAAACATGCAGTTAGATGATGTGAAAACCACAAATCCTAATAAAAATTAAAGACAAGTATCAGTACACAGGTGGGTACCAATATAAATATTATTTGATTAATTATCAAACTTCAACTATCTTATTATAGGACAATTAGGTGGTTAAGAAGATCAAAATGCTGATACTCAAAATATTTTCCCAATTCTCCAGGGAACATTGCTTGAAAACTTGAGAATTATAATATAAGTGCAAACAACAAACAACCATGTAAAGAGAAATAAGAATGGATACGCTATTGGAGGGTTGAGGTATTATATTTTAGCACATTAAATTATATTTATTTCTACTTACTAATTTATATCTATTGTAGAAGTACGACCATGTGGGAAACCACATTGTATATTTAGTACTAAAAGAATGTCATGATTCGTAAAGGTCTGTTTACATAAAAAGCAAATTTATAGTCTAACATCAAAATATAAACCAGTCTAATTAAAGAAAAAAGAATGAAACTTTTAATTTATTTATATTTCCATAGGTTGCTAACCCCGTTTAAGAGGAACGGAAATGATATTAATTTTATAATGGGCAATAAATATTTTTTCTTGAAATTTTATACAAATTACATTTACAGAGTACAGAACGTAACTCAGATCATATGTGTTTTAATAGACTCTTTTTAGCTCCATATTTAAAAAAAAAAACAAATTAGATCGATCCATAAATAGATTTTTTTACAATTTGAAATCGATTAAACTGTATACTGGGTGTTAATAAAGCAAGTCGACAAACTTTAAGGGGTGATTTTTTAGTGATATTCAACTAAATATGGGTTCACAAATTTGATAGTTTTTGAGATAGTTTGTTGAAATTTTAAAAAATGGTAAGTATATCTAATTAAAATCCACTAAATTTGGTTATAAATATGTGTGCTAGTAGGGGAAATAGTGGGAGTCACTTTCACTAAAAGCCCCAGAAATTCGACTCTTCTTTTAACTCCTTATGATGTTTCCAAGAAAATAGATATCTTTCATTTTATTCAAAAAAAGCGAATGCTTTTAGATTTATTCATTTTCCTAACATTTATTAATGCAACCAAGCTCGGTTTAGTGAAGTATTATATCGAAAGATTGCCTATTTCATTCGTAAAATGTGATCTTGCTATTACTAATGTAATAAAAAAAAGTTAGTGGTAAAAAACTTGGTTCAGATAAAAAAGTCAATAATCTGTAATCATTGGATATACAGGTTTTAGGTTTTACCAGATGACAAATATAATATCTAATTAAACAGTATTCTATATTACCATTTTATAAAAAAAAAACAGTTTATTCTATATATTAAATAAATTAATTCAAAGTGCTTAACTTAAAATATTTCTGCAGTGTCTGAAACATGTGTATTTATTAAAATATTTTATATTTCAGATAACTATTATATTACCATCTGTTAATCCTTGGAATTTTGCTAACCATCCACGTCCTCCGTTGTGTACTGATGATCCGTATACAATCTCAATCTTAGAATTAGATCGTAAGATAGCTGGTCGATCCTGAAATCATTTAATATATCAAGTATTACATGAAAAACTGCCGGTGTATCTAACATACATCTTTACAGAATTTATGGCTTGTTGTTCCATCAGATGAAAACGTATTTACAGTGACATAATTTTGTTCACAGCTTCCCTGAAGTTCAAAACCTGGAAAATAATTTTATAAGGTAAGCCTTTCAAGCTGTCGGTGTAACATGTAGTTTCTATAAATTAAGTAGCATAAGTATTACTAAATTTCAACTTTATTATCATAAAAATTGTGTGTACTGTGGGGCTATTCAGTTAACAAATTTTGATGTACGTTTTTGGTTATCTCTATTTTTTTATTTCTTGCATTTTAATTAAGCAGTCATTTAGTTTATAATATATATAATACTCTTCATTTGCCTGTGCTAACAGAAATTTATAAAAATATCCACTTACTGGTAAACTTCAGAACTGCATTCAAACCAACTGGTACTCTGAGTGTCCATGTACAAACTGTACTATTCCTGAATTCATTTGGATATAGGGGGCTTGACACCCATCCTCCATAATTATATAATTCTCCCCCACATCCCCTACCCGCATCTGTTGATGTATACCCTACGTCATACGAAAGCATATAGGGAGAAACGTCTTCATTAAAGATGTGAACATATAATTTATTTGTGTAAGAAAATACAGGATCTGGAATTCTGACACCACAGGATCGCATCAATGTTGTTCCATTAGGTCCATTATCTCTCACCTGAAATTTGTATTTGGCTGGTATTCTACATTCTGTTTCGTTAATTAATTATAAAGTTGAATGAATTTAATTTAATAAAGTACCTGAAATCGTTATTATTATTAGCTATTACCTCAAAAGCTGCCTTTTTGCAGTTGAAGCTGTGAGATATCACCATCTTTTGAAAATATAGCGAAATGGTACGATTTTCCGGTACTGTAATTGTAATAAAACATTCTGATTTGTCATTAGAACTAAAAATACGTCCTTGCAAACTTGTATAATTCCTGTTACAACCTAAAAAATAAAGTATGAAAGAAAACAGACATATAACATATATCAAAAATTTACCAGCTGTTCTGTACTCTATCTTAAAACCTTTGCTTGTTTTTGATGTTATGAGACTTCTAAATGTTATAGTGAGAGACCTTCCTATTGAATAGTAATCAAATGGAGATTCTTCAGCACCGCAAAATGTATGTTTTCCTTGTACATTATTGTAAGTCTACGAAAAAATTTGAACTTAACAAATGTTTTAAATGAGTTAATAGTATCGGACAGAAATATAATTAGGGCAGTCATTACATATCTAAAACTAATTATTACTTTCAAGTAGTTATATTTTTACTGCTTTTTTTTAATTTAATTCCTAAATGTACTGTATATGTAAATGTATCATTTACATGAGAATATTTACTGAGAAGTTAGTATATGTAGTAAATTGTCATATATTATTGTTGATAACTACCAGGAAAATAGTTCTTCTGGGTGAATTGTATACTGCTTGAGGTCCAAATCCTTCAGTTATTATCTGTCTGTTAGGATCCTCCGATATCTCCAGTCTGTCATCATCACATCTGTTATCAGTTATAAAATAATCACCGCTGCCAGTCAAATTGAAATCACTAAAGTGTAACTCTATTTTGTCTAGTGCGTTCTGAACAGATATAAGCCAGGTGCATTTAGTACCAGAAGGGTAATTATTTGGATAATAGGGAGAGGACAAAGTTTTTATTTCCTTAGTTGCGTTTAATATTGAAGGACCACATTTTGCTAAAAACAAAATTAACTTAAAAATGTTCTCATTTTAAAGTGAACTATTTTTCATATTAATCAATTTCATTTATTTATTATTTATGTTACTGTACTTTACTCACATATTACAGGTGTTAAAGTTGCTTTGAATGCATTGTTTTGACGACCAGCAAGTACAAATCGTATGTACCCATAGTTCGAAGATGTGCTGAATTTCCTGTATTCCACGTTTTGATTTAAATGACTGCACAATTTTTCTATTAATTCTGATAAAGGACCTCCACCATCACGTACCTACAATGAAAATTTAGCAAAACAAATGTAGTTTTATTTATTGTTTGTTTACCTCGATGTACGAACAGGTACAAAAAACTGGGAAGGTTACATTACTGTTACATGCACTTGGTATGTTAAGTTCCGTAAATTGAATTTTTATTTGGTAGTCTCTAGGTGCTATAATTATCCATCTACAATCCAAATTTTCCAAATCAGGTGCCTGTATGTACTTGGTATCAGTAAGGTTTATAGTTCCTCCACACCCTTCAGCAGATCCTAAAATACAAAACAACCTTTTTTCGTTGATATTTCAAATGGACTAGAATTACATATTTACGAACCATGAGAAAAGTAGACTTCTGCTTTAAATCCTCCATAACGGAAAGGGCTTGACATCAATTTTACTAACATTTTTCCAGAATCAGCATGTATTAATTGTTCACTGTCACTTATATTTCCACATAATGATGCTAATCTATTTGGTCGTTGATCATTTAAACCATTGTATATTTCTAAGCCTTGACCTAAACATATTGATGGCAATGCTAAATATAACACCCTGTAAATAATTAATGATTATTCGTATTTGTTTTATTCAGTTTTGAATTAACTAACCTTAAAATAGCAACTTGTTTAGGTGGTGCAGTAATTTTCCAGATACATTTAATTCTGGGATGGTAGTATCGAAAACTGCTTCTTCCATAATCAATTGAAGGGGCTTCGATAACTGTTGTTTCATTAATGTCTCCCCCACAGCCTAAAAATGAAATGATTCTGTTGAAGTTGCATCTATGATTTTGCAGACAATATTATTTACTTTCGTCGCTGTATGTGAATTTGAACCCTTTTCGGTTAACCCATTTATCCGTTTTGAATGTAATTATGACATTTTCTCTCACCCTCAAAGGTGGCGGTTTTGCTGTACCACAATAAGTTGCTATTAATGCTGCATATGTTGAATAGTATTTTCCTGAAATTGTTACGTTGTCGTATATACAACTCGTTGCACCTGGAAATGAATTAGTTATTAGTTGCGTCATAAAAAAATTATTGTGATATTACCATTCTCTAACTCAAAATCGTCAAAAACAATATCAAGTACTTCTGCCTTTGTAGTAATGTTGTACACACAGTTTAAGTTTGAAGTATAGATTAATGGATACCCTGGGCTCACTATGGATCGTGGTGTTTTTGTTGCTTCGAATGTACCTCCACAAAACCATTCCCACCTTGCCTAAAAACACATGTAATACTTTGATGATTATAAATAATACTTCAAAGGTCGGCTTGTAATTTAATTATTCAGGGAATTACAGATATTTCAAACTGAATGTTGAACTGACCTTAAATCCACTTGCAGTTGTTTTCTCGTTACTTCTAAACAATATTTTTAATTTTTCTCCTGTAGATTTTATATCAGTAGGAATGTTCCGACCGCATCTTTTGGCAATTGATATCCATTTTTCATCTCGCCAGTCCCATACCTAAAAAAATATAGATTATTCAATGTTTATTTTGCAGTTAAAATTCACGATTTCTGATTTGTAATATCTTGTTTAATTTTACCTCTAAATAATCATTTGCACAATTGTCGCTGTCTTCAATTTGAAATCTGCCAATAAATTGTAATCCAATGGAATACCCAGGATTAGCCCTAATTTCCCATAAACATTCTGCATTATTCGGATAATCTTTGCCGTAATTTGGTGTTTGAATAAATCTGTTTCTATCGTGATAAATTCCACCACATCCTGAAAAAAAGAAAAAAATAATAATTTTCTTCAATACAAATGTGTCAGTTTCATATTTATGTAATCAAATTTATAAGGTACTTTTGTATAAAAAATAAACCTTCAGATTTAGCCTCATATTTCAGTTTGAATCCTATGCCTGAAGAATCTGCTTCATATTTGTATTCCATCCACAAGCTGTTACTCTGAGAAATTATAACATTTGGTTTATCAGTTTTACAGTATTTTCCAATCATTGGGTGTGAAGGACCCTCTCCATTGTACACTGTAATGAAGTTTTTGTCACAATCATTCCCCAAAGACATATTAAGCATAGTCAGGCTTATAGTCTGGTCATTATAAACTTTAATCAACCAAGCACATTCTAGTGACTTGGACGATTTACTTGGGTAGTTTGGACTGGATAAAAATCCTTGCTGTTCCTCTATTATTCCACCACAATCATATGTGTTATAGTCCACTGTGAAATTCATTTGACTTTTTGCAATAGCCTTAAACAAAGAGAATTTAGAGAAAGTAACAAAAAATTACTTTAATGATCCTTACAGTTACTTTTGTTACTGGAAACGGTGATCGAACTATGAAGTCTTTGACGGTAGGTTTACAGAGGCTGGCTAAAATATGTCTTTCATCTTGGTTCATCACTGTGATAGACCATGGTGAATATGTACAATTAAAATTCAAAAGCCTTCTGGTTGAATTGACAATCAAATTTATTTTTAAAGACAATGTTTTGTTAATGAAGTCGTTGATTTTGTGTGTCCAGTGGCACCAATATGAACTATTTCTGATGGCTGGTTGTGTCAGAACACCTGAGTCACTGTTGAAGTCGCTAGAACAAACTGCAAACATTGCCAAATAAAACACGACAGTAAATGAAGATGTTTTTAATTTGTACTTACTGGTTGGTTTATTTGCAGAAAATGTTGCTTTGAAACCACGATGTAGTGAAGGGCGGTCGGACCAAAATATTATCATCATCTTATTTGAACTTGTTTCGAAAGTTTTCTTGGATGCGCCAGGTCTGAGATAAGCTAAAGGAATTTTAAAAGGAATCGATCCATCAAGTACTGCTACTGACTGGTCATACAAAATTGTTTCATCCAAATCAAAATCGACAAAATCAACTGTAATACGACGACCTTCTGGTACTTCGATGGTCCACTGACAGTATCTGTTTAAGTGGTTCATTACAGGGTAGCCTGGCGATGTTATCGTACCAGATTCTGCCTTCATAACACCACCACATTCTGAAAATTAAAAGAAAAATGTATTTTGGAATTTATTTTTGTCATTTCCTAGGTCAAATATTATGTTATCATATTCTAACATCTAAAAATTCTGCCATCAGTATACACTTATATATAAGTACATGTTAATTTTATTACCTCTCTCTATTTTATTTTGTGTTTACATATTTATTTTATTATCAAGCAAGTGCAATGTTTTATGTATTTTCATTTTTATATTTTAATTTAAATGTTGAACATAAAGAATTTGAATTACCGGATTGACTAGCGTTAAATCTCAATTGAAATTTGTCTTTATTTGTCCCTATGTAGTTGATTATTGCTTCATTGCTTGACGTAAGGAGTAGTTGAGGTACAGTTGTTCCAGTATATTCACCAAGTTTTGTAACTAAAATTGTAACTTTATTATAAAATTCTTATGAAATGTTTATTATCTGACATTGAAAATGCACCATCTAAGAATATTTACAAAATATTTATTATAATGTTTTTATAGGAACTTTTAGAACTAAAAAATCTGTATCTTAGTAGCTGCATTTTCTGTGAGAAAGTATAGTACCATTATTAAATAAACTATTTTTTTCAAAAATAGTGATTTTGTTTTTATTTGGAAATGCAAATGTCCCATGCATCTTGAGTTCCACAAATTGTATATTCAAATAATGATCTGTAGGCCCAGAAATATGCCAAGTGCAGTTTCTCTTTTCCTCTCCGTGTTGTTGAGACGGATTCCTAATTTCACCTTCCAAACCTCGAAGTGTACCCCCACAATATGCTAATGATATTTTAGCTTTAAAACCATTTCGAGGATCTTCAGTATTTGTAAAGAATTTCACAAACATCATGTTGCCAGTTGAAAATTGTGTATGGGGAACTTCCTTACAATACCTTCCTATGAGCGGTGAGAGTTCGGTACCTCCATCCCTCACTTCGACGTACTCGACTTCACATCTGAAAAAAAATATTTTTTATATACTGTCTAAATTGTCTAGGGTAGACAGTCAGAAAGAAAAGAATCTTTATATAAATTTTTTTCCAAAAATAAATAAGGGATTTGTATTTTTCATTTGAAAAGGGGTGGTAGATGTCATATTTTTCGAAAAATGTATAATACAACCACCCTACTTATTTTACTACCATTAATAAAATATCGTAAATAATTGGAAACAATGATACAAGTGCCTTGTATTAAAATATGATTTTTCTTACTGTGCTCGATTAGTCAAATCAAATCGATCCTCAAAATCTATCCTAAGTGATTTATCCGGAGGTGCTCGTACCATCCAGGAACATTCAGTATGAGGAAGTGGAATATTTGGAAAATTTGGTGAATTTATTTCGGTGGAGTTATCTAGAGAAGACAACAATATTTCACCTCCACACGTCATAGATATTTCCTGATATTTTAATTTGAAGCCCTAAAATTTATAAGAGATATAAATAATGTCATTAATTGAAGTATTGAGAATTAGACGTAAATAGTTTACAAGAAACAACCTTGATTTTTAGAGAACCGTAATATTTTATATACAAGTAGTTTCCAGTAGTATTCAGAGGTTCTGGAATGTCTGTGCCACAATATTTTCCATTTCCTAATATAGAGGAATCTTGATACTTTCCATTTCTTAACTGAAAAAATAATAAGCGTTTGTTGAAAGTGAAACTAACTTTTACAAATAAATTACCATTATGTAATTGTCACAGCCTTTTGTAGGATCATGTGCAATGTTCATTTCTTCAAAAGTGACTTTAATAGTTTTCCCAGAACGGACAGTTACATTCCATTCACACTGAAATTTATCGAAACCAAATTAAATTCAAACAGCATTAGCATTAAATAAAAAAAACTTACACCAGATCTAGATATTGCAGTTCTATTAAAATATATAAAACCAGTAGGTCCAGTCATAGATCCTCCACAAACTAAAGAAAAAGTAAGAAACAGTTATTATTTCTAAACTAAGTAGAATATAATATTTACTTTGTTCTACATTAAGTTTAAAACCAGTTCCATTGAGATATCTATTTGTGACAAACTGAACTTTGAGCAAATTAGTAAATTGGTAGTTTTTTTGTTGTTCTTCTGTATTACAAATTTTTTTAACTAGTTCCCAGTCATTATCTTTGGAACGCTTCTGATATAAACTAACATAATCATCATTGCAAAAATACACCCTTCCGTAGAAATTCTTAAGGTTCATATCTATGATATACACCATCAAATGATTCATTGAAATTGTTGAAAATATCCATTCGCAGTTTAGATTATTTTTGTAGCCATTAGGATAACCAGGTGATGTAAGATCATAACTTCCAACTGTATTAATATCTATTACTTCCGATGATCCACAATCTTTATTTGTAGTGCCTGTGCAGAAATTAAAAAAGATATTAACACAATATGTATTAACACGTCATGTAAATGTACTGATATAGATTAGTATTTCTAACTTGTTTCTGTCATTAACAGGCATAACAATTTTCTAAAACCTTTTGAAATGTAAAACGAAATAACCTGAAGATATATTTGTTCGTTCATTGCTTATTTCAAGCCATTCTACCAGAAATTTAGACCCCATTCGAACATAACTGTACTCCATAGTGATGTACAATATATTTGTGCTTGACTTTATGGGATCTGGAAGTTCTATACCGCAAATGGACTTCAGTTCTGGTGCAGTTTCGTCAACACCATCATAAACCTACAAAAAAAAGCTTAATGGCTTCAAAAACAACTCTTGTGTTCATACCATAAAATTTGCAGAAAAGCATTCATCACTATAAGATTCCACATAAAAATCTTTAAAGCTAAGCAAAATACGTTTTCTGGGTGCAACTGTTATTTTCCAGGCGAATGTCCCATAATCATAGTAGCTTTGTGGATACATTGGCGAAGCTATAGTACCACGAGGTCCGCTGAGCTCATTGTAGTCATCTGGTGTAAATTAAATGTAAACATAAGAACAAATTATTTTCTTCAAAAAAAAAAAATACTTAGTTTATATTCTCCATAGAACCCTTTAGCCAAGACGATGGCACCACTGTCTAATTTGCTGCTTTTGTACAGCAACCATAATGTTCCTACATGAGTAATATTCAGTGGTTTATTCTTTCCACAATAAATACCAAGCAGGGCCCCGGATACATTATTTGACCTGATTTCTAGGAAATCCGTGTTGCATTTTTCTGACTCCAGAATGTCGAATTCAGTGAATGTTAACATGATGTTGTTACCTACAAAAAATATAATTAAGTATTTCTAAAGTGAATTGTGTGATTTAAAAAACAAAATAGTGAGTCATGCATACAAAGATACAAGTACTTACCAGGAGCTACATTTATTATCCATTCACATTCCATATCAGACGGATATTTATTGGGATATCCAGGAGTGGCAAAGAATCCTTCAGCCGCATTAAATTCCCCTCCGCAATCTAAAATCAAATATCAAAGTAAAAAGAAAAAATTTGGAAAGAATTTTGTGGAATGTTGAGGAAGAAGATTACTGAATTATCTGAAAACAGTTTTGCAATACTTACGAGAGTCGAAAACAGAATAGGTAGCAAAGAAGTCCATGGACTGTTGTAATTCTATAGTAATAGCTGACCCATCACTAACTAGGGGTGGAGGTACTTTCTTACCGCAATAACTTTTAAGAAGAGGAGATTCTGTTGTTTCCCCTCCGTATATTTTAACGGGATTCTCTCCATTGCAATCATACATGTGCATTTGCATTTTGGTTATTATTAAGGTTATACGACGTGCTGCAAAAGGCAATTATATTCATATTCTGTGGAGTAAATAATAAAACATTCTACAGAAACCAAGTAAGAAAACGAACGATGTACATTTATTGTAAACTTACAGGGATCTGATGATACAATAGTCCATAAACAATAAGATTGCACAGATAATTCATCGTGAGTTACTTGGATGTTGCCACTTCCTTGAGTAGTTAACCTCGACCCGCAATTCTAGATAAGCAAAACTCAGAAATAACACGTATTTATTCAATAAATGAATATGAAAATATCTTTTTACCTTCTTGTATTTGGCTAGAAATCCTTTTGTTGTGTAATGTAACGTAGATGTCCTAAATTCTATGTACATCTCATTGAAAGTGGATTTAATAGTGTCATTTGGTGCGAAACTACAAACTTTCTTTAAAACCGGGTAAGCCTCAGTTGGACCATCGTACACCTAAAAAAAGTTTTGATTGATACTTGTTAAATTGTAAGAGATTTTTATACTTTTATATAGTTTTTGTCACAGTTTGTTGGCAAGTCAGCGTCTTCAAAGGATAATTCAATTGTATGATTTTCATCAATTTCGATAAGCCAAAAGCAAGTATCATTTTTGTCAAAGTTGTTGGGATAATTTGGAGAAAATATAGCTCCCTCCGGTGCAGTAAATCTTCCTCCACATTCTAAAAAAATGTATATGTTTTAATAACTTTTCCCCAAATATGTATCTGCATTTACTTGTAGGAACCGATGAATAATTTGCCATGAACCCTTTTCCTTCGTAGCTGTAGTCAGAGTGGAACTCTATAAACATTTGATTTCCTGTACTGGATATGACTATAGGCTTTTTTTGATAACAAAACTTTGTAATTACATTAGAAGATGTATTTGGTCCGTTATAAATCTGAAAGGGACGTACTGTATTAATTTTTGGAGAAAAATCCAGTGCTTCCTTAAAGTTTACCTTAATCCAGTCATATTCACATGAATCCTTTTCAATATCTACATCCCTGAACTCTATTTGGATACTATATCCAAAATCTATTTCAATATGCCATTCACATTTAGTTGATGGGGAATATGGTTTGGGATAGTTAGGAGTTTGGATAGTACCAGAATTGCTAGTTAAATATCCACCACAACCTATGTACATATATATATACACATACATTTATATATTTAGTTTATTCATTAAACTTACCAAACAGTTGCCATTCTAATCTAAATCCTGATCCTGTTACCCATTTATCACTAACAAAGTGAATTTGAGCATGATCGGAATTTAAAGTGATTTGTCCTGGATTGTCAGTTCCGCAGTACTTGCCTTGTCTAATATAATCAGGTTCTTCATCATAATCTTCTTTTACTTCCAAGTATTTTATCTAGAAATGTGAAATTTTAACTTTCACTTTTTTTTACCTTCACTTTCACTTTTTTATTTACCTCCAGGTAATCCGAAATGCATGTTTTGTTGAGTGTATAAGAAGTCTCTAACTCAAAGTGAGAAAATGTTATATTTATTTTATTTCTGTCGGAAACGACAATGTCCCACCAACAATTGAGATCTTGAGCATACTCGTTGGGAAAGTTTGGACTTTCTATTACTCCTCTAAATCCACTAAGAGTGTTGTTGCAGACTGAAATAAAGTCGGTCAACTGGGATTTTAAATTTTCTCCTATTTGATATACTTACTTGTCGAGTAGTGTAACTGGAACCCTCGACCTTGAAAAGCAACATCGGCCCTGAATTTAACAAGCATTTGGTGATTAGTGGACACTATTGGTTTATCTTCTTTATAACAGAATTTTCCTAAAGATTTGGAGTTTATAGTCAGACCGTCAAACAACTAAAAAAAAAGCAAATAAAAATTTTTTGGAACACTATTCTTGTTTGCCATTTACTTGGACATAATCTGGAACATAGTCTAGATTACACTGAACATTCTGTTCTAAATCCATATCAGAAAATATAACTTGAATTCGAGATCCAGCCCCTACTATTATTGTCCAAGTACAATCTGTATTTCTGCTGTATGGTTCTGGATAGTTTGGTGATATAATAGAACCAGTAGGTGAAGTCAGGTGACCTCCACAACCTAAAATTACTTTTTTAGTATACATATGTTTCAAAAATACTTTCTACCTGTTGCCGTAGAGGACCAGATGATCTTGAAACCACGTCCTCCTCTGTTTGGATCCGAAGTAAAATGTAGGTATAGCTTGTTGGTATGGGATGGTATTTGTTTAGGAATTTTGGTGCCACAGTACTTGCCCAATAGTGGTGAATTCGATGTTCCTCCATTTCTGCAGCACATATTTGCTGATTAGCCCAGTAAAAGAAATTTGTAATACATGTAAATCAAAAGGTAATTCGTTCCAGATTGAAACTTGGTTTAATCGGTAGTTTAGGCAAAAAGAAATAATATTTCCCTAAAAGTATCGGTTTAAAACAACAAGATCATTGTTTAAACAATGATTGTAATGTAAAAAATGGAGTTTTTTTAGCTGTATTAAAAAGCGCTCTCCAACAGGAGTTTTTGCTTTTGTTTATACTTATTTTCTGCAGTAAAAGTTTTTGGATGTAATATGCATAATAGTATTATTTTTTAACACTCACTCGTTTAGAGATGATTTATACTCTTTTCTTCTATTTATAGCAAATTCCAATTTCGCTGGTTTTTTGCAATTATTTAAACAAATTGTTAATGGATTTTAATTTAGCAGGTCTCAAACGAAGCGTTTTTTGAAAACCTATAAGTATAAACAAAAGCAAAAACTCCTGTTGGAGAGCGCTTTTTAATACAGCTAAAAAACTCAATTTTTGGTAATTTTTACATTATAATCATTGTTTAAATAATGATCTTGCTGTTTTAAACCGATACTTTTTAGGAAGTATTATTTCTTTTTGCCTAAACTAACGATTAAACCAAGTTTCAATCTGAAACCAATTTTTTTACAAATTTTTTTTCATTTACTGGGCTAGATGGTTTAATTTAGAAAATTATAGGCTTACCTTATTTCTAACCAATCATATCTGCAACTAATATAATATTCTAAGTCGAAATCGGTTACATTTAGTAGAATTTGTTGTCCAGAAGGTACGGTAATTGTCCATTTGCAGTCTTTACTGGCGGGATATTCATCTGGATAGTTTGGAGTTTTAATGACACCAGCAGATGTGTAGTAATTCCCCCCACAAACTAAAAGAAATTAAATCTAGAACCTAAATGAAACCCAATGTGTTAGACTCACTATTAGAATCAGACATAAATGTGTATGTAGCCAAGAAACCATCCATATGAATAGTGACATCAGTGACAAAAACTATTGTCATGATATTACCAGAGCTCATTAAAATAGGCGGTAGATTGGACCCACAATATTTGCCTATTAGTCCTCCCATTCCTAACTCTGTGTTATTGTCGAAGATTTGAACATTGTCATAAGAACATTCGTAGCTTTGTTCTAAGCTGAAAGTTATCCATGTTAGTTGAATCACAGACTTTGGGGGAGCAATGATCACCCAAGTGCATTTTAATGAGGGTGGGTAGTACCCTTCAGGTCGTACTGGAGAGGCGATGTTGCCTAATTTATTTCTTAATATTCCCCCGCATCCTAAAAAAATATGGGACATTTTTTAGTCGTTTAAATTTACTACTTCATGAAAAAAAATTACCTAAATTTGTAGATGTGTAGGTTGCCTCAAAAGATACTAAAAAATTATATCTTTGGAAATATCGAATCCATAAATGATTACTTGTAGAAGTAATAGTGATTGTCTGTGATGCACAGAATTTTTTTATTAGTGCTGCATCTTCATTGTCACCATCTCGTATCTAACAAAAATTGATGAATGACTAGGATTTGAATTCTTTAGTTAAGCAATGAAAATTTACAAATAAAACTGACTTATTTATAAATTGAATGTTTCTGGTTTCTGATGTTTATTTCTCTGTTACTGAATTTAAAAATATTAAAATGTTATATGTACTTACTTCAATATAATTGTTGCAATATACTGTACTGTAAGGTCGGTTTCTCAAAAATACTTTTATTGATAGTTCGATGATATATCCCAGTGGCTGCTCTATCTGATAAATACAGTCAATTTTGGACATTGATCGCAGAGGGGATTCAAATGAACCGGTAGTGTTGAAAAATTTCATACCACAGACTAAAACAAAAAACAATATTAATATTAATTTTGGTAAATTTAAATAAAGAATATTATACATCATTGCTTACTTTTTTCATATTTTATTTTCCATTTACTGGTATCTCTGGAAATTGAAGAGATGATGGTTATTTGAGCATTAGAAACGTAAGAAGCTGGCAAAATATTGCCACAGTACCGTCCTATCAACGGCGAATCTGTGTTTGGACCTTCTCGAATCTAAATAATTTATCAAGTACAGTAGGTTATTGATATAAATTGCACGATTAACTTTTTACCTCAATATATTCATCGGTACAACTAGAAGTTTGGTGAAGATCTAAATTTAAAAATGTGATTTTTGTTCTTGTCTTGTATGCTTGCTGAATTTTGTATTCACATATGTTATGTGTTGAACTGTCTGGTTTTGCAGAATTTATAGTACCCTCTGCTGCCGTGTAAATGCCTCCACAACCCGGTGTTCCTGAAACCATTTTTGCAATATTAAAGTTTTATTTGGATTCTGTGAATGTTATTCTAATAGAGGCAGATCGAGAAATTGTATTCATTTACTTTATCAACTTTGAAATTTACATACCTTCTACAACAGAGTACGTCATCTGGAAACCGGGATGAGAGCTGTCTTTACCCGAATGAAAATGCACCTCTACACCATCACTTACTGAGTAAAATGGAATTGGATTCGAACTGTTACAAAATTTAGCAAAAGCTCCGCCATTCCTTATATTGAATAAATTATTAAACTAGAAAAATAACAATCGTAATATTGAATATTAATGCAATTTTTTACTTACTTCTATGAAATCGTGGTCACAGTCTGCATTGTTGCCAATATCTAATGAAAAAAAATGAAATTGTAATCTTTTACCAAAAGGCACTATAATCCTCCAGTAACAATCCCTATAAAAAAAATTAAATTTTATAGCAAGTTGTGCTTATTTTGAGTTTAAAAGCATTTACCGGTTTGGTGGATAATTTGCAGGAGAACCAGGAGATTCAATTGTTCCATGAGAGGTTGCATTAACTGTTTCTCCACAAACTGGAAATTATACATAGTAATTATCACATAAATGTCTTCATTATTGAACAGTTATTATATTATGTTAAATCTAATAATATTACCTGGATCTGTAGCATTCCACACAAGTTTAAACCCAGTCTTGGCATTTCCTGCATTAGATCTGAACCAGAAGTAAATGATGTTATGTGTCGTTAAAATTTTACCGCCTAGTGGCAGATTAGTTCCGCAAAATCTTCCCAAAGGATGTGATGCTGAAGTTGGGCCATCATGTATCTAAGACAAAGGATATGTGAGCGTAATGAAATAATTTGTCAGTAATTCCCGTCATAAGATTGAAGCTATTTATATAGAGCTGTAAATAAATTAATACCTGGAGCCAGTCAGATCGACAACCTGTAGACTCTTCGATGTCAAATTTACTAAACGTTATATTGAGAATTTTAGTAGAATTTGTTTCTATGGTCCAAGAACAACTTAAACGATGACCATATGTTTCATAATCACCAGAAGGATAACTTAATATACCAGATGTTCCATATAATTTTCCACCGCAGCCTAAAAGAGTATGTTATGAAAAATATATATTTACAATTTTCATGAGCAATTAGAATTATTAATAAAGCTCTTTATTACTGTACTGTATATAATTTTAAATTATGTGTATACCTGGAGCTTCTGTTTCACACAGTGTTCCCCTGAATCCACTTTTACAGATACACTGAAAAGTTATCCCCATTACATTCCGGCAAGTACCCCCATTTAGGCAAGGGTTTGTAGTGCACGGATCTTTCTTTATCATATTACAGTTGCGGCCTGTAAAGTTTCTTCTGCAGGTGCAAATATATTCTCCTGTAACGTTATTCACAGAACAGTCACCATTCACGCAGGGGTTTGAGGCACAAGGGTTGAATGGACTTGAAGAAAGCATGCAACCAGTTGGTCCTATTCCATTGCCAACATATCCGGTTGGACAGATACATTCCACATATGTTGAACTAATTCCTGAAAATTATTCATGTTTACTACAGTTGGCAATAACATGGATTTTTTGTAGCAAAAGTTTTGAAAAATAATTTATTGCTAAAGCAAACCTAAAGAAAGCCAAAATATTAAAATCAGTATTGACGATTTATCTTATAGATTTTATTTTGCAGGGCATTGAAAATAGAATGTACTATACTTACTAGAGTTGTCTCTGCATTGAGCCAAATGATGACATCCACCATTATTAACATTGCATAAGCCTCTAAATGTGCAAGAAATTCCATCGCCTTCATAACCTGGTGGGCAATTACTGCACATTCTAGATCCCTATAAAATAAGTTTTAAACAGAAGAGAAAACACCTCATTAATATAGATATTTTATAAATAAAATTATATTAATGCTTTGTAATAAAGTACTATTACTACCTGTGTATTTATACAAGTAACCATGGGGTTAATGCTACAACCTCCATTATTTGTTTCACACTCGTTTATATCAGAACAATAGTAACCATTACCGGTGTATCCTATAATTCTGGTTTTAAAAAATATGTACTATGCAAGAATATACATTTTACCTATAGGACAACCACCGCAGTAGAAAGACCCAGGCACATTTATACATGGAACTTTTGGATTTGTTGAGCAGGATGGATGATTTAAATTACATTCATTTACGTCTACAAGACATGCTTGATTTGTTCCATCTGTTGTCCAGCCCTAAAAAGTAATTTTTTTGTGTTAAATTGCCACATGGAAATTGAATAAGTGTGATACAGAGTAATGCAGTTCCAGGTCTTACCTGATCACAAATACATTTGTACCCTAGCTGATTGTTTTGTTGGACGCAAGTACCATGGCCGCATAATTCTTGACCCCCTGTACTGCAATCGGCCTTTCTCCTGGTACAGTGTATTCCAACATAGCCCGGCTGACATAAACACCTGAAGAATATAAATTCCGATCAAGGTGTCTGTGTAGGGGTATTCCACGCCAAATCGACCACCTTTAACCTCGACTCCTTTTGATTTGGCTGAAACTTTTTTATTGTTTTCTACCCCATTGAAAACCTCTCTGAGAATTTTTTGAATTTTTTTCACACAACTGAAAAAAAGATGAATTTTTGAAAAAAATAGTTTTTTTTCAAAATTTGTTTTTAAATGTACTTTTTGAAAAAAAATAGATCAAAATTATTTGGACCTATCTTCAGTTTTTTTTCAATTTTCGAAAAAAACGAAAATCTCGGATTACCATTTTTGAATTTTTTTTATTTTTTCTTATAAAAAACTGACATTTTTTATAAATCCTCAAATTTTTTCAGTGGTTTTTTCGTTTTTTATTTTTTTTTTCAAATTTAGCTTATTTCACATCACGCCATTTTGAAAATTTTTGAAAATGTGTATAAATACCTAAAATTGAAAAAATTTATTCTAGGCAGCGATCGATGACAATTTCAAAGTCAAAAGAGGATGCATGGTTTCAAAATTATTTATTTGAGTTCAAATACGTTGCGTCTTTTTTTAAAGCCCACTGTTCGTCCAAAAATGGCCCAAATAACAACTTTATTTTCATTTTCTTTGTTTTTGGATGTAGTTTTCAAAAAAAATAAAAAAAAATTATTCAAACCGATCTATTTTCTTAACTTTTTCAAAAAAAATCAAAATTTTTTTCACGTTTAGGTACCACTCAATTATTTCTTTCATATATTTTTTTTTTCAATTTTGGTTCTATATACATTTTCAAAAATTTTCAAAATGTGAAAAACAATTTGAAAAAAATTTTTTTTCAGTCAATAAAAAAAAGTAGAAAACGAAAAAACGCCACTGAAAAAATTTTAGGATTTATAAAAAATGTGTTTTTTATAAGAAAAAAACCAAAATTTTTCAAAAATGGTAATCATCGAGAAATGTTCGTTTCTTTTCAAATATTAAAAAAAAACAGTGAAGATGGGTCCAGATAATTTTGATCTATTTTTTTTCAAAAAGTACATTTAAATACAAAAATTAAAAAAAAAACGTCCCGATAACTCAATTTTTGAAAAGATAGATATTTAAAAAAAAAGCTATTTTTTTTTCAAAAATTCATTTTTTTGGAATTGGGTGAAAAAAATTTGAAAAAATTCTCAGAGGTTTTCAATGGGGTAGAAAACAATAAAAAAGTTTCAGTCAAATCGAAAGAGGTCAGGGTTAAAAGTGGTCGATTTGGCGTGGAATGCCCCGTATACAGTATGAGTATTATTTTTAAACTTCAGTAATACGGTATGTGTCCATAAAAATATAAAAATGGTACATTTCTTACTCGTAAGTTCCAGGTTTATTAATACAGGTCGCTCCATTTTGACAACCCAAATCCGTCCCTACAAACCTAGCACATTCATTTACATCTTCTAAACAATCTATGCCCTGTAAATGCACAAAATGTTTGGTTTCCATTTTGAGATAGTTCTTAAAATGTTTACCTGCCACCCATCAGGGCAATGACAAATGTAATTCTTGTACATGTCTTGACATATTCCCCCATTTTTGCAGGGGTTGCCAATACAGTCATCTTGAAGCAGTGCAGCTTCGAGATCGCTAACTCTTTTCATTAACATACTGAATGATCTTCTCAATCTTCTAATTGGAAAAGTGCTCGAAACAGAACTATTGTCCCCCCGAATTGGTATATCAGTTATCCGCAGTTCAAGAGAATCTATTCTGTCTACATATGATGTAAAGGTTTTCTGGTAGTTTTCAACAAGTTTTGTAGCATTGTGAGCCTAATAAATGAAACGGAAATTTTTTTGAGAAAATTGGGGAATTATTGGGAAAAATTTTAAGAGTTGAAGATGATTTATTTTTAAATATTTGAGATCAATATGGGATAGGATATATTTCTTTCAGTTTAATTTTAAGTTTACCGTAAAGAACGCTGCTATTCAGTATACTCACCGAGGAATATTTTCTATTTGGATTACCTACTCACCCTATTGAGTGTTGTAACTAAGTCAATGTTATTTATAGATACTCCTGCTGAAGAGCTGGTACTGAATGTAATGTTTTTGTCATACGCCGCGATAAACATTAGGTGTCCATTTTGTACTAATAAACTAGGGCTGGAAGAAAAATGTATCTCAGAATAATTTAATTGGAATAGAAAGTTTAACGAAGCCTAAAATATCGCATGAATATGAATCTCAAATTTTTTTGTAATTCCCAAGTCTCATTGCTGATTGTTGGTTTCATGCAACTGAAGTCAATCAAATTTTACTATTATTATTATTAAATAATAGAATAAATTTTAAAGTGGAAAATTAATTTAAGTAATAAAATTCTCTAAACTTGACAAAATAATAATCATGTAATAAAATATATTGTTTAAGAGTATCTATAACATTTTATAACAGAGTAGGAAATATGGAAATTGTGTGTACTTACATTTCGTTGTATAATTTTTTGGAATTAGATTCACAAAGTAAAAAAATATATATGAGTAAAATTAATATATTCATATTTAATTAATATGCATTGTCTTACGAATATAACAAGGCAAATGGTGTTCAAATATTTTATTAGAACTTATATAAAATTATATTAAAAAGGGGCGGTATAGTATCCAATTACCTTAGAGGGTGGAGGAGTTAGCTATCAGTATACAATACAGATGAGTAATTTTTGTTTTTCTTACATTTTAAAAAGAGGATAAATAATTTTTATGAAAAATAATTTCATTTTTTAAATGTGTATTACAGAAATTTGTTTCAAAGGTACTTAAAAATATAGTGAATCAAGTAATTAAAGAAGTAAATCTAAATAAAATGCTTTTACATTTGTGTATATACTTTATTTAAAACTAAAGAGATCTATTTAAAATTGTACAGTCACAAATCCAAAACAAAACTTTTGAACAATGCTTACATAAAACTACAAATAATACTGATTAGCACTACATAAATCTTCAATCACAGTTCTGTTAACTATGTACAAAAAACATGAAAAGGGAAATTTTTCATTTCATCTGCTTAGATTAATGTGTTAGTGTGAAGGTGTACAGCAGTTATTTAGAGATTTATATTTGTACTACTAATTTAGACAGCACCAGATGCTGTGTACAATTTTTTACAGATCGTGATTTAAAAATAAATTTAGAATGTTAGATAAATAAATAAGGTGTTAATGTGAAAATTAGTGTTTTAATAAAACTATATTAAGAGGTTAGAGGCTTAAAATAAATAAACACTGAATTATCAGTAATATTAACAGTAAATTTGTCATTTTGTTAAAAAAATATATTTTTTTCAACTTTGAGTTCATACATATAACAAATATTTGAGTTTAAAATCTCTCATGTTCAATTCGTGTGTAATATGTTCGCGAAAACATTACGAGAAATAATTTAGATATTTTGTAAAACTAGTAAAAATGTTGGTTAGCTTTATCAGAAAGCTATTTGTCATTAGGATAAAGACGATAATTTAACATAAAATACATGTTCTTAAAATTGTAAAAACGGTATTATACTACAATTTACAAATTTTAAAATCTGTACATTTGTACGATGACCAGTTATTTATTATGGCATGTGATAAAGATAAGAAATTTGTGTACTACAAGAATGATTCCTTATCAAAGAATCAATACAAGAATTTTAAGGATTTAAAACTATTTTTTGAACATTTAGACAAAATAAAAACTATCTTGTTACTAATCTCACTAATGTAGGACTAGTTACCAACAATAAATAAAAATATACTTCTACTACAAAAATTAAGTATCAACGTTGACACATTTATGGTGTTAGTGTTAGAGGAAATACTTGTGTGATCTCACCGATGCCTTTTGCTGCACCTTCTCTAAACAGTAGTCTTTGACCAACAGTTACATACTCTGGATGTAATTTGAATTTAAATAGTACTGAGTCTTGTTCATTTGTATGTATACATTTTGATGAACAAATACCTATAACGACAGCTGTTTGACGAATATTACCGATGTGAACTGTAGTTTGGAATCCTGGATATATAGCTGTAGCATGGAACAGCACCGACACACTTGCTTGGAAAAACAGACAGCCCTTCGCATTTTCTTCATGACTAAGGAGCACCATACCGTTTCTGAGACCCGGGACATATGTGTCCAAACAGACTGCGGCACTTTGACCTGCACGAACCATTCGACAAGGGACTCGATTGCGATGGATGGATTTAACTATTACATTCTGGAAAGAACCATTTTTCATTGGTCCAATTTGCATCTTACTTCCTTCGGTTATAACTCCTTTTGTCAATAAGCCTCCAAGAATTTGACCCAAATCGCCTGCCTTGAAATTCTCGTCTATATGAAATTCTGGAGATTCCTAAAAAAAAAGATAAAATTCCAACCATCTCTATGCAAATTAATATAATCCAACAATTAATCTGTTACCTGCTCCAATCTTTCCTTTTCCTTTGAGCTTATGCCAGGCGGCAGGACGTGTAAAAACCTTAACAGTAGGTCCAAGCCTTCACCGCTAACACTGGACACGCAAAATATCGGAACAACATTTTCAGTAAGTTGATTTGCTCCAGCCGTTATAACATCATCCAGATTTCTAATTACCAACGGTACCCTCCTGCTTCCCACTTGTTTTAAGAAAGATTCCAGACTTTGCAAAGTACTTGTTGGTTGTACTAAATCAATTTTTGTGATGACGATAAAGAAGGGGACGTTAAGTGCTACTGCTATGGCAAGATGTTCGTGTGCCATACCAACTGCCCCTGCTGTACTTGAAATCTAGAATTGCAATAATATAGGTGTATGTAAACAATAAGTACTGTATTTCTTACCACTAACATGGCATGGTGCGGGGAGTAACCAGAAAGACCTTGAATCGTGGTCCTTATATATTTTTTGTGCCCCGCAAGATCCAAGAAAGTTACCAGTTTTGTCGATGTATCACAAATTTCCTCTGCCGTAATAAGTTCGCTGTAGCTATAGTTGATTGGCTGACCCTAAAAATTGCATTTTAATTTCACCAATTATCAGTTGAAAGTATCTCATACCTAACAAGATTTATATATAGTAATTATTATTTAAAAATGAAAGTACCTGTGAATTAAATCCAAGGATTTCATGAGAAATAGAAGACGTCCGACCACTTTGAATTTCATGTAGATGTCTGAACATATTTAACCTTGCACGACCCCTACCATTATCCAAACTGCCTTGTGTTAATACTCCAAGCAATGTTGACTTGCCAGCATCAGCATTACCTAAAACGGCTACCCTAATTTCAATATTATTCTGATCATCGGGAACTTTTCGTACAAGGACTTCAGCGATACTGCGTCCGTTTTCAAGTATTCTTTCCCTTAGAATAGTTGTGGTTGCGCCTAGTTTATTTGCCATTTGTTGAAGAGTGTGTAAGCTGGCTGTCATATCTCGTTTCGATAGTCCAGCTAAGATACCACTATCTTCCACGCCAATTTCATATATTGCCTCGCCATTGCCTTCTCGAAGTCGCCACTTTAACTGAAAATATAGAAAATATGAAAATAGTAGCAAAAATATTATTCTACTTAATTAAACAAAAGCTGACGTCAGATGGACAGAATGGAATGAGTTTCGATTTTACTTTTGGAATATTTTATTAGATTGATCCGTCAGAGAAACCACAAAAGTACTTCAGTGTACAACCTGAGTAATTGATGTGTAATACTTTAGTAATGTTTGGGTATTGAAAAAATTATTTACGTCACATGTACATGTGACATGAGTGCATGCGTCATGTTACCTCTTCCTCAGTCTCCCTTTTATTTGAGCAATTAATTATGAAAGTGAGCATTTTAGTATACAACATTTGATTTTAAAGTAAATTATTCATGACGAAAATATTCACGAGTACTTCTATAATCTTAGATAAAATTTTCATCTACCTACATACTTTTACATTATTAAAAAAAAATTAATTATAAACACTTATTAGATCTAAATGAAATCAAAATATTTAAAAAATTTAGTTCCTTTGTTAATTTACATGATTTTCTCATTATTATTAATGTATAGCAAAATCCATATAAAGTGATGCAATGCGCGCAATAATTATGTTACTTTATTATTATTACACCATTTCTAAATATCGATAAATTTACGTTGGGAATCCCCTACTGCATTTTATATAGATTATACTGCACACAAAGAAAATTTAAAAAACTGCTTAATACAGTGCATTATTTTTCTACTGAAATTGTTTATTCACCTGTGTTACCAAATGTTCGAATCGTTGTTTTGTTGGATTTACAATTTTCAATTTATACTCGACATTTCCAAGTTGAGGTTCTGGCGGTAGAGAATTTTGATTATTCATGTTATCAATAGCAAATTCTTCATTGCTGCAATCATTGCAGCTGCTTGGATCAAAAAGGCTGAAGAATGAGTCCATTGTAAATCGTTTTTTCTGAAAAAAAATTCTATACGTTAAAATAAGTGCAATTGTTATAAATGTAAGTTACATCATAATACTATTAAATGTAAACATATTGCACTATATTATGAAACTAAGTGAAAGTGATTTAACAACTCTTTTAATCAGATACATAGTTTCATTTAAAGAAATGCAAAATTGAGAAGTCATATACCACATTAAATTAAAATTGAACATATAAATAAAACGAATAAAATCCAAAATAGTAAACTATTTTATTTATATTTACTATTTTTGTTTACATAAAGAACTCTTACCTCTGTTTATAAATTACTGGCCAATGAACTTAAATAAACTTGCAAATGTGCATTTTTGAGATATTATATAAACATACTTTTCTTCACCAGACTTCCCTAGATCTAAAAAAGTACAATCATATTTGATACCACTTCAGAAAATGCCACAATCCCTTATTCCATATTTATAAATACTTCAACCACAGATTATTTTCAACCAACTTACCAAACCAACCATAGAAAATTTAACTAAGAAGCCAAACTACTTTCATGATACGAGCGTTCGTTCGGAAACGTCAAACTGTTGACGGTTGACACATGCGTTCCAAATATCTGTCCGTTTACAATTTAAAAAATAACTTGTGACTTTTATTAATATTTGAAATAACTCCAATTTTGATGTTAGGATATCGTATCGCATTTATTGTCATGTAGCACTGCCAGATTATGCTAATAACACTTATAATGATTTATTTATTCTAATATTTTATAGTTGGTATTGGTAATTGGTATATCTATATATTTATGGTATATATGTTCTGTGGTATTCTAGATCTTTAGTTCATAATTTTCTAACAAATATCGAATTTTGGAAAAAACTATTGTGAATATATGAACTCGTAGCTGAATATCTAATTTTTAAAATGCATACAGACTTATCACCTCATTTACATAGCGCAAAATGTAACGAGTTGATTCGATTGTACCAACAATGCCAGAAGGAGGTAGGTAAATTCGAAGTTTAATTTACATTTAGTGTAAAAAAGATCTTGTAGCATTCATTTGCGCGATTTTTTGGAATATGTAACTCCGAGGATCACCAAATGACAAAATGTTTAAAAGAAGAAAGGCTACTTCGAAGGCAGAAAAACTATGAGAAATCATTAGAAACCAAGGCAAAACTTAGACAACTGTATAAAGAAGAAAGAGAAAGGAAGAAAGCTGAATCAAATAGTAATTAATTTATGTATAATTAGGTACATTGAAATTACTGTATATAAAATAAAGTTTCGTGAAACAACTGATTGAAAATGAATTCTAACTGGTGACCTTTTCTAAGAGAAAGTTAGATATTTATTTAAAAACTGGTTCCAGTTTCATGACATTCAAAAGTACTAGGATTAACTAATCTGCCTCTGTGATGAGTATATCGTATGTCGGCATCAGCTGACCTTCACAATATACAAAAATCACAAACGCTTATAGTGAACGTCCAAGGTTATATTTTACTTTTCACTTACAATTACAAACATGTATCATTGTACTTTTAAAATTTTATTACTTCAGTATATGACATTTAGTTAAACATATAAATTTTAATTAATACTAACACAAAGACTGCTTTACGATATGCGAGGTTTTTGTATAATTTCCAATTTTCTTCCATGAAAGTTTAAATTATATCAAATTACAGAGAAAACACAACTACTTGAATAAAAGTTGTATATTCCAAAAGAATGAAAATCGCAGTATACAAAAACTCGCTACTGATATTTCATTATATACTTCCCCGTTTTAGACAAATAAGTTATCATTAACTTAACAAATTTTAAATTTATAATGATGAAAATAAGACTTTACATAAAGTAAACAAATGATAGTATATTAATGTTTTAAAATATTATCTAAAACAGGAATATTTGTATATATTTTTCTCTATTTTAACAACTGGAATGAAAATATAATTGTGATTATTTTACATTTAGATAATGAAATGATGTTTTACGTTTCATGAGACCTTTTATAATTAAAATCGTCAAGAAAGAAACCATACTGTAACAAGAAGTGACTAAAAATTCGTAAAGTGCTTGTACTGTAACATTCAACACTATCACAGTTGAAATTAAAATCGATGCCAATAACCTTTTTTAAATTTGGTGTTTATTTAAACTAGTCACTAAAGTTAATACATTATGGTTTTATAATAAACAATGAGCCAATTAACTCAATAGTATACAAAAAAAAATTATGAGTGAATATAAATTTACAAAATGAATAATATATGTGTAAACCCTACAAGACATTATAGTTTATAAATAGGTATTGTTTTTAAATTATTTTGTAAAAGCAGCAAAAACAGCCCATAAAACATCAGATGTATTTGGTTTATTGGCTTCTTCCTCAAAATTTAAATCGAGAAGTTTTCTTACTCGTTTTGTAGCAAGTTCATAATCATCATCATTCAGTGGTGCAAAAGCATTCTCTAGGACATCACTTGCATGTGCCAGAAATATTAGGGCTAACATTCGTTTATCCATTTGTTGTGGGTTATTTACCCATTTAGCAAGTACAGCATCTTGAATTTTCTTTATTAAACGACTTTTAGTCACATTATCTGTTAAAGGATGTGTAGTCATATCAAAAAATAAAAAATTCTGTTTCTCTGTTGTTAAAACACCCTTTTCAACCAAGTTTTTCGCCAACCTTTCTCGGACATTCTTCAACTGATATCTTAGTTTTAGAGGATTCCACGTCTCACCACTTAAATATTCTATCCAGCTTTGCACAGTTTCAGGCGGATCAGTTTCTTTAAGGTGTTTTAGAGCTTCATCTAAGAGAACATCTCCTATGGGTGTATCATTTTTGACAATTAATTTTCTTGCTAAGAGACTTCTCCTTCTCATACCGACTCTTTCCAATTCTACTCGACCCCGTAATCCCAATTCTATCAGAATGCATCCTCGAAGTCCGCTGGAAATGCAGTCATTCCAAAATGATGTGTACCCTTCTTTATCTTTGAGACCTAGTAGTAATACTTCTTCCATTAATGTCAATCTCGTTTCTTTAGAATCTCCATCGTCAACGTCCTCATCACGATTTGATTTTTTCTCGTTATTCTGTTCTTCCTTATTTAGACCCTCACTGTTTTCCCTAGTTACATTTCTTCTTTTAACAAATCCCTCACTACGATTCATTTTCAGAGAACATATCTAAATATTCTAAATGTTGACGTTTACTTTTTGCAGGATGTACTATGGGAAATGGAACCGAACTGTCAAATGATTTAAGCAATTTTACACGTATACCGTTAGGGGGCCAAGAACAAACCCATTAATTTTTTCATGACGTCATGTCATATTTCTACATTGTTTTTAAATATAATATACCTTATTTTTATAATGGGATATTATAAATTTTTCATTTTATTAATTTAATATATGTTTATTAATAGTAACCTATAATTAATAATTAACATTTAGTAACCATTTGTTACGATATGCAACCAAATATACAAGATTAGCGTAATATTAAGCGTATAACCATAACATGTATACATAAACTGTGCAAAATGTGTATATTTAAGCACCCAGTGGCGGAGACATGAAAATTGATATCTGTAATATTAAAATTTAAATTCAAACATTTTTAGACGATCTCCTAGTTTGATAATCTTGCATTTTTTGCATTTGGAATTTGCAAAATTATTTTCGCCGATCAATATATTTTCAGATATGAATGTTTATAAATAGCATGCAATATTTTAGAAGTAATAAGTAGTAGGTATATGAATATATCAAAATTAAATTTTATTTTTTATATTTCGAAAATACGATTTGGATAAAATAAACACACTATAATTATGAATGGTACCTTATATAAATAATATGTTAAAAACACAAATGAAAATATATATTTATTTTATTGAATAACTTAACCTAATTATGTCTTCTTATAATGTTATTCATAAATTATTTAATAAAATGAAAAACAGGGAAAACAACGAAAATAAAAACTAAGTTACATAACTACGATGTATCAATTATCTGTACATTCAGTATACACGTAACAACAACAAACACTGTAAATTTAGTAAGGAATTGTACATCTGGTTTGAAAAATATATATAATAACGCACTCTCTTTGATTGTATCGATACTTGTTTGAACACTCCGTTTGCAAGAATTCTTTAAATGCTATCAACACACATGGCAGGATACTATGCAAGCATGGCTGATTAATGTCTGTAACGTGCACTTAACAACATCAGTCCAGGTAAGGATGATAGCGACAGCACTGATTACATGAATGATTTAAATGATGTCGCGATGCTATAGCGCTATGAGCGCTTATAGAAAGTCTGTTACTGAGGAGCTTTATCTCAAAAATTTTGAACTGATCGAGATCTGGGTATAAGGCAATATAACTATACTTAAATTGAATTAGATTAGATTAGATTAGATTAGATTAGATTAGATTAGATCTGGTTCAATTTTCTGAGATAAATCCGTCGATATTTCTCTTGCAGGGTGTACCCTGCGACTTTAGGGTTAATACTTGGTCCTTTTTTTTTTACTGGCTCAACTGCCAGGTGCAGCTGTTGATTGGCTCTGTGCCTCAGCCAGTGCATTTTCCACCAATTTCTTGTGTGTCCCAACCAATTCAGGTAGGTCATATGCAATCGCAATATCCAGCCTATTGATGGGACATCCTCTGAAGTACGTGCAAGTTGCAGAGAGTTGCTGGAAGTCATACAGAGGATTCAGTTTGAAGAAGTCTTTGTAGACATCAGGATCCGGCAGATCATAACGTGAAATATTCGTTAATGTCGAAAGACCCTCATAAATGTGATAGTCTTGAGGATGCTCAATAATCTCATTCGCTACTTGTTTCTTGTTTCCGAATACAGATTTGTGATTGTAGTAAGTAGTGAGGTAACAATCTACCATCTTGGCGTGGTTTCGTACACGCACCTAGAAAAAATATAATTTCATCTTATTCCTAAATGTAGCCAGTCTCACTTACCGCAAATCTTCGTGCACTTGCGATTTTATTTTCGATGCGTTTATCAATAGCACCTCTCAAATCTCTCAGAAAAGCTCTTTCTTGGGCCTGTAGGAGTCTAACAGGAGCCCATGGTTCGTATGGTCTGGACCATAATGATGTCGTATACATTACAGGAGGTTGTGGGGATGACATTAGTGGTGATATGTTCCAAATCAAAGCTCCTTGAACTCTCATTAATTCCTCAGGTTTCACTTGGTCAGCTTTATTTAGAATTATGCGAGTCTGTAATGAACATAAAGTTATGTTGTAAATTTATAAGCCCCATTATAGAACATACTCATAAATATAATTATTTTATTTTATTATAGCTTTTTGACATTTACGATCACAAATAAATCAAATAATTGCGTTAAATATATGTCTCGTAAAAAATAAAATTCGTGTCTATAAAGAAAACCGAAATTTTTAATATAAAATAAACGTTATTGAATAAATAAATAAAACCTGCTTACTTGATGTTCTCTTCCTTTTAGTTGATCAAGAATAGCCTCGGTTTCTGGACCGACGTCAAGCTTCGATGGATCATAAACCAAAAATATAATGTCCGCTCTGTCAATGAACCATTGGCAAGCATCATTGAATGGGAATACTCTTGACACCTGCTTGCGCACTTCAAGAATGCCAGGGATTTCAACAACGTTCACCTATAAACAATGTTTATTTTACAACCAGTGACTATTTTGTTTACCACCCACCTTTTCTAAAAGTTTATTGGGAAGTTTCACTCCTCTGAGACGTTCCTCCAGGCCTTGTCCAAATTTTTGTAAACCTGAGAAAGTGAAATCAGCTGCTAATTCTGTACCATCTACTACCTCAGGTTCTTCTCCATACATCATGATATTGAAGTAAGCAGGTGACGGTTCTGCTCCTACAAATACGTGCACATAAGTCTTTTTTTCATATTAAGTTAATAACTTACCAGTTTTTAATGATGTTTCGTTGTATTCATTATTCAATAAATAATTGATTATAGATGATTTCCCTCCACTCCATGGGCCCATAAAGAGGATTAAAGGTTTAGAAAAAATTTCTGCGTCACCAAAATGTCTGTTGCTAAGATCTCTGTACTTGTATAATACTTCTAAAGGTTTAATTGCATTTTCATAAAGCTTCTTTAATTCCTTTAGAGTTATTTCAGATACTCTGTTTATAATGCTTTCTATTTCCGACGACTCTTCGTCTAATTTAAGTAATTTTTCTACTTGATCTCTTGGCCTTAATTCTGTGGGAATATCAATGTCCAAACTTAGTTCTTCTTCTGGTACCGATTCAGATTCCTCTCCACTTTTCTCATCGTCATCGTTTTCACCGCTCTTCTCCTCGTTGGTATTATCGTCTATATCATCTTCATTAGTGTCGTCTTCTTTGGTGTCATCTTCTTTAGTATCGTCTTCTTTGGTGTCGTCTTCTTTGGTGTTGTCTTCTGTGGTGTCGTCTTCTTTAGTATTGTCTTCTTTAGAATCATCTTCTTTAGTGTCACCTTCTTTGGAATCATCATTTGTATCGTCTTCTTTAGTGTCATGTTTAGAATCCTCTGTGGATTCAGCGTCTTTTTCTTTGCTGTCGTTGTCGTCATCTAAAATAAATATTTGCTTTATAATTTATCCGAATGTTTTAACTTATGTGTTTAATACCTTCCTGACTTTTAGCTTCACCACCTCCATTTTCAACACTTTTGTCGTTTTCTGCAGATTCAGTAGCTTCGTTACTAGGTTCATCCTGATCATCTTTACTTTCTCCTTGTTCATCTTCTTTACTATCGCTATCTGTTGCTTGCGTTGTTTCTACAGAGTCATCATCAGCTTGGTTGTCATCATCCTCTTTGGTATCGGCCTCATTTTCTTTACTTTCACTTTCTTCTTTGCTACCATCAACGCCTTCTTGATCTGCTACTTGTTCTTCTTGACTTTCAGCTTCAACGTGATCTTCTTTGCTTTCCCCTTGATCATCATCCTGTGTTTGATCTTCTTTACTTTCTTCTTTGCTTTCCACATTATCATCACTAACATTTTCTTGTTTACTGTCGGCCTCGACACCTTGCGCTTCTACACTTTCCGTTGCATTTTCGTCTTCTTGGGAGTCTTCATCTTCTGTAGATTCTTTGTTTGGTTCATCGTCTGCTGCTTCTTCACTATTTGTGTCGTCTCCGTCAGGTGGTTGGTCTGCTTGTTCCTCACTAGCATCTCCACCCTAAAATAAAGCTAAATTGCTCAGTACTTTGAGTATAAATATATAAACTGATGAAAACCTCTAAAGTATAAAAATTTTAAGTATTATTTATTTATTTCTGTACCTGATCCTCAGAGCTTTTCGTTTCATCTGCTGCTTCTTCGCTCTCTTGTGCGTTCTAAAACAAAAACTTGATTTCAAAAAACAATAGCAATAATACAAAACTAGGTTACTTCTTGTTCGGAAACTATTTCGGCATTTTCCTTTCCATCTTCGTTAGTGTCGTTATCATCATCTTCGCCTTCTTGGCGATCGGCGTCGTCGCTTATCTCTACAGTTGGGAGATCTTCTTTACTATCGCCTGTTTCTGAAGACCCCGTGTCAGCAGGTTCGCCAGTCTCCAACTCTTTAAGAGCTTTTTCGATATATGGCCTACATTCGGATTCGGATGGACCTTCTAACTCGGCCTCACCTTGCACACCTTCAAAAAATATTTGATTATAGCAGCAGAATACTGCCCGTTTTTAATAGTTTAACTGACGAATTAATAAAAGTAACGTAATATTTTTTAAGTATTTAGATAGTTCCGCCGACAAAATGGCCGAATAAAATAGTAATATTTGAACAACCGTTTACTGTTAAAATATCAAGTAATTTCTGAATATCTCTGAAGGAATGAAAAGGTTTTTCTATTAATTTTTATAAAGTTCGAATTGTATGCGTGGATTTATAAAAATATATATTTGTTGATCAAGTAAACTTGTAGCTAAAAATACTAGTAGTTTTACAGTCCTAGTTTAATATGATTATTCTTTTTCACGAATATAAAACACGATATAGTTTTCAATATAACTGTATTCGAAATGTAATGTTTATAAAATATAAAATTTGGCTCTACCGCAAACTTCTGTTGTTTCAAAATGTTTTTATTTATCTCGCAAAAGATGGACGTTGATATCTAGCATGAAAATATAAAGCATCAATTTAATGATGCAATCGCGTTTGGCGTTTATAAATTGCTTTTATTTACCAAATCGATAAAATAGTGGTTGCTAATTTAAGATGCGGCGTGCATAATAGTTTTTAAATAACCGAGTAGTCGATTTAATTTTTCGACGACGTAAACTCGCTTGTATGGTACCGTGTAAATCTGCGTCAGGATCGAAAACCATATCCACCCACTTTTCGAATTCCTGTAAAACAAGTCAATATAAGCTTTCTCGTGTTTCATCAACTTTATTTTTTCAAGATACGAAAACGTTGATACATCGAGAAGAATGGTTTGTTTGAAATTAATAAATTTTTCAAAAATAACACGATGAGACGTCTGTTCATTGTTATTCAAAATGTTACGGTTTAGGTTCAAGGTTCGTGTTGTAAATCATTATTTCATTCAAAATGTATAAACGCAGTAATTTTGAGATGCTGTGAATATTGTTAGTTTTAGCTTCATAATTAAATGGATGTAGGTAATGCATTAAGGTAATTAATATTTGAACATACGGCTGGTTTTTCGAGTGTTCAACGTGAAGAGACAATATTCCACATTTTCTTTAAAAATGTAGTGTATATTGTTAGATGGTACTGTTTGGGTGTTACGTTAAAGGGATATAAAATATGATCATGGGTAGGTACCTTAGATATTCAATGACTTTAAATAATATCATTATTTTGGCATGCTTCCAAAAGAACAGCTGTAGATTTTATATTTTATAATGGAATGATATATTACAAATAGTGTGTGTGTAGATCTATAATTGGACTATACTCGTTTTCTAAAATATTACCTGGATATATCTGACTGCTCGTTACTAACGTTTGATAGATTGATGTTAGATTTAATGGCACTGAAAATTCTATTTTGATATATTAATTTTTGTTACAAAAAGATTAATATTTCTATGTGGTCGAAAGTAAAGAACCTTGGTGAAAATATAAATAGGAACGTTGGCCACTTTTTCGTATTTTTATTGGTACATTTTCTGAATTGCTTTTTTATTTTTCAATTACGTAAGCACTTCGTAATTATAAAATCTACAGTATATGCCGTTCTGCCATATTCAAACATAGTAATATGTTATTCATGTTGAAAATCGTTTTGTTTTTATTTGAATCTTGTCATAGCCCGTGCATGGTTTGCTTCCAAAACACAATTTCAAGAGAAATTTTGGCTTAATATACTACCTTACTTGACATTCAGTGCCAGGGTCAGGTTTTGGAAAGTTATCAAATAATTAGTATTTGAGGAAACTGTTAGAATAGTGTGCGTATATGACGGTTTGAAAAAAAGCAACTGGAGGAAATTGGATGCCAACTACGTGACTTCTAAGAAGGTATCTGATGATAACTGTTTTTGGGTGAATTTTATTTAAAGCTACCAAAATTAGTTTGTTATGTTGTTCTGGTCTTTGTCAGTCGATTAGAATGTGAGGTGCAAGGGCAACCTAAGAGTTTGAATTTGTTTTTAAACGGACACACAGCGTTCTAAATCGGTAACAGTCTAAAGTATCCTCCGTTGGCGAAATGCCTATAAGTTATAATGCAGTGCACATAGTAGATACTGCTACTTTTAGATTGTGGAGATTGAAAATTTTAATTTTAATTGAGTGTAATTGAGTTATAGCATAGCAAGAGGGATTCATGGGAGGGGGTTAATATTCTGTTCAATTCTTAATTGGTTTTAAAGAAGTGGGAAAATTTTGTTTTTATAAAAAATAATATGGCGTAAATGCAGTTTGCGAATATTTAAAAAAATTAAAAACGAACATGACTTTATGGTTATTTTTAGAGTAAGTTTATTTGTGGTAAATTTTTATTATTAGAAACTTGCTTCATCCAAAAATAACATATCATATTATACATCACGAAAATCATGGCTGCCGAACAATTATATAATTCCGATATAACACACCACTTGCAAGAACTTTTAGCACCCTTTAGTAACCCTCATGGGTCTGTACATAACCTGAGGCCCACGCACAGATACCAGGGGTGGTTTTTCGGGATTTCCCCTGAAGCACTTCGGTCGAGATAATTTCAAAACGTACCCTGCAAGGTAGTGGCGAGAAGAGACAATCCAAGAAGCAGCAACAGCCCAGAGGACTTACGACAGACCTCCATGGCTTCTCTCACTACACCGGTCACATAAAAGTCCCGCACTGAGCGGCCAGGTTACATTGGAGCTCGGCATATCACCGCGGTGTTAAACCAGCGGCGCCGGTGTCAGCAAGCCAAAAATATTTCGCTGGATTCAGTCGATTAGGATCAATCTTTTCCATATTTATCTTGAAAAAAAAACGAACGAAAATGATGGGACCTAAACGATCTTTGAACAGCATTTGATAAAAAAAATATATTAAAAAACATTTCTCAAAATGTATTAACATATTATAGCTAACTGATATTTTATATATATTTTTTAAACTTGTATAAGCAGATGATTCCAACATATTTACCATAACATCCAATCTCGCAAATATTCTGTTTAGTTTTCGTATTACTTAGTCCTAATGCTCGTGGCGTTTTTACATGAAATAATGGAAATGTAGTGCAGATTTGTATAAAAAATATTTTTGCAGATAGTTCAATTAAAAGTAATTATGTATTAATATTTAAAACTGTTTCTTAAAATTTTGTTGATTATTTTAAGAAACTTCGTACGCCACTGTTTTGAGATATCTCAAAACGACGCTTGGCGACGTTCGCCGAATTGAGAACGTTCTCCAAATGACTAAAGTTAAAATATGTAAGAGGTCTCTTTCACTACAACATTTTTCATTGCAATGTTCAGTACCTCATCTTAAATGATTCCAAATGCGTCAGAAAACACACATATGTGCTCTCTTGTACACATATCCACTTCAACGAGAAATGTATTAATATTGTTAATCAATTTTGATTCAGTTTAATTCATTTTAATACATCATTGCTAACTCTACTAGTTACGCGACATTACTATACCTACACTATAGATTACAACCATTTATGTTCTTATGAACTGGAAATTAAGTCGTGGTACTACTCCTATCCTCATTCAGATTCTATTTCTGATAAACCACTAGGTATTTTTACTGATTCTATATATTGGCTCTACTATTCTTGGATGCATATTTATAGAGCGTATTTCATAAAATATAGTATGCAGTAAGATTGAATTATTTGGATTAAACGTTTTTGGTTCATTTCACGAGTTCTGAAAAAATTTTCATTAAAGAATTAAAATACAGCCAAATTGTGTATTGTGTGTTTGCTGGTTATTTTTAGTGCATACTTTTAACATTGTGGCGAGTCTATGACGCACTTATGGCATCAGATTTATAATCTTAATGGTGTCAGTGGGAGAAATTTGACTCACTAAAGTAGGCACACTTCATCACCTACTATAGAGGATGGCCAAATACTAATACAGCCAGTTGGCCATTCAAATTTTCTACAGTGTAACACATGGTACACTGTATTTTCATTCAAGAAACTACAAGACTTGTTTATTTTAGTGATTTCAGTCTTTTTGAATAATGAATCTCATCTCATAAACGAAATTTAACAGTCGTACTTTTTGGAATCCACAATTGTTTGAAGCTTTGATGAGTGTACAAATGCAACCATGAAGCGCAAGTCAGATTTAAATTCTTTACGCAAAAGGGCTTCTGATGGTTATTTTTTAAAATAAAATTGAAATATGTTTATCAATAGTTTTAATAAAGAAATACAAAAAAAAATTTCTTACTCATGTACTGAACATAATTATTTTCAAGCAAATACCTATATCTAAAAATGACTAGGAGAATGTCTCTTCTCTTGGTATTTTTTTCATTTCAGGTTAAAATAAATCTTATTGGTATATTTTTTATTGATAAGTATGCTTGACTAAAATATAATAATTCAACAAATACTTTATAGCACAACCAAAGTAAATTACTTTTAAATACTAAAAATTAATTTGTTATTTAAATTTAAAATTAAATAAAGCACAGCACAAATATAATGTAATTAAAATAATGGAAATATGTCTTGTAAAAGCTGCCACACTCCTAGCTCTATTATTACCTACTTTATTTTTAATTACGATTTGAACACATTAAAAAATTGTCTGGAAATATTTTCACCGATTCTTTTTTAAAACCCGTGCAGGTACAAATTATTTGTTAGCAGTTTTTAAACATCCCGTATCTCATTACCAAATAGCTGCTATTATATTAAGTTTTTCTTGGAATTAGGTTACTAATATTTACAGATGAAAATAAGTCAAAATTTATATTATTCTCAAGCATGTCGTAAGCTATCCACCTATCTTCATCAGCATGTTTCTCATTGTGGGTAAACCAAATTCCAATAGCGCATCTCGAACCTTTTTTCACTGCTTTTACCCCATGTAAATTTTCGCTTCCTGACGAGAATGCCACAGTTCTGCCACATTTTGGTTTAATAACACTCTAAAACCACGCAAAATAATTAATAATACAAAAGGATTAAAAAATTGAACCGATTTCTACACCAAACAAAATGTAATGTACGTACCTGAAGTTGAGCGCCTTTTTGATCAGATGAAAATATAAATTCTCCCCCTTCAAATTCGCTGTTAAGGTACAAAATGGCACTGTAGTCTCGCCAAGTATAAGCTGGTGGTATTTTTTCACATTTTCCATCTTTCAAAAGATTGCAGTTGTCAGCGTGAATCTCGTGGCTGAAGTCCGTTCGGTTTGTAGGAGAATCTAAAACGAAAAAATATTGTTATTTAGTTTATTATTTCCGTGCATTGAGTTTTACCTGGAAATGCAGATCTGCAAACAATCTGAGTATAAGAAAAATATAACTTTTCCTTTAATTTGAAATAATCCGTAACCATTTTTTTTACGTCCTCTGTTAGTCTCAGGTACAAATCGAGGTGGTCCGATTTAAGGAGTCGAAAGTATACGAGGAATAGAACTCTGGTTAAAGTTATTCCTTCAAATTTCTCCATGACGGTGTGTGGTGATTTTTGACCGTCATATCCATCTCCAGGTTTTGCGAACATTTTCGCTAAGCGTATCAAAAATCTGCACTCTTTTTCGGTTGCTAAACCATCAGAGACAAATCTTTTTTGTCCGCGAAGCTGTTTTTCGGTCATTGTTACCCGAAAGTTTGGTTTAAAAACCTGTAGAATATAAAAACCGTGAGAATGAATCATTTTTGTACAAACATGTTGAATGTAGACAATTGTGTACGCATCTTTAATCCAATTGATTTTTAAAATAAAGCTGAGGCTACTAATTCAGATTAAATATAAACCTATAAAACCTATAAATTCACCACTTGAATTTTACAATAAGTTATATTTTCAGCAATTTCGATTTATATACATTATACAGGTCTATTATATACATTTAATTGAATTGTCAAACACAATACTCATGATTGGAAGCGATAAAGGCTAAGCACGCTAATAAACACCCCCACCATAAGATCCTATAAACCTTTAACTTATATGATAGGTAGGTCAAGTATAAAACAACATATTTTCTGGATGATTTTCAACATTCAGTAAATTTAAAACACATAATATTTTATCATTTATTCATAGTATCTAGTTACATTAAATTTATAAAAAAAACGTAAAAATAAAAGCCCGAACACAACGTGGTTATTATTTTTGAATAGGAACAATACAAACTTTTATTTATATGTACAGCGAAAAGTCCCAAAAAGCGCGAGCATTTTGAAGATCAGGCAGTGCTGTCAGTTTCTATTGCAGAAGACTGGCCCTGTAAGTCAAAGTTTCTTGTTAATTAATAAAACAACCACATGCCACCACATTTAGTTAAAAAAATAATTGCAGATACACAACAATTTGAAATGTAACACTCAAAATCTAGGCATGCAATAGTGTGATAATGTTGATACATGCAAAGCGAGTTCTTATTTTCAAGCGATTTTTATTGATATACAGGGTGTCCCACAAGTAAGCAGCTGAAAGTTATCATACATATATGTCTATAGAAAAGGCAATTAGGACACCCTGTATAACAAAACCATCACCAGGAATGTATAATATTGTAAAATCGAAGTAATTATTTAAATTGAATTATTTAGAAAGAATAGTTTGAAAATAACACAGCCAATGAAATATTACAGAAGAATTTATGAGAACTGTCCCCCAATCATCCCAAATTATGTTAAATGAAGATATTTGGAAGCAGTTGCAAGTCTTCCGCGGCGTTTTTTTTATCGGAATGTACAAATGATAGTAACAGAAAATTACGCAAGAAATTTTGTTGACAATGATAACGTCTAAATATAAATAATAATTTTGCTGTAAAAGATTATTTAATTACTACTGCATTTGATTTAATTTTATGTTATAATTTTATTAGTTAAAATAGCTAAAACAATGTCGAAGATTAAGATCTAGTACGGCAATGCATCGAACAGATTTTCAATATTAAAGGAAGTGTGAATTAGTGAAAGAAGTATCAAATTACGTCTTGATTCTTATAAATACCTAGAAAAATGCATGTAAAATACCTCGTGCGACTCGGCCATCTTGTTCTTGAACTCACTATTTATGAATTTCAAAATTCTGGTTTCGTATATTTGCCTTTGCATATAACGAATAGCTTCCTAAAATGAAATAGTGTAAGTTTCTAGTGACGCACATGTACACGGTGTCCTAACGAAAAGAGCGGTTTTGGAAAATCAAGAAAACTATCGATTTTTAAAAAAAAAAATCTACAAATATTAATTTTAACCGTTATTTTCTTTGGGACACCCTATATATTGTATATTTTGAAAAACACACCTCCCTCGGTTGGAAAAAATGATCTTGCACTTTTGGCAATCCAGAGTAAAACTTCATGTTGCTTAACATAGTCTCATCATCAGGAAAAAAGAGTAGATAACTAGCCACAGCTGCACAAGCTTTTCTCAAATTTCCCACTGCAAAAGGTAACAATATAAAATGAAATATACTACATACAAATACATGTTTGCAAGTCTTTTTAAACACCTACTTTTAAAATATGCATATTGAAGGTAGTGATAGTGGCTAGGCAGTAAATCATCATGCTGTTCCCCATTCAGAGATCCAAGACGTGTTTTACATTTTTGCTTACATTTCAAACAATAAGCGAAATGATCTAGAATAATGTAAGTAAAGTATAAATACTTAAATTGTAATTTATTGTAAAAGTACTCACTAGATATTGAGGGTATGAAGTCTGGGTACCACCCTTGGTCAAAAGGCCCTTCACACTGTGCCCTGCACTCTTCTTCTGCTTGCAGATACGCTCCTAAACTTTCTTCCATATTGTCTTCTACAGATTTCCAATCCTTTCTTTGATAAGCGTCATTTCCATGCACGTATAAATATACATAAGTCTAAACAAAATGAAAAATAGAATTTAACATGTCGCAAAGAAACGATCTAATAAAACCCAGTTTTTTCTACTTTGTACGGAACGGATATTCACATTACACTATTATCATTCTAGCAGTAAGCTTCCTTTTACGCTGCTAGTGTGTAATGCAATAATATTTCCTGTTGAAAATGTGTTTATTATTAACTTACTTCGGCCTCAAAATTCTCAATTTCCTTCATATTTACTTCTTCCATAGAGTAATAATGTTTCAGATTACTCTGCATCATTTTATCCTCAGGATGTGACACCAAGTATGTAAACGCTGACGACGCTGCCTTCATTGGATTATCAGTCTGTAAAAGTATTATATAAAATTAAAAAATGCTACACATTTTTATCGTACAATTATTTTTGTGGTTAATGTTAAATTCAATGAATATACTTTGGATGAGTAAAACGTGTGGTCAATGACCTAAACTGTTTTTGTTTGTTTTAATATTTAAATAGGTGGTAAAATACTGATAATTTTGTACTGGAATAGCGAAAAATTTGTTTCAAGCCTCAGCGCAGGATCGTTAACATGTTAAGTGTAGTTTTGTTAACATTAAATTTTGTAATAGTGTGAAAATAGCACGCAAAACTTGTAGAAATTTTCGTTACTACTTATTTTTAGTTAAATCTGGAATAGATCATTAAATTAAATTTAGAAATAAATGGATTTTATGTGTATGCCACCTTAAAGAAGGTTTTCAATTTTCATGTTCACAGTATATATTATCGTTCCCCCCCGTTCCAATTGTGTACTGCAAATTTGCAAATTACAATTACAGAACGCCAAATAGGTTTGTCTGCCGAATAATATTTTTCTGTTTTATTTTATTATTAACGTTTTCCGAAAAATCTGAAATTGAACTGAAATCTTTGGACATAAAATTTTAATAACCATAATGTCTTTTTATGCGATTCATAAAATTGTACGTATGTTCATTCACTACTATAGTATAAGCAAATGTTTTAGTTCAAGACCACAGTTATTTTCATTTACTCATAACGTACGAAAAGTATGGTTACAAGTTACAAGGTTAGAAATACTAAACAAAGTAATGATTTTTTTAATGCTAAGCTTTCTAATTGTATTATACAATATAATCGCTATTTTTCTTAATAATTGTATATTTCCGCAATATGAATTAACAATTTCTAGTGGTATGTAGTATGTAGTATCAAACATAATAAAAAGTCATAAAATTTTATAGCTTTTAAGTATAGGCGTGACTGGCTTTGCGAATTATAATATCTTTTAAGAATATTGGATATAGACGTCAACAAGTACATTTGCTAGAAAATTGCTTGCATCCAAAATAGATGTGACCTAATTGATGTATCAGACCAATTATTTCCGGGTAAATGTACCCACTATGGTGATAATAAATAATTTGTGAAAACGGCCTCACGTTTATCTAGCCGATGCTATGTGAACACGTTATAGTTGTATCAAAAGTTTCACTAACAGAATGTACGGTAGGTAATTTTATTACCAGCACTGTATATTAATTGAAAATTAGTCGAAAATTGATACGTAAAAAGACAGCAAAATTCACTGCGAGAATAGTTTTAAATCCTTAGAAATTATAATTTTCAGTTTGATATGAAACAAAATTTTCAGTAAAAATTTGTTATTTATTTGAGATTTATTAAAAATGCTCTAGATTTGTGAAGTTGTTTTAATGACAAAAATGTTTAATTAAATTTAAATGTGCTCAACTCGGACCTTAATAAAGACGTGTTTTGCATCTGTCAAACATAGTGTCCTATTTAATGTCGGGCAATATAAACGATTTTTTTTCAAGGCGTTAAATATGACCCACACTGTATAGTAAGAATACAACAAATGCATATATGAAATGTCTATTTAACATACATTTTTGTGGGTAGATAGCCAAGGTAAATCGATCCCACTCGTTAAATTGAGTGTTGGAAGGGTATTTTTATTTCATAAACGGTTTTATTTACGTCCATACTTCTTTGTTTACATAAGAACATCGTCCCACATGGAAAAAGATACCTACTCAGGAAGAAACTTTATTACGACAGTACGGAAATAAATATAAAAAGGAAAGTTGTATTTTCGAAAGATAACTAAAAATGAATTACATTGTCAGATGCAGATGACTAAAAAGATATGACATGGCATGAATAAAATATCCCATTCCACTGACGCGTATATTATTAATAACTACCGAATTTAATATGTACCTCGAATGGGCATGTAAACTCCATTAAATTATAAATAGAGACCTAGATTCAGCATCTGCAAAAATATGTAATATACTGGCTAAATTCTAAATCTAAAGAGATAAATAATCTATTCGCCCTAATTTCGTTAAAGTTAGTAGCGGAAAAATATTAATTTAAAATGTGAATTGTGTAGTTATAATAATAAATTATCTGTGTGCAGTTGTAATAAAATAATAAGAAATACAATTTAACTAGAACGCTCAATTGAAATTTGTTTGCATGATCCGTTCTCATTAAATTTAGTCTGAAATAACGAAAAAATATAATTTTTCCATGTTTTCCAGAAAGTCAGAGCTTCCAGATCAATTTTCAAGCCCGGTAAATTCCACTGTTTCGAAAAACTGACAAATTAACAAATTAAAAATTTATACAGACGGGTTTTGTAGAAATTTTGATAATACATATAGGATGTCCCAGAAAGAAGTGTCGAAATTATAACCACACATTTAACTAGTCAAAAGCAATAGGTTTTGTTTACTGATTTTTTTTTTCGAAAATTTTTAGGTAATCTAATCTGGTAATATAACTTTAGTGCATAGACAGCTCGTGAGCGTTATTTTAATGGGTACAAAGTACCGGACAAAAATGTGAGTTTTTCAAATATATATATATATATATTGGTCAGAAGTTGTTGCTTTTAATGAGTTAAATATATAGTTAAATTTAAAGAATATTTCTTAAAAAAAAAATGCTTATCGAAACTGGGAGATTATATTGCAATTCTGACAGACTGCGATGACTTAATCAGAAGAAGCTCTCTACCACATCCTTTTTATTTTTATATATTACTGAGTGTCTATATTTTCGTGGAGCACCATAATTAGAAATTAGTTTTAAAATTGGCTATACTGTTATTGTACAAATAAAATTTTATTTAAAATGACTAAATAAGCAATACCTCGTACTACTTGATGTTACTGATTCATAGATATTCGTTCGAGCATTCGTTGTTCAGTGTTCGGCGAATACCGTATACATATTATGTGGTGCTGAATGTTTATCTTCAAAATTTTCGAGATATCATATAAATACTTATGGGTATAGATTTTTTCAATGACAATATTAAAGCTGTGGAACAATACTTAAAAAGAATAATTATAATGTTACCTTAAAGTAGCAGATGTGTAGGTATTCATAAGGTTTCTGCTCTTCAAACAACTTCTCTGTTTCTGGATTAACGTTGAAGTTTCCAAAAAGCTCAGGGTTGTCTTTTTTACACTGCATGATGCACAGGGTCTGCTTCACTGCCCTTTCGTAAAATAAAAGGTTTTCGATGTCAACGGGATATAGTGGTTCGGATAATTCGGCGTCATATTTACACTTTAATCTGCAGTTTTGTAATTTCTTCTTGTATGATCGGTACTTATGAAGCGCTTTTTCAAAATTGTCTACACACTCTACAAATCTATTTTCTAAGTACGCTTCGACGCCTTCTTCATATAGACGGACGCAAGATTCGGTATCATTAAACGATTCCGAATGGACGTGTGTTAATAAAACAAATGAAGTTGTGACGAAAACATAGTAGAGAGACGGTGTCACGAACATGGCTTGCTAGAATACACTGCCAGACGGAGCATCTGGTATAAGTGTGTTGTATGATCGAGGTTGGCTGTTGACTAATCGCATTAACATTGGTCCAGCCAGCTTCTGCTCCCAATATTTAATCGGCCCTCGCCGTCGTTAAGTGTGTCTAAAATGACTGCTTCCTAAATAATTAATTTTACCCGTTTTAAGATAGAGCATGTAACATTATCTGAAAAAGTACGAGTTTTACGCTTTACATTTTTTATAGAAATTGCAGTGTGTTTAGAAAATATATAGAATATTACTAATTTAAGAAGTATCCCAAATTGGTTTCATATAACTATATATTTTTTTAATTTGAAGCTTTTGAAAATTCAAAATCGGAAATATTTGTTTCCCATCCATGGGCGTCCGCAGAAAATTTGCCAGATGGGTAACGGTAGGAATACAGATCAACAAAGTATAAAAAATTATAAAATATTCTAATTTTATGGCAACAATTAGCAAAAGAAAGCTTCCTGATTTTGTGTATTTGGTAAACTCCACTCCTCCCATGAATTCATATGAAATAAATTCAACCAAAGATACAAAAATGTAAATATTTTCACATAATGCAGTTGGGTGTTGTCTCCATGGGCGTAGGTAGGATTTTCGCTTGGGGTGGACCTTGAGGGGTCAGCTGGTCAGCTGGCTAGTCCGACTACAGAAGATATGATTGAATAGTTTTTTTCTGCCCTACTCCCCCAAGCTACGCGCCTGGTTGCCTCTGTAGTTCATGTTTCTGTTTTTTTAATATTAAATTTTCTACTCTCCTACTTTCAGCAGGTTAAGCGCAAGTCAAATCGTTTTTTTTTATCTCGCTTTGATAACTCTTTCATTTACCTACAAATTAGGTATATAAAAATATATGCAATCCAACAGAAGCTGGTAGATTTAATTAAATCCCCAGTTTCATATTCTGATAAAAATATTTACATTATTTGCTAGTAATAAAAGTTATCTAATTATCTTTGATGTAACCAGACCCAAATTATGAAAATTATTTATTACAGTCTGTTGTTAAGGTGTGTGTAGGTAGGTGATTTTTCATGTGTTTTACAAAATTACTGTTTTAATTATTTTTTTTAATTATTATTTTCTGCAGAACAGAATCAGTTTTTAACATACTGAATTAAAATCAAAATTTTTTGTTACCTATACTTTTATGTTATAAATGGTTTATAGCTTTATAAAAAATTAAATATTAAGGCCCCATATAATGATATAGGATAGAATGAGTTTGTCAAGAAATACCTTTTCTACCTTGACAGTCTGGTTTGGGTTTTATACCCAGAAATTCAGACAAGAGAAACATATGGTATATTGTTGGTTGTAGGTACATTACTAGGATATTGAACAAACCTACATACAAATCATACGATCAAAGTCTATAACGGTATAGCGCATATTTATTATCTATCACCGTGACTATCCGCAATTACACTATAATACCTATTTATTGAAAGAATTATTTGTCTCTTTTGTGCCTATAATCAAGCGAAATAGAAAAAAACAAATAGAACGTAATCTACAAGACAAAGGAATACGTTTAAAGTGATCCGATCCGAACTTATTGTTTTTTACGTCAAACTTCTGTGTTCTGTGTTGTTGAAGAGAAAGTGACGTGCAATTTGTAGTTGTAAAGAGGTTATAATTAAAAAATATTTTTTTTAATTGTCTCTAATTATATTAATAAAAATATGTTGAATAGAAGCGATTCAAGCACAAATATATTTATTACAAATAATTTTTTTTAAGATCTATTAGAGTTTTTATTTTAATGTCCAAAATTTTAAAACAATTGTATAGCAAATACATTTATTTTTTAGTTATTCGGTAAATCATGAGTGATCCACCAACAAACACTGAATTTCCTGTCTGGAGTTTATTGCCAAAAAAAGAAACTGGTGTCGTTTCTTTTTTATCAAAGTATCCTGCGTATGATGGAAGGGGTACAGTTATAGCTATATTAGATTCTGGAATCGACCCAGGGGCACCTGGATTAAAGGTAATCCGTTGTTTATGATCACAGTTTTTTTTTAACTGAATTAAATCACTTTTAGACCACTTCCGATGGAAAAGTTAAAGTTATCGAACGTTTTGACTGCAGTGGTTGTGGAGATGTTGATACGAGCACAGTTATTACTCCTAAGGATGAGATTATCACTACCTTAACAGGAAAGAAATTAAAGGTAAGAGAATAAATTAAAAAAATTGTTTTAATGTATAGGTTTTTGTTTCAGATTCCTTCTTCGTGGAAAAACCCCGAAGGCACATTTAGACTAGGTGTTAAACATGCATTTGACCTTTACCCCGATAGATTAAAGGATCGTATGAAATCTGAGTACAAAAAAAAATATTGGGATGAAGGTCACAGGAAAAATGTTAGCAGTGTTAGCCGAGAACTTGCTGATTTTGATGCGAAACATAATAGTAATTGTTTTATACATATTTTCTTAATAAATATATTTTTGATGTTGTCAAGAAAGTTAATATAAAATGTAATTTTCTATATGTCATACGAATATAGTCAATTTGGGCGTTCATTAACTAACGTAATTTGTAGGTACTAATTTAAATGATGTCGATAAGTTAGAAAAAGAAAATTTGGATGCAAAATTAGACATTTTAAATAATCTGGAAAAGAAATTTACTGATGTAGGGCCAGTATATGATTGTATTTTATTCCACGATGGAGATAAATGGGTTTGCTGTGTAGACACTACTAATGACAATGATTTAACAAAGTGTCCTCTTTTGGGTGAATATAGTATAACACATGATTATGCTCCCCTGACACCACAAGACAAATTAAATTTCAGCATAAACGTTCACAACAACGGCAACGTTCTGGAATTAGTTGCGGTCTGCTGTAAGTTGCTGGTTTTAAATAGTACATGAAAAATATATTACGTCTCTTTTTAGCAAGCCATGGGACACATGTTGCTTCCATAGCTGCAGGATATTTTCCAGATTCTCCACAGGAAAATGGAGTTGCACCTGGTGCTCAAATCGTTTCTTTAACTATAGGTGATGGAAGATTAGGGTCAATGGAAACAGGAACAGCACTTATAAGAGCAATGATAAAGATAATAGAATTGAAGAAGACAATGAACGTGCACGTCATAAATATGAGTTATGGTGAACATGCTCATTGGGTGGATGCTGGGTAAATCGATTTAAAAAAAATAATAATAATTTGTTACCTGTGTTTTATGTCTTTAGACGTGTCGGTGATTTAGCCAATGAAATTGTTAACAAATATGGAGTGATATGGGTGTGTTCGGCAGGTAACAATGGACCAGCTTTAGGTACTATTAGTACACCGTCAGATATAAACAACGAACCACTTATTAGTGTTGGCGCTTATGTTTCACCAGAAATGATGGTGGCTGAGTATGCAATGCGACAGAAGTTACCAGGTACAATTTCATTATCATAATGGATAGACAATTTTTTTTTTTTTTTATTCAAAAATAAGGCTTCAACATATTAAACTTAATCCAGTATAAGTAAATAAATAAAAATAATAGGTACAACATTTTCTTTCAATTTTAGGAGCTCCTTATACTTGGTCATCTAGGGGTCCAACGATAGACGGAGGCATAGGTGTCCATATATGCGCCCCAGGTGGCGCGATAACGTCTGTTCCGAACTTTACGCTTCGTTACTCTCAGTTAATGAACGGTACATCCATGGCATCACCTCATGCTGCTGGTGTCGTTTGCGTTCTCTTATCAGGACTGCTTCAACAAAACTTACCATATTCACCATATATTGTTCGAAGGGCTTTAGAAAATACTGCCCATTTCATACAGGGTGTTGAAATACCTGCCCAAGGTAGTGGTTTAATCCAAGTGGAGAAAGCATTTGATTATCTGCTTAATTATAGCGAAATACAAGAGAGAGACGTTCGATTTCAAATACAATGCGGATCTGCAAATTCGAAAGGAATTTACTTGCGTTCTAAATTGAATACAAATTTACACACATTTAAAGTTTCCGTCGAACCTCACTTCTTAGATTCGGACAATGTTGATGCAGAGAGAAAAATTAAATTTAACATGAAATTAGTTTTGACTTGCAATGCAGATTATGTGAATTATCCTAGTCATTTAGATTTATCCAACGTTTCAAGAATGTTTGCTATAAAAATTGATACATCGTATCTAAGTGAAGGACTGCACAGTACGTTTATTAACGCTTATGATGTCAGTTGTGTCGAGAAAGGGCCAGTTTTTAAAGTTCCGATTACAGTTATACAACCCAAAGAAGTAATGGAAGTTAAATATCAAATAAGTTATGGTAAAATTAATTTTAAGCCAAACACCATTAGGAGACATTACTATGTTGTGCCTAACATGGCTACTTGGGCCGTTTTAAAGTTAGCTTCAGACGAAGATAGTGGTAGATTTGTTGTACATACACTTCAAGCAATACCTCGCCAACACTGTAAAGCACTAGAAACAAACAAGACGGTAGCTGTTACTTCTAAATCTGACTCGTTCCTCTGTTTTCCGGTTAAGGGAGATTTGGTCTTAGAAGTAGTTATAGCTAAATATTGGGCCAATCTCGGTGAAGCAAATGTGGACTACTCCATATCCTTCCATGGAGTGAAACCCAACCAACCTGCTTTAACAATGCATGCTGCTGAAGGTATACATACAGTTGAAGTTAAGACGCTGCAAGGAGAAGAAATAGCTCCCTCCATTAATTTGAAGAATTCCGTCCAAATATTAAAGTAAGTAGAAAAATCTTTTTACTATATTCTTCGGTTAATACGTATAATTTCAAAATTGCATAGTATATTTTAACGATTTTTAAACATAAAAAATAAATGATAATTTTCAAATATAAATATTGTTTTCTAAATAATTCTTTGAAACAAAAATTTATTTTTAGGCCCTTGGAAGGGAAAATAGCTCCATTATCATCGAGAGATATAATTCCTCCTTGTAGACAGATTTACAAGTTAGTTCTAGTTTACAATTTCACTTTATCAAAGCAATGCGAAGTTTCACCAAATTTAGCTCTTTTAAGTGATATGCTCTACGAGTCTGAATACGAGTCTCAGTTCTGGCAGCTCTATGATTCTAATAAGCAACTTATGGGATGTGGAGATGCTTATCCATCGAAAGTAAGTCTGTTGTGGAGGAGGCGATATATTAGTATTTAAATAATTTTGTGTTTAACATACTTTCTTCTAGTATTCTGTGAAACTTGAAAAAGGGGATTATACTATTCGGTTGCAAGTAAGACACGACAAGAAAGATTATTTAGAGAAAATAAATGAAGCACCAATGTTATTGTATCAAAAACTGGCAAATAATATACCTATGGATGTGTACCTGAGCTACTCCCAAGCATTAGTTGGGGGTAAAAAGGCTGGAATTACTCATAATTCCAATCCTTATGTTGTTATTCCTTTGTATATAGCACCTTTGTCATCAGACAAGTAAGTCCAATACCTTGGTTTTAGTCTTGTGTTGGTTGAACTTTCTTTTAGATTTCCAGTTAAATCTAATAATCCTGCACACTATTTGACCGGTACAGTCACTTATGCTAAGGATGATCTTGGAAAAAAAGCTGATACATATCAAATTAAGTATTTTCTCACGGATATAAATGTGAAAAAATCTCCTCAGAATAATGGTAATAACAATTCCGAGAAAACTAAGCAAGATGAGTACAATGAGGCAGTGAGAGATGTGAAGACACAGTGGCTTCCAAAATTAGGTATGTACTTTCATAAAATTTTCTAATATTTTATCACTTAAGCAGTAAATGTTTTAAAGCACCTTCCTGTTAAAGTTGATATTAAATGCATGAATATATTTTTTTTATTTTTAGATAGTGCTACAGCTGAAACTTTATATGAAGAACTAATAAAAGAGTACCCAGATCATCTGCTTGTTCATTCAGCTTACTTGCAGGTCCTGGATCCGCTAGACAAACGGGTACTACCCACTTTTAAGAAGCAAACATGTTCAGCAGATGATCTCAATAAAGTAATTTCCATTTGCAATAAAGTGACTGAGAGTCTAAGCGAGGAATCAATTTTAGCTTTTATTGCAACCAAGACTGATTTACGTCCTGATGCGGCTAAAATAAAAAGGTAAGGTTAGGTCACAAAACACGAGAGCTGTTTCAATTTGCCTTATTTTATTTTAGTGCAATGGAGCAGCAAAAGAATATCTACCTAGAATGTCTTTCGAGGAAAGGTATTGCCCTGTGCCGCCTTTCTGGGTTGGAGGCAAATAAGTTGGATGAGATTTCTAATGTATGGAAATCTTTAGTGAAATTTATAGATCCAAGTGATGCAAAAGTAAGTTAACAAAATTTGTGCTTTGACACTTTGTAAAAATGATGGTAGTTTTAATTCATATTAAGACTAATATGGAAACAAAAAACTTTAATTTGTCCATTTCAGGTATTTACTACCCATGTTTTGTATTTTACAATTTGGCACTCATTTGTAAATAAACAGTATGGTAGATTAATGAAGTTCATTTTAAAAATGCAAGAGGATAAACCTAGTGAGGAGATAGAAAAGCGCATTATTGAGTATTGTGAGAAGCTCAACTGGGAACACATTGCTCAACATTTGCAGAGAAGTCTACCGTCGAAGTTCCCTTCCACTTTTAAACCATTTTAGTGATTGTCCGTGTTAGCCATTTTATTGTTTTATACACCTTATGGGTATATCATGTACCTAGCACTTGTTTTTAGTTCATGTTTGTTTATGATTTAAATTATTCTTTTACGTTTACGGGTATGTGAGTACCTACTACTTTTTTTAAGTTTTCCATATTTATTAATTTTTCTTTAAATGTAAAAACATCATTCAAGCAGTTTTTGAAGTGGTTTCTTTAATAAATGACACACTAATAGAGAGTCATTTATTTCATTTATACAAAAAATATATTACATTTAGGTGCAAAATTAGCTATTTGTATGGTTGACTACGAAGTTACTAAAGTAGTTACAGCTTTCTTAACAGTCTAGGAGCTAGTCAATAAAGTCCATTTTCTCACAAAAAATACAATTTTATACATATGAAAAAAACTAGGTAAGTTAAAAAAAATCTGATAAAAACTTCAATTTTTTGGAACGTAAACTAATCCATGTGATTAAAACTTGAGGTAATGTTTGTAAAGATAAAATAGATATTTAAAAGTGGTATATATTTATACCTTATCCTTGGGAATGATGTAAATTGAAAATGATCGTCTAGATTTAGTAAAATTCGATGAAGTTGCTCAGCCAGTATATCCCGACTCTCTACACCATTACATTTGGCTTGGCCTAAACAGTAAGTTAAGTGACATGAAGGTGAAATCTTTCGAAGGCCTGCAGTATTCTATAGAAAATTTAAACAATTGTGCTGCTGAGGCATTGAACAATCTGGATATTCAATCATTCCTTTATTGTGCTATTCTCTGTGCAAAGTCCAAAATGAAAGATACTAAAAACTTGAATTATTACAACCACGATAGGCCTATTGTTTTACCAGCCTGTGTAACGGACCATTTAGGCACTTTAAACCAGTCGAAGTTTATATCTGTCGCTTATAATATGTGCAAAAATGAAGAAGAAGCTAAATATGGGAGAAGGTCGGTTGCTTCTAATTAAAGCCATCGAAGTGGTGAGGTGTGTAGGTCATCACGGCTTTGATGTTAGTTTATTGGTGGCTTTGGCGAAAATATTCGAAGAGCGTTCAAAGAGACTTACCACCAAAAAGTCGGAAATCGAATTTAATGATGCAAGAGCTGAATTGTACTGGAAAGCCGCCTTGCCGCTCTTGGAAAAAGTGAAAAATAATGAGATGATTACATATTCTAATAACAGATTCTTTGAATATAAAGCGAAAGATATATCTATTTCCGAGGCATCTTCTTACATTGAAAGTGGGAAATTGTTCACAGCTATGCAGCTGATGAAGAGGAAGGAATATGAAAAAGCGTTACATATATTTGAACAACTCGAAGAACCTTATGCTAGTTTTTACCAATCAGAAATTTATAAACACAAGGCTGATAAAAAAACCAATCAGAACAATGAAAATGTTACATCGGATATGAGGAGCCAAATTATTATCTTACTCTTGAATGCCAGGGACTGCTTATACCTCACTTCGAAGAGACTTCGTGAACCTTCAGTAGACAGAACCCATCCCCTAAACTCTCAAATTCCACGCAAAATATTTAAAAAAATACATAATTTGGAACATCACTCCATTCACTAAAAATATTTTTTTTGCAGAGTATAAAGGATTTCGTTATTGACTAGACTAATTACTTTATCTAAATGTAACAATGAACAAAACATTTTCACAGCCGAAGCTAAGATTAATTATTTGATTGGTTAATCAAATGGAGCAAAAATCCCACATTTTCACCTAAATTCTTAGAAAATAATAAAAATATATCAAATATTTTTACTATAAATAATTAAATTTAGCACTTTATATCAAAACTGGAAAAACTGTTCACTGCATTTGATTAACATGTAGTGAATTAATAAAATATTAGAGAAATACAAATAACACTAACTTAGATGCAAATAAAAATCTAATTCCTCTTTTCACTAACCTGAAAATATAGTGTAAAAAAATATATATGTACATAAGATTAATACAAATAAATTCAGGGACGGACTGAAAATGGGGTTATCTGGTTTTCCTTATTCGCTAAAAAAAATGATTTTTTGACCCATTTTGATCTTTTTATCTATCAGTCCAATCCGAGTTTAAAACTATTTAACTGATAAGGCAGAAGTTTGTTTTGACTGAAATAAGGCGTATGACACTATTAAAGATTCTTAATATTATTGATAGTATAGAAAAAAAATATATAAAAATCTTCAATAGCATCATTGGATTTTAAGCCATAAATAACACTGAATTAGAATCTAAAGGTCATACAACAGTTATTTCTGTGTCCTCATCTTCATTGAAGTCAATTGGTAATAAATCTGTCGTAAGAGGCATTGTATTGTATCCTCCATTGACAACTGCAAGATAATGTTAGATATACTGCAATGTTCATTTTTTATGAAAATAATAACCTTTTCACTATGGAAAGCTATATACCTATATATAAATAAAATCGATCAATATTTATGCAAGATTGAAGGCGTTTTTTTTTCTAAGTGATCATATTGTATAAAAAAAAATCGTAATTTTGGTTGCATTGTAAGCCATACCTCCAAATATCACAGTAAGGTTGACGGAGGCAAATAATTATTTAATAAGCTTTTACTATAGCTGATGTTTATTTCTGCCCTTATTTATTTGATAATGCAGGTATCTTTTTTTTTTCAAAAATACAACAATAACATACAGGATGTACACAAAGATTATGCACTATATTGTAATTTTTTTTTATTTCACTGAAAATTTTATTCATGATAAACGTGCATAAAAGAATTTTGTAATAACCAAATTTTGTGTTCAATATATAGAGTAGGGTGGCCCAAAAAAAACGAATTTTTTTTTTCGTGTTATAAAAATATGTTAGTTATCATGTTTTAAAAAATCAGCACAAAAAAAATTTTTTTAGATCAAGATTTTTAAAAATTTCCAAAATCGTCAAAAATTGAATTCTTTTTTAAATGTTTTTTCTCGTTATCTTATAATTTTCTAGGTTGAAAAAAATCTCGATTCTGAAAATTTCAAATCGATATTTTAATTTCTAAAGGTCACTCATAATTATTTTGACTTTAAAAGTACTGTACATAAAATGTTTTCGTGCGACCTCTAAAAATAAATATCAACGAACTAATAATTTTTTTTTAATTTGATGAACAAAAGAATAGAAATAAATGAGACTTAAAAAATTTCTCGAGGCAAAATTTACTACCGCACTGTGAGTATCAAATATTAATAATTTTTTAAAATCTAAGTGTCGTGATTTATTTCTATTCTTTTGTTCATCAAATTCAATAAAAAAAATTATTAGTTTGCTATTTATTTTTAGAAGTCGCTCGAAAACAGGTACACTACTTTGAAAGTTAAAATAATTATGAGGGATGAGAAAAAAACTGGCTCCGTAGTAAAAAGGTTATAAGTTAAAAATATTATCAAATTTATTGCCTGTTTATTGCTATTAATAAATGTGCAATACAAGTACTTACGTTTATATGTTTTGAAATGTTGATTCATATTCATTGAATCAAATGCAGTAAATTGAGTTTCTAAATCGATTCCTTCAATTTTCACACTTTGAACATCTTGGCTTAAAACAGGTGGTGGGGTTGATTGTACCAACTGAATTTGTTGCAGTTCTGGTATGTGGGGCATTACCTAATGAATAATAAAATTAGGCCATTTCAATAGTCCATTAAAGTACCGAAATTATATAGTTTAACTTACAGAAAAACTGAATATTTTACATGAATTACCTTCTGTCCGTCCATTCTATGTGGATTTCGACACCCTCTACACTTGCATTCCAAACAAGGTTTACTGTCTACATAACACGGACATCTTTGACCGCAACATGTCAGTTTTCCAGGTGTAGCAGTTGCATTTCCGCAACGACAGCCTTTTTTAGGTTTCACCGTGCAAGGTTTCTTAAATACAGCCTGCAGATGAAATAGAGGCGATTAAATAAGTAAATATTAATTCAAAATTTAGTGTTAAAAATGAATATATATTTTCGTCTGTAAAAACTATTTATACCATGACAGTTGTAATATGACAAGTAGTTTGGTATAAATTTGGCATTCTTAATGACATGAATATTATATTAAGTCTATACATGTGTCTATACTAAGGCTATTGGGTTTTCAAAAATGGGTTAAAAATAGATACATTTACCACTCTTACCAACTGTTCCATTACAAAAGTTTTGTATTGATTATGGTAAAATGTTCATATAAATACATAACCTATAATATTCAAATTTTTTACTTTTAAATTTATAAATAATAAATGAAGTTTGCAATTTTTGAGCGTTGAAGAGTTTAAAATATTTATGAACTTGCCTTTTCTGCATACTCTCTTTGCCTATTAGTCCCAGATTTTGAATTTCCCAAACTGTCTTTTTGTTTCCTCTTCAAAGTAATTTTGCTTCCATTACCCGGATATAACACTGAATAAAAGGAAGTTCTATTCTGCATATTAGAATTTAGCACTAAATTTTTATTGTCCTTTCCAACTTGTGAATGAACACCCTGTGTGTTGGCCGAATTAGTATAAATGCAAGGCAAAATAGAATATGCTGATTTCGGCAGACCACCATTACTTTTATAATCGTCTTGGAAAGCAGCACCTTCTTTTATTAACATTATTAAGTTACTAGCACCACGTTCAAAACCTGTACCAGGTTGTGAAGCTTGCATTGTAATACTTTTGAATAAAGGAGAATGTATTAACCACACACACATTTTTTTATAGCACTGTAATAAGATACGTAATCGCTTGTTCTCGGTATAGTCTTTACATTCTTTACAACCCTCGCATGCTGGTTTTATTTTTTTACGCCCCCCTTTGCAAGGCCTACACAAATGATGTTGACACTGCGCTATTGTTGGAGTTAGAGGATCCACCAAGAGATTTGAACATACTACACAGCACAGAGAATTTCTTAAATAGGGTACAAGTCGGTAAAGGTCCTGCCAAGAATTCGGATTTTTTGGATCAGACTTCATCACGATTTGGGTGGTTGTGGCATACAGGTTGGTCGCATTCATTTTCGGCACAGGTATAGGAGGTTTTTCTTTGGAATTCATGTTGTTCGATATATTTGCTTTTGTTTTTGATGGCTGTCAAACACCATGCATACGTTAAATTCACAACAAGGCTAGTGCGCATGCTTTGACATGAAGTTTTGCCGCCGATTATAGATACAGAGGGAATTCCTTCATATTTCTGCCGCTGGTATGTTACTTTTATAGTGGTTTTAAGTCTGACAAAATCCAAAAAATAAAAATCCCCTATTCTGTAGAGCCTGAAGAATCACGGGAATAAATCGAGCTAAAAAAGTTTTCGAAATTTTGAGATATTTCATGAATTATAGAATTTGAGCAAAAACTAACCATCCCAGTGCGCCGCTAAATACTACTTATAACCTTGAAGTAATGCCTACATTTTCTCGTTGCTCAGAGAAGTTTCAGAAGAATGAAAATATTTCCCAAGAATTCCCAGGTTATAAAGACTATTTTTGTTGAATCCTTAGACAAAAACTGACCACCCTGATGGTAAGGTACCACTTTTTTATAGATGGGAATTTGCTAATTTCGTAAAAATATTTATGAAATTGAAAATACTTAATTCCAATAGTATTTTTACTTAGTGAAATGGAATGTTATGCCTACAAAATATAGATTAGATCGTGTCAATAAACAATGGTGAAAATGGAATTACTTTTGATTATCTAAAAGATGCAGCGATGCAGCCAAATTAGGTACTTCTACCCAGGCAGTATTTGATTTTGCGCAGTTAAGTACAAGTTCAATTTATGTAAGGTCTGTTCCAACAAGGTCAGGGATTGGTTCCGAACCGTCAGAAATGTACATCCAACTAATTCTTGCGATATATTCACTGAAGACACATTTAGAACTTAGCTGGCCAAACATTTCGAACGGTTCGGAACCAATCCCTGACTTGTTGGAACAGACCTGTAGAAAACGCATAAGCAAAACACATTGCAGAATTTGGCATGAATATACAAATGAGAAGGCAAACTAACTAAAAAGCATGTGCAAAATATGCCTGATTCTGGTATACAAAATTTAATATCAACAATTTTGCCCTTTGGACTTAGAAGTTAGAAACTAATAACAATGCGCACGATGCTTTGTGTCGCAGTACCTTATTGTACTTTTAGCATCTAGTGATAAAAAATCTTAGTATAATAAGGTGGTAATAAGATGTCTTTTACAGGTAGATAACTGTAATACATTTACCTCTTCTTACAAATTAATTAGACTTTCAGTAACTAGATGGCTCTGACCTGGTAAAATTAAAATGTATTGTTCTAAAAAAATTGAGAAAATTGGCAAATTTTTTTCAGCTCTATAGATTTTAGAGATTTATTTAGACTCTTCATTTTTTTTTTCATTTCCTATAGTTTTTTCCTCGGTATAATCTATTAATAAAAGAATAACTACCACATTGTTGCCTCAGACGATCTAGTATAAAACCTAGGTACAAGCACATACGTCTTTCGGCAGTTTCCAAATAAAAATTTAGTTTTAACATTCTCACTATTCATTTTCGTTGCCTATTCGATTGTCTATTTGTCTGTCTGTCTGTTGATTTGTCTTATTGCGTTTCGACATATGTCTCTGGTCAGGGCCATAGCCACTAGGATTTGGTTCGTTAATAAACTAAATTTTGTCGTACCTCATTAGTATCACCGAGAAATAGTTCGAACAAAAAAATCAATAATCGATAAATTTTTAAATAATGAAAGACATAGCTTATATAAAAATTAAGTACTACTTCTGCAATAATGTGGCTATACTATATTATTATGTCTGTTATAAAGATAAGTTCTTTTTTAATTCCCAAAATTTGCTTTGATAGTGAAACTTGAACGAGTATTCGATATCTTCTGGTGGATCGCTTCTTCGTAGTTACTTACCTTATTGGTTGAAAAAACCTATTTGGTAGCTAAAGGATGTTTTTTCTGTTGGGAAACAAAACAAATAATAATGACCTCTTTATCATCTGCCTACAAATATTTACCTAGCATTTAACCATTTACTTTAATAAGTCCAATACGTTTGAAGTCAAAAAAACGAAGGAAACAATAACAATTAGAAAAGATATTAAATTTTTAAAGCTATTATTATATACCTACACAACCATTTTAACAATTTGACAGGAACGCTTGAGCCAGTAAGTAGCTAATAACGATTTACAAAGAATAGGGGCTATAAAGACCTTGTGTGTGAGACCAGTTAACAAATAGGATAAAGCATTTTAAAGTTATCACCATTGTTAAACAATGATGCTTAGTGACCACAACGTACGTGTTTTTTAAACCGTTAAGTTCAATATGTGCTGAAACCTGTGAATTTTCCAAACAGTGTTTTGAGTTTTTTTTTTTCAAAAAGGATTAATTATCCTAATGTCGCAGCTCGTATACCAGAGAAAACATTTTAAACCATTGTTGCTTTAAAGATGACTGGGTGAGTACTTACTTACTGGCGATGTTGCTTTTCCTGGCAAAAAATTACGAATTAAATGTGACCTCAAACGGTTGAGCACCTATTTGTTTATCAATGAAGGGGAACATTTTCACTGAAGCTCTAAAATTATCCTTGAATGAAATACTTTTACGATTCATAATATTATTAAAATAATTGCCAGTTTTTTATCTTTGATCACAATATGGGACAAATAAACTCGGATTTTGTTCTTTTTTGTAACTGTTTAACATTTGAAATTAAAATCTCCGTCCCCAAATTACACATTCTTCAAGAAAGCGTTGCGATTTCTGTATAGTATACGAGGTCACCTTATCTATAGTAAATTTTACATTATATTATTCTAGGTGAATATTAAGACAAAAATGGAATATATTGTTAACAGACATAGTGATCTTATGTTAGTTTATTTTCTCCGAACAAATATGCGTCATTATAGTTTCTAGATTCGACATTAGGGTTTATGATAAGCATTAACCACGTTTTTTATATCTAAAAATAAATTATAAATATTTTTTTATTTTTAAAGGTTCTATTCATTATCTGATCCGCAAAAACAATTAAAAAATGTGGGAGTCATAGTCCGTCGTTTCTTCCGAATACGTACATATTCTATTATATCGTGCATCAGTTGTGTTACGTTTTAATATGGTATATTACGAGGCAAAGTAAATTATGGCATATTTATAGTATCTGCTTTCTCATGTCGCAGGTAAATATATTTCTCAAATATTTACTAAGACAAAAGATTCACCTTGTTTTATTAATATTAATATTCCATCAGGGAAAACATTACAATTACATTATCTATTTTAATATTTATATATACTTAATAGTTACGCACACGTGACGATTTAAATAGACTACAGAATCCTTACTAAAAATATGCAATCTGAATAGAATAGGTATCTATATTTTAACAAGTTGTAGGGCCGATCCCAGCAGGAGCAAAGAGTGAACGAAACACCCTTGTAAAAAAATGAGAACATATTTTTTTGATGGGATGCAGATACCCATATTCCCTTAACAAGATAGCGTTTTCCAAAATTTTTCTAGTGGCATGGAAATCGTTCCTTCCAGGAACGATTCTAATTTGAATTCCTTGCACACGATTTACTAAAATGGTGTCCTCAGAGAACAATTATGCTTTTTGATTGATTTTTGATTTTTTGCGATTTGCTACCAAACCATAGAACTTAGGGAGAAACTGATATGCGTTTGTAGCGGCTCCAACAAATATCATTGGATGTTAATATCCAGACCTTCGATACTTTGAGGATTTTCGAAAACCAGTTCGAACCACCTAATGTCACATTTTTAAGGGTAAAATTTGACGAGAAGAATGTATATGGCCTTTTTCAATTTTGTTTCGCGTGACACGGGAACCGTTTATTCTAGAGACAATTCGTGGCAAAATTCTAATTCTTCCATTTTATCAGAATCGATGTCACTCAGATAATAATGTAGCACTATCTACTACTTTTATAATTTTTTTTGTGATTTTTTAGAGAAAAAACTGACATTGCTAGCGATTTTAAAAGGCCCTTGGATGTTTTTATCTAGATCTTATAAGGGAATTTTCTTTGACAATTTTTTTGGAAACACTAAAAATAATACTATTCCTACAAAAAAAGTAATTTGAATATTTTACAATAGAATTCTTGTTTACATTATTTTATTAAATAGTATGCCTTCAGAAATTCCCTATCATATTAATAAACAACATATCCGAAATTAATGAAATACATACAGGGTGTTCTACACCAACAACTGAAACCGGTTGTATATACACCTGTAGTTTGTTTTGGTATGCAAATTAATATATTTTTTTACGTTATTCATCAGGTAGCATAATCAAAGGTTATTAAATATAATAATTAGTGAACTGTGATTAATTTAATGCGTGCTTAAGATCGTACTTGGGGATTTTACTTTTTGTGGACCATCACCACCAAAAATTCTTTTCGTCCGACAAGTTCATCCAAGGATTTCTTTTAGATCTATAAATGACATGCACAGCTTTTGCTGAACGGATATTTCTGTGTGAACTTCAGCAGCTTCAGTGTTGTTCTAGGAAAGTGTATTTGGTGGTTACACAGCTATACAGCATTTGTTAACAGTTGCATTTTCTGGTTAATTAAATGTAAGTTCAATACACCCTCTTAACTAATGTGTGGGTTTTAAGTTTTAACTAAATTAACGTAGGATTCAACTCAACGGCTTTTTAGTTTTGGATGAAAGCGATGTTTCACTGGAAGAATGTTTTTTCGTGCTATTATGTAATTATATACAGTGAAATAGGAAAAAATTACTTCTTCGTGAATTAATTAATATTCACAACCACGATTTCAGGACAGGCGTTCTCTAGAGATATTAATTCTTTTTCTTTAATTAAGACTTTTAATCTTCGAAATAAAAAGAGACATTTATTTTTAAATATATAGACTTAAATAGTCGCAATTAATAAGTAGAATTGTGCATACGTTTGGCTTAATCTTCATTTAAAGCAAAAAATAAGATTTACCGGAAATGTAAATAATAAATTAATAATATCCTCAATCGCGTTTGCTATACGTACTACTATATTCTTGTTACTAATGATACTTTGAATTTCACTGTTCTTAACTGTGATAACACTATCTGCAATATTGTGAAAACAATTTCAGAAACTGACGTCAGACGAATAAACGAGAACTATAACATTTAACTTGGTACTTTAACTGAATTACAGTAAACAATTAAAATTTACCTGAGTTAAATAATTCGGGAGCAAGAAGTAAAAAAAATGGAAGGCTTCTCTAATTTATTTTAAAACGGTACAATTTCATTTATTTTAATAAGGATTAATAACAATTAAGATCGCAACGCATGTCTGTTTACTTTTTGATCAGCACACATTGTTTCGAGCGGTATATATACTTCGCGATGTTTTTAAAATCTAGTTTACTGCGGAGGCTGTCCCAGAGCCCTGCAGTGGTGTTCAAATCTTTTATTCATCTCTGAATACTTCTGGTAAGTGTTGCGTTACAACATATAAAATAATAACCAATCCCGCATGGCTTTGTAAAGATAGAAAATAACTATTCGAGTAGGTTGGACTATAATAACAACGTTGTTTGTATATTTTTTAATTTTACTCTATTTAAATTTAGCAAACAGCTAAAATCCTGAAACAGTAGTGTGGCAAAACTGGTGTGATAACGTGCCTGTAACTAGAACACCAAATTAAAATTATTCACATTGCTATGGATTGTTCTGGATGCAGTTTTTTTAATTGTAATGCAGCTTTTTTTCTCATTCACATTGGCGGAGATGCAGCGAGTAACCGAACCTATTAAACCTTAGATCACTGTAACCCTAAAGATGCGCTCTACCCAAACGTGTAGAAATATACAGTGTTCCGTTATTTTATAAGGACTGCTTTAAAATCGCAAGAAAACTTTCTGAACCATTAAATTTTTTTCTAAGTACGAAAGTAAAAAAGATAATGTGTTAAAAGATTATGTGTAATTCAATGAGGTAGATTTCGAGAATCAAAAGTGTCATTGACTGCTTTTAAATTTTACTGATATCAGTTAATGCTGGAATCTTTAATGAACAAAATTTGCGTACTATAGAGGCTGAATACTAGTAACTTTTTAGGGCCTTTCTTTCAGGAAAATGAACATGAAAGAAGTGAAAATGAATGACTGAATGTTTAAGTTAAAAAATCTCCCGTCACCTTGCAACTCTGTTAGTGAAAATTTTTAGCTAAAAATATAGAAGAAAATAAAATTCTCCTGAACCAATTCGACCCTCCTAATTTCTAAAGCTTGAGGATAAAGAGACATCCCCTTTTCAGTTTTGTTTCTGGTAGCGCGAAAACTGCTTGTTCTAAACCAGATCTGGCCACTGTGAATAAGGACGGTTTCTCCTGAAATTTTAGCCATCGCTAATCCTTACCTGTATTGAATTTGATCAGCTGTTTTAGAAGTATTCAAAAACCTGTACACTTTTATCACCCTGTAACATTTTAATTAAGCATTTTCGGGAAACTTTTTATTTAAAACAACATTTCCTATCAACTAATTTTAGAAACACCCTTTATATGGAAATTAACCATACATTTGTGATTACATCCATAAAATAAGTCACTTTGTTTAATTTCTTCTTGAAATGCCGAATAAAAAGCTTCTTTACCGACGGAGATATTGCGAAAACTTGTTGAATTTGAAATATGTCTGACGTCACTTATCATCCCTTCCAAGTAAATTTTCAGCACGTCATAGAACTGACTTAATCTTATTTCAAATAAACTGTGCCTGACTGTTCGAGACGTGTTATTTTAACATTTAGTAACATATCCGAAATTGCTTTTGTACAGTTTTTTTGAGTTTTGAAACATGAAAGAAAAATAAATTGTATCATAAACATCTTCCTCGGATTTGTTTAAGTGGCCTACTGCGCATTTTACCTAAATGTGTAATTTTTGATAACACAAGTCAATACACATTCTATTGTTCTCAAATTCAAACTTAAACAAGCTAAATAAATTCCAGTTGAATTTTTTAGATTTATTTGACAAATGCAAATATCATAACATAAAGAATTAATAAGAGCATATAATGGAAAAAGTTTGATAATTATAGTTGCCACACACTAGCAATTCTATCCATTTAAAGTTATAACTTTTCAGTTACAACGGTATATAAGCTTTTACCAATTAACAATTTTTTCAGTATTAGGTATATTTTTGTAGAATTTCCATATACGTACAAATAGAAATTATAATAAACCGTTGAACTTCTTCAGTCAGGCGGTGCTTACAAAATTTTGACAATTAAAAACAAGACGACCTAGAAATTTGTGACGCATACATATTGTGGGAATTTTATGTCTATTTAACATTAAACCAATTAGCATCCAATTACGTAGCTATATTAATCATATATAAACATATACGTTCCATATATGCACAAATGCAACATTCATATATAGGAACTTTTTATGCCGTTTCTCGGCAATTTAATGCGAGTTTGAAGAAATGGAAATCAAATTGAAACGTAATTATTTTCAAAGTAGATACCTGATGTCTTTTCGAAGCGGCTGGTCAAAAAAATCCCACGTAATAATATAAAAAATAAATAGCGGTGAGGTATATTAGTACTAAATAAACAAAACTAAGTTAAAATTCATTTGACGCAAAAAAAAATTAGTCAGTAACTCGGGATGTTTGGTTCGCAATTTTATTTAATTTGTAAATATATGATGAACTTCTAAATCGGGATACCTTGATAGTAACATATGACTGTCTCTGTTGAATGTAGTAAAATAGTGCAAATATTTCGACAAAAGTGGGGTGAAATAAGCCAATATTACATTAGGATTGACATAATTTAAATGATTTTGTTAAAGTCACTAATTTTGAAACAAAAGAGGTGAAGAGACCCACAAAAAGGAAAATCCATAATAACATACTTTATTGACTAGTCCCCATCTCGTTTTGTTTACAGGATACTCCACTAAACGTACAAAATAACATAATTGACTGGACAGTTTGACAACAGTGTTTTGTTTTTGTTCATTGATGGTGGGACCGTAGAGACACTTTTTTACGATTTTCTGTCTTTTTTCTACACTACACTAAATACTGATGATAATTTAAGGTAAAATTGAAGTTCGTGAAAGTTATCCGTTATACATACTTGGAGAAAAAACAGAAATTTTGTTTCTTTTTCAAGCGTATGATGGAATATTTTTCTCCTCACATGTAGAGAGATTTGCTCAAGTAGTCTAATATAAATAAATCAAACGGAGTTATTTTCGATAAATCAATAAAAAAATATGTGTAGACAATGGAGCACCTAAATATGAGACTTAAACAAATTAAAAAAATCAAGATTTAATTTTTCTACCCTCAATATAACATTGAAATACGCAATTGTAAAGGGGACAAAAACAAAAGATATATAATTTACGTATATCTTTAATTACGTAGATGCACACAATATCCATTGTTAACTTACAAATGCTTTATTTATATTTCCTGTATAAAAACTTGTGTATGTTAGACAACGCATTTAATTTTCGTACCGTCGTGGACAAAAAGCTTTGTGAAAAGCGGTTCTTTAGATATGAGTAGTTTAAGCCGGAAATGTTTGATTGACCACACTTGTACTAAATTATTTTTGCCCCAAGAAATTATTTTGTAACGTAGATGAACACGAAACCGGCAACGCAAAAATACAGAATGTTGTGAGATAAAACAGTCTTCGAATATCTGCCAACACTAAAATAATTTTATTTTATTATGAAGAGATTTACTTTCCGCCATTTTTGTACTGTACAGTCATTTAAAATTTCAATTCAATAGCAGTGTTAGCAACTGGAGCTTTATACAATGAAACGTGGGAGGGATGAATACACTTTCAAATTAACAAGAAGAAGCAGTGTCATTTTATTAATGTAATGTAATATATGTTTTTAATATGTGACCGGAAGATTAACTTTAAACAATTATCTAAAGTAGTGACATACAAATATGGGTATCATATATGATATTCGTTCAAAATACTTGAACTTATGCACTTTTGATAATTTGGAATTTTGCTTTTTGGATTATTAGACATATATGTTCTAAAAGAAAGATGATAATATTTTTTTCACGAAGAATATTTAATATAAATAAGTTTTCTCCAATATGCCATTCTAGTTGTCGGAACATTTAATATGATGTAGAGTGTAGAGCTTGGTATTAATAGAATTTTAAAATGGATTCAAGTTTAATCCAGATATAATAAAACATATATGAATCACAATTAATCCAATGAAAATGTGATATTTTATAGTCCCCGTTAATAAGTTTTCTTTGAAAATGTACCCTTATCCTTAAATAATATTACAATTTCAATTTTACAAAAGTAATCATGATTTTATTGAATATTTTTAGATAAATGTTCGATAAAGTTATCTTTAAGATAATGAATGTTAGGGTTGGTTAACAAAATGTTAAATTACATAGTTTAATTAAGAAAATTTAGATTGCTTTCCGGATTTTTTAAATTGAATATTTACGATATTTTGACACCACTTAATTTCCTGTAACATCGCAAAACGAATAGCTCATGTTCTTTTGCAATTTTAATAGAAAGAGGTAAGTTCACTTCAGTTTTTTGTTGAATTTGTAGTTACATTAAATACCCTTTACGATTTAGACCAACCAACCTCTATTGAAAGGTCTGCTGAGATACAGACTTCAGTACAAAAATTAAATTGTATATATTGACATATTGTTAGAGAACCTTGATATTTCGATATGACTAAAATGGTCTGAATCGCAAATAATATTTAAGTCAGTTGCAAATTTTACAAAAAAAACTGAAGTTAAATTAGATTTGAATCACTGCTGTAAAAAACTGAAATCCAATTTTCTCTGAACGGTGCATTTTAGCGACATGCGAGAAGTATATCTTTTTTAAAGTAAACAAAGTGGTCTGTCAAAAAATGTCTGTCTGGTGGTCTGTCAAAAAGGCAAAAGACTTGTTTAAGGTGTTCTTAATGACTTTTACGTTTTAGGTAAAAAATTCCCATTCGCTTCCGGACACCATGTATATATCATTCTACATAATTAACAAATTAATTAGTTCATCCAATCAGAAATGGTAATTGTGTTACGAATTTTTTCAGAGAATTGTACTCGTATTATCTGTTAGTTAGCATTGAAGCATCGTTGCACGATATATGATACAGTAGAGCGTTGAAAATGATAATGTTTCTAATAGCTGATACCGTATCCACCAGATTTCAGCCTCAGGGACTAAAATTATTTTTTAAATTCACAGGAAATATCACGTAATTGTAGTAGCATTATCTGTTTATATTGTATGTAAAAAATAACGGGTTGATAAATATTGCAACGTAGTCGTTCCTATGGGAGGCAAATATTGTTTATTGATCGGTATGAAAAGCGTTTAATATTTTCAGACACGGAAACACGTATCAACTCTGTTGTTGACCAAATTTGCCAACATCGC